CAAGTACTGTACAGGAATCTTTTTATTACCGTCCTGTCCGTGACCGTCATTGCGAACAAGTAGAAGTGTCCAGGGATTGCTTCTTACCTCTCTCCGTAAATTTTCCCACGGGTAGAGTGGGTACTACGCTGTGTTTACCATTAGTCGGAACTGGCCGGCAAGACTGGTCCAGTTGGAAAGAGAATTTCGCTATTAATCAGTACTGTCCGGCAAGGTCAGTCTATTTTCAAATAAGATGCGTGGAGTGATAGGTTTCTTCCGAAAACTCTTGAAAAAATACATTAATTTTCATAGTGATCGCCGTGAATGGCCAGCTCGCAATTTTGGTAAGCACCCTATGATTCAGTCCTTCTCCAAGTGTTATCTGGTGAACGGCTGAGTATCCACCATTGGTGTTGTTTTCAGTGTTAGGGCAGGGAAGTGGCTAATGTTGATTTTGAACGTTGGCAAAGTTAGCTCTTTGTCCTGATCTTTTTTTTTAGAATCTTCCTTAAGTCCTCCAACATCGGCTTTATCCTTTTATATCGATGTGTCTTAAGTGTCGTTCAGTCATAACGGGGTTTCTGTTTTACCAATAAAACAAAAAGGAAATAATTGAAGTATGTGATATCATCTGTTGGTATACACTCTTTTTTATAAGAATGTTGTTTTTCCGGCCCAGGCTGAATATTCTTATTTTTCTGCCGATTTTAGGCTGAAAATATTCTTGTATTATTCTTAAATTATAGCTTATGACATTTCCGTTTTAGAACTTATTGGGGTATCAATTACAAGTGTTTGGTATCTAGATCTGTATCGCGTTACATTGTGCACGTGCTCCATCGCTTTTCGTTGCAGTCAGCGAGGTCAAGATGTCACGTCAAACGACACTTTTGGTTTTTGGTTTTTCTCCGTTCGGAGAAAGGAATAATTTTATACGGTTAAGTTAAAAACAAGAAATTGTATTGTATTTACAGATGTTTCAACACACAAAATGATATCTATCCTTTTCAAAATCTCAGCCTCGGCTTGATTCTTAAAATATTTTTAAAATTTCGCAAATTTCAGCCTCGATATTCTTATAAAATATATTCTTATATAAAAAAAGAGTATACACACACCTTGGAGATGAATGTACAATACATCAGAGAGTTTAAGCTTCACGTATACGGCAAACGGCCATCGTCAGATTCAAGTTGAGAATTTCTCAAAATAGAAAATCAGCAGATAAAAACAGCTCAAAACTACTAATTTATGTGTAGAAATAATGAACAGTAAACGGGAAACTTGGTCACGTGGTACAAACTCGCGTTTGCCGTTAACGTAAACGTGATGCATAACCTCTCAATTGTGGAACCAAAAACACTAACTTGCGTGTCCCATGAAGCCTGGCGTATTTAGTACTTTTACCTGAAAAGACGTTGACAATTCAAATTGTTAGTGATATCGACGAAAATCGGATCAAGGTTAATGTGCGAAAACTTCTTTTTTTTTTCGTAGGGTGACGACCGGAACTTTGACGCAGTCTTTTCAGAAGCAAGCTTTAAGACCTTTAACTTTAGGATCAGAGCTAAGATGGAAACCTACAACGTAAGTTCTTCCTAATTCAAGTTATGATAATCTAACTTTGTCAGTCTTGCCCCTTTTGAAAAACCGCTCCTTCTTCTCGACCATGATTTACTGCCTGCCCGTAATGTGTTAATGGTGAGAGCGTGAAAAAAGTTTGTCCACGTCGGGTTTGGACGGATTTCTTTCGGGAACCAATTGTACCTCACAAGAAACAAATTTCACTAAACACCACGCCCTGGCAGGGCTTGAAATAAATCAGTAGCCAGTACCTGCGGCCGGTCACGTTGTCCGGTAAAACTTACGTTTGCTCGGACAAGACCATAGTGTTTGAAAAGCACAGGGCGCAGAATAGTAATATGTGACCTCGATTGCAGTTAAAATTTACAGTTGAGATCGCGAATCGCCTTTGTTAACCAATCATTACTGTAGAATGGAATATGAACTTGACTGGTCAAACCGCGTGTACATTAAACAAAGGTGATTCAAGGTCGTCAATAACTTCTCTGCGTCATGTGGAAGAAGCTCTAGGAACGTAGCTGAGAATAGGGAGCTTAAGCAACAACGACGGCGACGCAATTGTCCTCTTCGTAAACGGTCGCTGCCATTTTTGAGACACTTAAAAACTTTTTGACCTGTGTTTGAGAATGTTTCTATTAAAAAGAAAGAAAAACCCAACCCAGGGCTCGAACCCGGACATTTCGTAATCCAATCTCTCTCTCTCTTACCACTACACTTCCACACCGACCAGCCAAAATTCGGAAACATTTAAGTACATACACAAGCAAACTGTCTCTCTTGACTGTTACATCAATAACAGGTGACCCTAGCCCTTTTCATAACTTTTCAAACTATTCAAAAACATATTGTTTGCCTCATTGTAATGTAATCCTGGGATTATACTACATCTATCGTGACTAAAGTCTTGGTTACCAATCGTGGCATCGGCCGTTAAAAATGGCAAAGATCGTTTACCAAAGCGAAAGAGGCGACGGCGACGGCTACAAAACGTCACTTTAAAAGCAAATTCGTGCTGCTTCGAACATTACTGAGTGCAAAAGGGTAGAAGCGACAGCACCTCAAATTGGAATTGCAATCGTGAAGTTGTCTGTTTTCGACGATTCAATTATTGTCATTCCTACTTTACCGCTTTTAAAATTTTCGTGTAATATTTTGTTTAGTCTTCAAACATGCTTTTGATGAAAATGTAATCACATACTAAGTGCCTTTTTATTTCTTATTTGCTTTTGTCTAGGATGAAACTCGCCTGAAATGTTCTGTTGTGAACGCAGCTCCACTGGACTTCAAACAGGAAAGCAAACGACTTATTGATGAGATTAAGAAGCTTTCCGCTCTTTAAGAAAAATGGGGCCGCACTCTAGCATGTTGTTGCTAAAATAAGCCAAAATATTCTGCCAACCCGGCTGCTCTCCGTTGTGTTTACTGTGTAACGATTTTTTGTTTTCATTTTCTGGTAAAGTCGTTGAGTGTTTGTAAGTAGAAGAAGTATAGTACGTAAGACAGTTTGGTTCTATCTGTCACACTGAATTTAGCTTTATATGAAAAGTGTCATATACGTTATTTTTAGTGCTATGTTTCAAACAGTTGTTGAGTTGATGTTGGTTGTTGCCTTAAAAGAGATAAATAAAACTTTGGAAGTCAATTTCTCGTCTTGATAATAAGGATGCTTTGTCGCGATAATTCTAACTCGGTTGACTTGTCAGATGTAAGTCAATTTCTTTTAAGTTGATTTTTGGGGCACACCCAAGCTTAGGAACAGAAACAAAAAATCGTCCTTGTGTCTTTACGTAGACCATGAAACGTCTCATTAAGTTGTGGAGTGACGGCCGTGCATGTGAAAGCCCATTGCTTTTTTCAGTCTTCTTATAACCGCCCTCTCTCCACATTAGGAACCTTAAGATCCGACGATGGCTGCGACAGCAAGAACGACAAAACAAGACAACAACTCTGAACGTACAGGACACCTTTTTTTGAGGCTTTCTATAAATTAAGATAACTTTGGCAGGAATAAAAACGCTCGTGAAAATAAGTTAAGGTGTTAATTTGGAGGCTTCGAAGAAGTGATTTCTGCGGCCGCCGAAAACTAGATGGATTTGTGTGGAAGAGCAGCTCCTGCTATCCAGTCACGGCTCATTGATTTTCCATACAAATTCTCATAAACAACTTTCAAATTGTCGGAAAGTCTATTCCCTTACCTTTACCATTGCAGACCACAAATTTACTATGATGGTATAAATATATATATTTTTTGGTTCTCAGCACATCAAAAGGCCCTTTTCATCTAAAAGATAACTATGAAAATTTTTATCGGGTGACAAGACCCTTCTGAACTTTGGCATCTTCATGGAAAACCTGCAGAAACGTAAGATTTGTTTTTCAGTGGAATTTCGCTTTGTTTGAGGTAAAACCAAAATACCCTTACCCCATTCTTTTGAGCGTTTTAACATTTTCCCAGGAGGTTCGTGTTGTCGTCTTCCGTACATGTTGTACTTGTACATTATCAATTCGTCGTATCGTTTCCTGACTTTTTGTCACCCTTCACAAGCCCTAAGGCTGACGTAAATTATAGTCATCTGAATCCATTTCCAGAAAAGGAGTGTCGCATTGCATTTTTTCAGTAATGTGTGCGACATTCGCGCTTGAGCCATAAATATTGAAAGAATGCCATTCGTGCAAATAATGTCGCGAAAATCTGATGAGATCTGAATATTTCTTACGTAGTTTCGAATATAGTGGCGATACTAGCAGGTTATTGTTGTTTTTGGAATTAAAATAGATGAGAATCATTCCTTTTTTTACCTAATTTCAGAAAACTAATTTCGGGAAGTGGCACGTTGTGATGATGTATGTAAAACTGGATATAAGGACATGACATCCGTATTAATTTCAGGGTTTGAAGGAGCAGGATACACGGTGTAAGCTGTGTAAGGAACCTTATTGACTGTGTATAGTTTACTTTCTAAAGATCCGATAATTCCCCTATCCCCCCAAAAATAATGCGTGCAATTGTGGAAAAAAAAACAAACCAACAAAATAACAAAATCAAATAAAAATCAAAATGAAGAACAAAAAAATTACAGACGAGAGAAACTCGAAGGCAATAAATAAATAAAGAGCAAAATCGTGCTCCGACAGTTTTCTTATTTGACTGCGTTTGAGACCAACCGGAAAGGAGTCACTTGTAGGTGTGGTCTCATCCATTTCCGTTCACGAGGAAGAAGGCTCTAACCTAGCAGTTGAAAATCAAGTCAAAGGAAGGACCTAGTATCTCTAAATAATAAAGGACGATAGACCCGAAAAAAGGATTTTAAAAATAACACGAGTGGATTTTCTCCGCTCAACGACGAAACGAACGTTATCACCAGGCGTTCGAGCCAATAGTGATGGACGCGTGGGCATGGGTCTAAAACGAATCAGTGATTTCAGGTCAAAATATGGAGTGTGGTGAAAATGTGGAAGGTGGTCGTACTTCGCCGTCTGGCAACTTAAGTTCTCCGCGAGAACGTTCGAATAGTGATCCAGGTCGACCAGAAAGAACAATTGTAATGAATGGAGGCAATACTGTGCCCACAAGAAGGGCGCCAACCTTTTTAAATGCTGCGGAAGTTGATAGTTCTAACGTTCATGGTGCCCGCTCAAGCCCGGCTACACCTCCTCCAGAACGACGCAACAAACTAGCTTTTAGTATCAGCAGATTATTTCGTCCGTGGAAATGGCGAAAGAGAAAGAAAAGCCAGAAGTTTATTTCAACCTCGCAAAGTAAGAGATAGTCATTTCAGTTCCTTCTTTGTTTGTTGATTCTCACGGATGACAGAAATTGATTAAGTGTAATTCACTGCTCGCTGATGAAAATTTAGAAAACGTTAATTTCGTCTTCATGGGAATAAGCTTAAGCTTATAATAACTCAAGCCTTCAACAGGACTTGATCCAATTCATATTGGATTGCTTGCTTGCTTATAAAAGATACAAAGGCGTTGTTAATTATTAAGGTTAAGTGTCCAAGGAAGCGGGCTTGTCTTCGTTTCCTTACATCTCCTCTCTTTTTTTGCATTTACGTGGGTAACGTACAAATATTTATGTTTGACATACATTGCCACGCTCGTCAGCAGAGTACCTCAGACGAAGAAAATGTTTTAGAATTTTCGTGTATTAAATTCCGGGTAAAGCGCAAAGGCGCGTAATATTTATGAGAACGAATTCACAAATTGAAAGTGTCCATTTGGTACGATGAACGCTGAAGCTGAGCAGTGAAAGAAATTTTCCCTCGAACTCCTGTTGTGCACGGTTTCGAAGTAATCTTACCCTGGACGGTTTGCATCCTGGGGTGTTAAATTTTGAAATATCAGCCGCAAAAGATTTATTCTTGTATGATAATTTCAAATTCATCAGGAAAATCACACATTTATTTTATCGAAGTTAAATATCTGAGAACAAGTTTGTATGAATCCTGTTTCGATAGGTGATTGATTACCAGCAATAATATGAAATTTTAAGAAGTCGTAGCCTTTTCGATCGTAGATTCCAACTGCTTGGTTCTGGTTGTGTTTGTACTCATGCCTATGGATTAATTAATCACGCAGAATCAAAGCGTCTTGAATACTTGTTGTTTTGAAAGAATCTTGATATAGTTAGAGGTCAATGATATATCTGTTAGGTCGCCACTACACGATACTAAGACTGCTAATTCTTTTTAATCCCAGTTGTCTTGTTCTAGATTATTGAAAGTTTGATTCGAAACATTTTCTCAGTTGTCTTGGTCTTTATGCTATTTATTTCTGCCAAGAAATATTTTGACATTATTTGTTGTTGCATTGTCCATTTTTCTGGTGGAGCTCTCTGTCTCCAAGCAACTACTTTAAAGAACTATTTTGATGTGTGCAAATCATGATCTATTGGATTGAGCTTAACAGATAGCTAATCATTTGGATAGATCTCTTCTAGAGATGTACTAGAGATGTCAACTATTACCTTGTCTGGAGCTTTATTGGATTTTTAAATGAAATCATTCAAAAATAACAGGATTATATTGAAACTTAGTCCTCATGGGATTATGTGATTTGTATGTCATATTTTCATTATTGTGAGCAAAAGACATTTCTTTCTTGAAGTAACAGTGCTATGAAAAAACAGATGAATGCACGCCACCAAAATTTTTGATAAATAATAAGGTTAGAGACAGCAAGCAAAAGGAGGACTGAAGTTTATTTCACTTTATCTGAACTATCCTTTTACAGTATTCCAATAAAGAACCTTGCTTGTTCAAAGAAATTTTGTGGTAAATCAGTATCAACATATTTCTCTCATTCCACCTGTTGCCAGAATTTTTTCTTTTGGCAGGAGATTTTTGGATATTGCATACAATAATGCTCAAATTAGTTTTCAGCTTCAAACACTGGTACCTCCTTTAGGCTAAAAATGTTAATTATGTGCCCCCTTTGAAAAAAAACAACCAATCCTGTCATTGTCTAGGGAGGGTGTAAATTGCAGGTTACAGGTTGTAAGTTGCGTAGTCGCAACTTACAGAATGCTTTAGGAACACTTTATGGGTACTTTTTTGAGAACAAATGTAAAGTCATTGTTGTATGTAGTAAAAAGTTTGTGTTATGCGTAAGCTGCACAAATTGAGTTTGAGCCACAAAATTGCTTTTTTTCTCTTGCTTTTGATATTGGTTAGTCTGTATGTCATGTTTCCCTGTTTATTGTTACAGGTTTTGTTCTTTTAAACCAAGACAATGTGACCTCCCCTTCTTTGAACTTGGAAAACTGAATATCCCTGGTTGCTTATTATGTAGACATTATTGACTGAAGCTAAGTAGGATGTGAAGAATTCTGCAGAGTGAGGTGGATAACACTCTCTGAGATCTGCAGAATTCTACATATCCTACAAATGCAGAATTCAATAATTACTTTATTGTTCATTCAAAATAGTTCAAGTTTCAAAACAAGCTAAAACATTCTTACCTCTGTCGATCTATGTTAAGTTCATACTGATAGTGCATCTTTGTCGGGAAGTTTAGGAGATAAAGGGCTCTTAAGGTCTGCAAATATACTCCAAATAGCAGATGTCGTTCATGGCTTTGTCTTCTTGCTGTTGTTGCTATGGTCTTAGACAATAGTTTGCCTTAAAACGAGTAAAAAGTTTCACTATTACTCACTTTGAAAACAACTCACTTGTCCCCAGGTCTTCTCGGTTAATGGTTCAGTAATCTGCAACTTTGCTGCTCTTTTGAGATCACCGGTTCAATATGACAAAATTCTTCCAGATTTAGTCAACAGTAACTGGTTATGATGAATTATGTGTGTGATTTTAGCCAAATAGAAATGAAAAAATATTTGGAATGAATAATAATGTATAATATTTCTGGCTAACATTGTTATAAAGTTCAGCCTAAGCAAAAATGGATTTGGATGTTTGAACATATTAATTTTTTGAGTTATTTTTCCTGTCATTGTTCAGACGAACTCGACCTAAATGACAACAACCACAGTTTTATTCAAAAGATGAGTAATAAAATTATTCGAAAGCTTTTCACCCACTTGTCGTATAAGCCATAGTCAAGGTGCACTTAAGAGGAAAAGTTTCAAATTTACTAGACTGAAATCATGTACAAACAATCATTTCTTGGTTTTGCTGTGTAAAGATTAGACCTGTCTACCAATTTCTTTTTGAGTATTAAGAATTAGCATTGTTGTTGTTTTTTGATTAAGTTTTCGTCCCACTGCTGTTAATTATTTTTTTATCCCTCTTGTTTCTTTACAGATCTGGAGAGAAAACTGTCTATGCGTACAAACAAAGAGGAGTTGATTAGAAAAGGAATTCTTCCTGTGACAAGTGAAGGTAATATTCTTTAAGATGATTAAGACTCGTGGGAGAAGTTCTAAAATTTTCGATAATTTAGTTATTAATGTTTAAACCCATCAACAACAGATGGCTTCGGGCTGAAGGTGAAACTGAAAGGAACTGCAATTGAGCCTGCAAGGTGACCATGACAACCCTGTTAGCAACACCCACTAGACACCATCACACTAAGAAATGTTGAATGTATTGACTCTATTTAAGTGGACACCTTCGGGACCTTCCGAAGTGTCTGCTTAATAGAGGTTTGTAAAAACTGGACAATGTTTGTCAATGATTAGCATTCAACAGTTACGCTGTACTCTGATAAAGTTCCATGTTGTTAAGGAACCTAAGAAAGCTGTGCTGTACTTTGCGCAAGACGTTTACAGTGCAGGCCAGAATTAAGCGAACAACGCAGAGACATAAACGTGTCAGCTTGGACGCATCAACGCATCTGCGCTGATGCGCACATATTTGCCTGACGTGTTCATCTGACTTAAAGTCAGATGAACACGTCAGGCAGGAAGATTTGTCTTTTGTTATGCACTATAACAGCTTTGCTTCATGTGGCGTTGTTATGATAAACAAATTCTCAGGTTTGAGGTAGCTCAATAATCCCTTGTTTAATTAAGTGCACAAAGGACATACATCGAAATAAATTCCGTGATGTGGTTTCCGCTTTATATTATGCATTAACACACCAGAGGAACACCAGCTGTTTTTAGAAACTTGAAAATAAGAGCCTACATTTTATTAAACAGCGACGAAATTCGTGTTAAAGAAATGGACGTATGAGAATATCAATTTATTATTGCTCGCTTAATGCTGGCAAGTAAATAAGAACTACTAACCCGATGACGAATGAATGTCTTCGTTGCATGATACAGAATACTGGTTGAATACTCTTTTTTAAGTTTTTGCTTCCCGTGTGTACATGACAAAATGAAAATCAGAGCGCTAGCCTGCATTTAACAATGACAAAAATTGATATGGAATAAATTTGCATACATGTACGCACAAGAGAGTATGCATTTCACGCTAAAATAAACAAGTGGAAATATTTATATAGCTAGCTAACCAATTAATGAATCGATATCAGAAATCCCTTTTGCTTCATGTAAAAGTGTAGTTTAAGGTTTGCTCACCCTCATATTTTGGATCCTTCTTTCCTTGTGTAACCCGGAAAACAAAAATACAAGGTAATTGTAAGCTTTGCTGAAATGTAAACAAACGGCCGTAAAGAATGTTCAGCCTGCGATGCTCGAGATCTTAACATAAACTTGCTGACGTAGAGACAATGTATATGGTTTCATTTCTCACTAAAGTCGGTCTAGACTGCGAGCAGTCTCTTATTTTTCTTTGCAAAGTTACTGCAGGCAAAACCTAAGCGCGCGAGCGGTGAAGCCGCTTGCCACGAGAAACGAAGGCGTAAGCCCGAGAAGAAAAAATAAGAGACTGCTGACTCCTTTGTTCTGTCTGGGGACAACGAAGCTGTCAAGGTAATTTGATCAATCAATAATTAAACCCGAGTAACTTGAAACGATTCATAAATAGAACATAATCAACTGAAAATATTACACTTTCTTTAAATCCGGTAAGATTGCCTCGAATTCGTTTCCCTTGAGGAAATTTACAGCAGTTTCCTTCTGTAAGATATCCTTAAAAGTTTTATTACTGAGATTACTGCTTGGTTCGCTATTGTTTGCAGTTGTTTGTGACGCATGACTATTTTTATTGCTTGCAATCTCACCACAGACCAGTCAATGATCTGTCAACAGTTGTGCAGTTGACCAATCAGCAACTGCGGTTACTCCGTTTCTGGGCTGATGGAGGGTTTGTTTACTACAAAAGAGTCAGCAGTCCGTCTTTCCTAGTCTCGTCTATATAGATCAGGAACTAGATGGATTTTAAGAGAAAAGGCGGACTGCAAGCAGTCTTAAGTCGGTCAGGATCTAAAATTTGTGTTAGAACTTTTTATCATAGGCTCGATGTGTAATTTTTAAATCAAAAGGTCTCTCTTTTATCTTCCCAGTGAAAGAGTAATCTCTCACTGCACTGTCAACCCAGGCTGTAGAGCACGTGCGATTATCACGTGTCACTGCTAGTGTGTTCTAAATCAACATTATTTTGATAGTGGTAGTGCTGGAAGTTTAATATTTTGGAGCTTCTCAAAAATTTTTTGAGAATTTACGTGAAAACCTGAAATATAGTAAACACGCATCTTCAGTTGAAGTTTCATTGATGTCTCTAAAAACACTGACAGCAACAACAAGAAAGGAAAAATTTTTGTCTTTAAGTGTGCGCCGCCAAGATTCGGATAAATAATGTCCATTGCTTGTCATTGTGGCGTTGCAAATGAAAATTTTTGCTCGGTTTTCTACAAGGACAAGCTAAATTTAATATCCCTTGTTTTAGATCAATTTTCAAGCACTCACCGCGTCGGCCAGACGACAAGCCCTAGTAATGCGGTGCGGAGGACTATAATATTTGTAACATCTCCAGATCTGTTGGGTCTTGAAAGTTCGTATTCAAACGTGCCAGCAATCCTTTTTAGTTTTAAAGACTTCATTTCATGACAAAAGCTTCATCGATGCACATAGCAATCTACTAACTATAGTCTCAACGTCAACAAGGAAGATCTTGTCTTTGGCTTTTGATATCGATTGTGATTTCTCTGATGTGGACTGCAGTCCCGCTAAAAGAAGAAAAGAAAATGTCACACATTCCGTTTCTTTTGAGAGCTGGAAATTTTAACTCAAATTTATGACCATCTACTCCACATTCAAATAGCTAAATGGGAAGATTCTTGTGTTACGGGTGTTTTCTTTGGCGTCTCTTGTGTTTGTTGTCAGTGAGTTCACGATTTGCGAAGTGATTATTATGTATGATAAGTAAAGAATTAAATGCAAAATTGTCTTATCTCCAGTGTAATTAAAGTGTAACGTATTTGTAGTTTAAACATATGTACATTATTTTGCTAGAATACTTCGGAGATATGTTTCAATGGGAATCCGTTGTAAGTTCCGTGTCGCATGTTGCATGTAAAATATTTTTAGCGTGTGCCGATCCGGGAGTTTCTTGCTTGTCGGTGAAACATTTACACCTGTAAACAAAGAGATAGCTCATACATACTAATGAGTCTAAATGTGCACTAAATGCATTTCAGAGCAGACGTGTCGGTGTGTCAGCCTGATGCATGTTCGCATCTGGTCTGACACATGGACTCGTTTTTCCAGAAGTGTATTATGCATATATTTTGGTTTGCTTAATTCTGGCCTGCATTCTAGGTGAACTTTGATTGCGGATGACAATCATATGACCCGATAGTGGTCTAATCTACAGTTTATTGACAGCTAAATGTATTGATTTATCTTTATTAATGGACTACAGTACGTATTTCAAGGACATAATCCAATACTGCTATTGTCAATTCAGTCCGGTGTCCTCTTAATAGAGGTTTTTAAAAATAGAAGTTAGCCAATTGTCCGCTTAATAGAGGTGTCTTCTGAATAGGAGCTCATTTTAAAGGGAAATATAAGATGTTTATTTCTGGACCAGGCTTAGTGTCCGCTTACTAGAGGGTGTCAGCTTTATTGGGGCTCCGCTTAATAGAGGTTTCACTGTACTTACTAAAAAATATCCAGAGGAAAGGGTGGGGGGTTGTGGGCAAAAACAGCGAAAGCTACATTTACTGCAGACAAAAGCTGGGGGAGTAAAATGATTGACTACAGCAAAAGAACTGGAAGATTTCTAAATCCCTGCTAAAGTCTATGACCACCCCACGTACGCCAACATTAATAAGTTGACTGGTCACAACACCTAACATTGCCCATGCTGAAATATCAGACCCACTGCATCTTTAACTAAGTGACTTTTCATATCTTTAGATTGTGACTGTCCAAATGGGTAACCATATCACAGGTCAAATTTTTATAACAGGTCAATTTTGATTTAACCTACTTCTAGCCCTAGTAGACAAAAGAAAATTGTGACTTACCCTGGTACAAAAAATTAATCTGATCAAATCAAATGCGACATATACAATGTAACAACTCTTATGTCTGCTATTTGTTCATCAGTGTTTGTGTTTGATAACTGGATGCCTTTAAATACTGGACCAGAGCTAGAACCAAAAATCAAGTTGTACTTCAGTTGGAATTGTTGATACAGTGACCTGCTTAGTGAGGGGAGAAAAAATTGGTCTCTAAGAAAACGTTTTTGACCAGTTTAAACTGACCTTTCTAGGGAAAACAACCCTTGACTTTCATTACAGATTTTTTTTCCTTTTCCTGAGCATTTAAAAGGCTTCATTTTGGTGGAAAATTGTTTGAGAAAACTTCTAGGATTTTAGGAATAGTTTGAAGGAAGTGGTAAAGTGAGACAAGATTTTTGAGTCATTCTTACTTGCTTTTTTGTGTTTGCTTTCTCTGGCATTTTCGACTGAATTTGCTCATTTGCTTATGATTGAAATATCCCATCACCCTGCACTAATTAAATTTAAGTGTTGTCTGTGACCGTTAAAACTGATGATGTCACATATGGTACAAGGGATTTCGGAATACACAAAGGCTGTTACAGGTTTCAAAAGCTTAAACCTAGAAAATAAACAAAAAGAAACTGTTAGATTATTATGAATTCCTTCCATTTAGATTTGTTATCCAATGAATGCTTTAAATGTTTTATGTATTATTGTATGTCAGTGAAGGTTACTTTACTTACAGATGTCTACAAGGCTAATTTATTGCTGCTCAATGAACATTTTCAATAGCTCATTGCAGCTGCAGTTAATAACAATGTTTTATGCAGGCATGTCACTACACTTAGGTTTATAAATTCATAGAAGGGGATTTGAACAGCAACAAAGTGTTTCTCAGACTGGTTCTGTTTTCGTTTTGTTTTGTATCAATGTATCAGGGGCAATTTGTGTCTTTAATAGCTAGGGGAAATCCATGGTTCCCAGTCCTCAGCCCTTAGCCCTGTTCTTTTTTTAGGCAGAGTGATAATAAACCATTTTACAGTTTTGGGCAAACTTAGTAACCTAGCCTCTAAGCGAACATGAGGCTAAGATTGGCCTTGTTTTAATACAAACCTCCTTTCATTTGTTATGGAAATTTTGCCAAAAAATTTCCGTTAAAAGGAGAACATTATGTTTTGCATATTAAAGGAGAGAGGGTCATTGATGTCAATAAAATGGTCAACTCTAGCGTCATCGTCAGCTGTCACTGTAAAATGGCTTATTAACACACTATGACAAATGCATTCTTTTTTTTTTTCAGAAAAGGAAAATGAGAATAGTGAAGCAGTGGATGGTCAGTGTAATGGTCCTTCTACTGCAAATAAGATTTCTCCTGAGAATGATGCTTCGCAGCAGCCGCCTCTAACACAGCGAGGAAATGTGTTCACAAGCAGTGAAGTGAAGAAAGATCTGCCAGTGAAACAGCTGGACAAAATGAGTATGATGGATCAATTAGCACAGGAGCTTGGTAAGAAACAAAAGCTTTATCAGCTCAAACAGCTTGTCAGAAGCTGCTGCATTGTTTCAACAATTTTTATTGTTTGAGAGTTTCAGTCGACTAAGAGTTGAGACACAAAGCACATTCATCTGAGTTTTTAATGATCAGAAGCTTTAGTCTTTATACAAGTAGATATGTGGAACTGTTATCTTTTGTTTTCTTTGATCAATACTTGAGAAGGCATAGATGTAGATGCCATAAACCTTGATTTACTGGTTTACTGTGGTTTTCTTGAACTAAAACTGAAACAACAGAAACAAAATGGATTGTACCTTAACAAACTAACTTGATGTAAATTGATAAACATTGTGTGTGTATTGGGAAAAGTACTTGTAACAAATTCAGACAAGGCTGTGCTCTAGCAAAGCCTCACTATTGTTCGTGGGTGACTAAAAAATCTTACATGAATAAAATAGAAATCATATGCTGGGCACCCTGAATTTTGCAGGTTCAGGAAACTAAGGTTCCTTCAATTTTTCTTAGAGCACAGTCTTATCAGACCTTGTGGACAATAGAGTGCATTCTTGATATCAAGTCTCTAATTTTGTATCTTGATGTTTAGCTCGACGGAATACAGGAGAGAGTTCAACAATTGAAAAAACCATCCTCAAGACACAGAATAATAGACACTGTACCACCAACACCCAACATCCCAGGTAGACTATCATGAGTTCCATTATTGAATAGTTGACTTTCTTTTTTGTACTTCTTTTTAGGCTGCCAATTGAGCAATCAAATGACACCATTCTAGGTTGAGGGCTGGTGCACAATATACCAAGTGAATAACAAGAGTTAATCACAAAGAAATCACAATGATCTCAAGCCCTTACTCAATAACATAATAAACTTCACACAACAGAACCTCCCAGTTATTGTGACGGGAAGGGGGAGGGTTGTGGGTGGAGGTGGGTGCATATTCCAGACTGGGCACTTGTTTTTCCTGAGGGGAGGGGGTGTCTGTACACAGGCTAATATAAAATCCCCATCTGAATGTTCAAAATAAGTTACCGGTAAGTAAGCACACAGAGAGTAATCTCAAAGGCACGTCAGGTTATACTTTTCTCTAAGCTGGTTGCATGGGTATCTGGAGAAGAGATACTTTTCATTACAAAGCTGCTCTCAAGGACAGATTTGCTGATTATTTTATCTCCATCATGATCCTTTGTTCGTTTATGGCGCATTTGAATATATTTATATAGATATTTGCACCTTATAAGTTTTTGAAATTAATTAATTATGATCCTTCAGATTTGTGGTAGTTCAAAGTGTTGGCAAGGATGGTAACAGACATGAAGGCCAAGAGAAAGAAACCAGATGGCCTGGGAGTGTAACACATGATAGTAGCAGCTATTCCAGCTCTGATGAAGAAGAGGAAACACATGGTGTTGTTACAGGTAATATCGCTTTAATATGACTTGTACAGCGTGCAAAGAAAGTAGTCATGTGTCTGATAACCTGGGGCTAGATGATTTTGCTATCGGGCTAGCTAGTGATAAATGAAGTTTTTGGGGGGAATTCAAATCACAGAAGAACTGTAACCAATGCTCATCAAAATTTTTTTTCCAGGCTAGTTGAAATGACTTTTGGGCTAGTACGTGCTAGCTACAACTTGCTCAAATGGCAAGCTTCAAAACTGACTTTCTTTACACCCTGCTTGTACCTGGCTGCACCTGACCTTTTGTTTCTCTGCTAAGTAATCAACAGTATAGGCCAGTTCAAAATATACTCTGTAATACTCTTCAATGCAAGGCTTAACCTGATGAGCAAATAAGACACTGCAACAATCAGGCTTAGATGAAGCACTACCCAAAATGATGTTGAAAATATGACAGTAACATTCTGTCATTTCCTGCAGTGGCCTATTGATGTACTATATAATATGAATTTAGAAGGTCATTGCTATGGTAAAATTAAGTGAATTCATTATGCAAATTAAAAATCAGTCTTCTAGATAAATTTGATTTCGCATATGACATTTCAAATTTTGAACAGAGAGCTTGTTTAGAATAAATCTTATTATTATTATACCTTTTTTATTGGTATGTAACTTAAGATGACTGGAAAAAATAAGTTAGATCATCATGTCACTGAAGACGAAAAGGCAGGGCTTCAAATAATGGCCAGTCAATGGACAATGTCCAGTCAGAATTGGGTATTGAATGGACGAATCCTTGGATTGCAGTACATGTTGTCCAATTATTTACTCGTTCAAAGAAATTTTAATTCTTTACTACTTGATAAGAAAGAGGGACAACATTTATGTTTCCGAAACAAAAATAAAATGATACTAGACAAATTAACGGTTAAGAAATTCCCAGTAGTCACAAATTTCCACGATGTCTTCTCAAACTCATTAATTATTCATGTAATGATGACCCAATCAGCTTGCATCAATTGAGTCAGGTGCATGTATTTTGATACTTAATGAACATACCAATCAAGACACATTTGATTAGTTCACTTCTCCCAGATTGTTGCTTCTTCTTGCTTGCTCACAAACTCCTTCTCCTCCTCTTGCACTTAATGTGAAGCCCTTCCCGAACGCCATTCTTCATCTCGGCATCTAAGCAACATCGGAACAAGACAAACCTTTGAAAAACAACACACCAAATTCAATTCCCAAAACAGTGCATTTTAAAATTCTGAACAATGCGGTCTAAAAGTTGTCAATTACCTTTTGTCACTAGCGTCCAGAGGATTCAAAGCTTCGGATCCATTTTTCTCCTCCAAATAATGCTTGAGCACACAAATGATACCATAAACAGTCTTGGGAGGGTATCTTCCACCGAACTTTTTAGCTACCTCCATCACGAATTTTGACAACCAACAGTTCAGCAACGGAGCATCCATTCCGGCAATATTTGCGCTCAGAGTGGTAACTTTGTGTAAATCGTAGTCCTTGAAGAGACCACCACAATCTAATACCTGCCCGTCCATTATTTAAGTTCTGCTTAAAGGGGGTCAGTTCAAAATAAAATTTTGTTTAGCAGACAAATTTACAACGAGAGATAATTTACTGAAGTAAAGGCCTGTAATTTCATTCTGTCAATTCCGAATTTTTCCTCCTTGTTTAAGTGCTTGTGGTGACTTTATATTCAGGTTTAGTCTGTTGAAAAGTTAATTTTGTCTGGTGGAGTAATTTTTGCAGGAGTGTATACAATAGAATATCAATTTCTTTAAGTGTCATGTTTTTTAAAATTCCAAATAATTAAAAAACTGGGATTCCTCTGTTTGTGAAATTTCTATTCTGTTTTGTCGCTGACTTTGTTCATATGAAAACTTGATTTAAAAAAATATATCAAGAAATTCACTCAAATAAATTGCTCTTTATCCATGTTGTTTTCCAGGTCTAGCCTCCAAGCTGAAGAGGAAAGATAGTTTAGCTCTAAAGCTTAAAAGCCGACCAAGTCAAAGTGAACTTGAAGCCAGAAACATACTTCCAAGTAAGTCATGTTATGAAGCTTTTCAGCTGCTGATAGGTTTGTTTGAAAGTGGATCATAACAATAATTTTATTTTTTTTTTCTTTACCAATGAGACATGTTAACAAACGTGTTTAGAGATGAACTCCTACTTTTACCAATTTATTGTTTTGATTTAAAGTGTTTGTTTTAAAGACTGAGTTTCTTTGCTTTTCATCATAATAAGAGTAATCAAGTGCTTTGATTTCGATTCACCATAATGTGATTTGTAGTGGCAGTTTCTCTGTTACACTCATCATGTCTAAAACTTTAAATATTTTCTTTTTGGAAAGCTCTTTGAAGGTTTCCTGTGCGTAAGATATTTTCATTACATTTACGTTCATGCTGTTAAAATCCTCTGACCTGAAACATCGTACATTTTGCTTAGGGGAGGTTTGTGCTTATACACTGTATAAAACACAGCTTAAATTTTGGAAGAATTTCTGTTTGACTGGAGGTCGCTTAATTTTATTGTTGTACTGGTACAAAGGTGTTAAGAAATAAATCACAGATGAATTCCAGAAATCTGCAGTCATGTAATGATTGATGTTGATAATGGTTAAGTAATTGTGTCTATGAATCCTGTAGGGTTTCTTTTGTATTAAATTCCTTTAATCTGATAGGCTTAAAGTATTGATTAAAAGTAAGCAGCAAGTTTATTTCTTTTTTTTGGTACAAATTTTAATTAACATTCAGTTGATTTTACAGCATTTGATAAGTGATCTGATAAGTTCAGAAAGATTTTCAAAACCCTCTGTATAAGTTGGGAGGTATGATCTGAAAGATATTTTCTTTCTGCATAAAATAGTAGCTTTTTAAACATATGACAGTGGTTCAAAAACACCTGTCTTAATGCTGATAGTTTCAATTAACCATCTCTCCAATTAGAAACAAACAGCTATTCTTTATTGCACCTGGTGTCTTGAACAAACTAAAAAATAATGTCATATTGCATGAATTATCTGTCTGATATCAGACACGGTTTCTACATTTATGTCAAATTTTATCCAATATGATAGCCTAATGACCTGTCTTCAATTCTGGAGTATGTTGTTTATTCAACAAGTTGTCTCTTTAGTTGGGCAATCTCAGGCAGTGATTCTGGATTTAAGTAAGTGTGTGACAGACTCTTTCAGATAACCAGCTTTTTCCAATGTTAGCAGTCTAGTACAGTATATATATACTTTTAAGACAGATTGCGGCAAGGTTTTATTAATCATTAAGGTTAAGTGTGACAATCTTAAATCGAGTTCCTCTTGATGACCAATCTTTCTGTATATAAGACATATTCAGCAAATTTTGACAACTCTGTTGGTTTAATAATCATGATAGGTTTCTGATCTCAGTCTTAAGTTTTTTCCATTTAGTATTTTAACCTCAAGATATTTGGATTAATTAGTGGTTTTGTGGTCATCTTACTTGCCTGTCAACATGGTTAAGAACTTACACGAATGCAGGTGACCCATAACCTTATTTGCAGATGGATCCCGCTGGTGCTAATGTGTTATTCCCTACAGTTTCAGTAGTGTTATAAGCTTTTGTTGGTTCCAGGTTAAAATGATTTTACCTGGGTTGATTCTCATATTTCTGTGTCTCCTACCGCTAAGAGACAAAGGAAACTGAGAATCAACCTGGGTTAAATCAGAATTAACCTGAAATAGAATTTGTCCTTTGACATATATTTACCATAAAGGCAAACTTAGAACAGTATTAAAACAGTTTTTAATAGTTTGTATCAAGGAATTTGGGTGCTTAATTCAGTGGTGCTCAGAAAGAGGTGAAAAATTGTTAATTGGCAATCTTATGAAAATGTCATACATAATTTAAAAAAAGTTTGTGTTGGCATATGAAGGAAATAAAGCTCCTCATAGGTTTACTGGAAGAGCAAATTACTGGTAATCTTTCAACTGCCCAGCCTTAATTTTCAGAATAATTTCACAATACTCTAGGTTTTGGCAGATATGTATTGTACAATACTCTTGTTTATTGCATATCCGTTAAATACTGCTAGTCTTCATTAGGCAATGGTGTTGTTTTTCTCAGAGGGACTAATATATAAATTTAGCCAGGGTTAAAAGATAAGATCTTGTAAGTACACTTATAGTTTGCTAAAGCCAAAAATTAAGTCATGTAATGCTAAATGGTGATGGCATCGAGAACGCCAAATAAATCATTAGGTCTGATCGGCAAACAAACAACTTTGCACGTGCAGCACACTTTTTTGTACATTTTTTGAGGCCGTTTTGCACGACTGCGTTGTGAAACTTCCTAGTTACACGTTTTGTAGGAAAGAAGGTGTATGTGTTCCTGTTCATTTTTTTTTCAACTGACGTTCATGCCAGTTTAAAACATTTCTCATTTTGTCATTTCCCCATAAAATTGTCATGTCTTCCTTCGAATGAAATTCATCTCCTCTGATTTTTTATCTCTCACTGTGTTTTCATTCTCAGCGAGCTTAGTTCTGACACAATCATCCATACATTTTGTTACCGATGGTGCTCTGCTGCACACGCTTTGTGCTCGAGAGCTCTGCTTTAATTATTGGCACCATGGTTGCTTGTGATTGGTGCATAATGAGCCTCAATTGTGGTTGGTTGGTTTTGTTGTAAAGCATTGTAAAGGTTAAAGTGCACTGAGCATGTTTGTTATTTTATTGTCCTGCTAAGTAAATCAATTAAAGAAGAGTATTTTGGTGGGACAAACATTAATAAAACAAGCGGCTATGATGCACAAGCCAAAGTGGATAATATCATATCATTCTAATATGTATGGAATTTGCAATTTTTCTTTTTGTTGTTAAGAAACATGAGGCCTCTTACTTAACTAAGCACTTAACTTCCTATTGGAACCACTAAGTTACATTTTGTATTTTAGGAGGTTAATAGATTTACAATTACTTTTATTTCAGCCAAAACGGAGGAAGAAAAGCTTGAAAGGAAGAATGAAGTAGGAACTAAACTTATAAGGTAGCCAAACACTTTCTAATTAGACTGCTATTATTAATAAAATCACCTTTTCTTGTCCTATTTATATTTTGAAACTGTTATGTGAAGCACACATCACTCTAAACTTCTTTTAGTGCTTTAGAAGTTACATCATAGTGTAGGCAGTAAATTCTGATTTTGAATCATTATATTAAAGAAGAAGGAGATTTCAAACACCAGAAAGCTCAGAAAAATTTTCCGAGCTCCAGGTGAGAATCGAACTCACGACCCTCTGAGTTCTAGTTCGGACCCTCTAACCACTGAGCTACTGGAACTCTAATGACGAGCAGGGTCAGAATTTAAATACAAGTACTCCAGACTTTTAGGATTGCATTGGGGACTTGCTAGTGGGCCAGTGTTAATACTGACCTTTGGTTTGTTCATAATACCTAAGTTAATTGCAATTTCTAGGTCGTTGTCATTTGCTAAGTTTTAGTCAGTCTCATCAGTAATCAATGTTGGCCTTTCTTTTCTGTGGCTCTTAAGTATTTTAAGATACCTTTCTGTCACTGTTAAGACTTCCTCTTTTGTACTTTGTACTTTGTGCTTTGGAAACGAAATTGGTTTTAGCTTTAGGTGTGTGCATCTTATATGACTGGCTATGTGAGCAACAAAATGAAGCAGATGCTGTTACTTATTAGGCTGGACATGCCTGTCATGCCTGTATTGTTCATCCAAGATAATTTTCCCCATAAGCCATCCTATGGAGGTCCAAACTCTGCCGACTGTCTCTTTTGGAGTAATCTCCACTCACATTACCCCCCTCCCCCCTGCCCCTGTAAAAATATATCAACCAGGTCTGCAAATTATAACAGTGGTGTTACTCAGAACATTATACAATGTCTAACATGAAGTACAAACCATAATATTCGCTTTTATGACTTAATAGTTTTTTCAGTGATGAAATTTGTGCAAAAACATTGCAGCAGAAACCATTTTGAGTTTTTTTGTTTTTGTTTTTTTGTTGCGAAAGGAAACAGACTAAATTTGAAACTAAATCATGGAAAATTTTCAAAGTCATTATTATTCTAAGATTTGGTCTTCTGTAATTATGGCAGGAAATTTCTGCCATATCTGAGAGAGATAACATATATGTTATTTAATTGGATAATGGCTTTGTTCTTCTGTTCCATTGTCATGGTCTTCAACTTTGTGTTAGTCCTCAGCAACTTAAAGCGAAAACTTAACAAAAATTGAACCATCTTGACCTTGTACTTGCCAGTGAATTTTCTGTGGCATCTGTAAGCTGAGGCTTCTTTTTACTGTGTGTTGATACATGTGGCTAAATTTAATTTAGGTGAGGTTAAACATGAGACAATGCTGGTCAGCGGTCTCCCTTGCTAATCATTTGTGGCGCGGTCTAAGGGATTTTTCAGGGCCCCAGTATTTTACAGCACTCCTTTGGAGGTCAAGTCATTTTGCATACATTGTCTTTGTCTGTGCTTGTGCCAAAGCCTTTTTGCTCCCAGCCCTTTCCTCCCTCTGCTTTGGTCTTGTTAAGTACCTGAAAACTTTCTATTGAGGTTCTCATTATGATGGTGGCTGGTGCTTGCCGCTCACATGCTTGTCATGGTTACCTTCACGCTTGCTTGCGGCTCCCTCAGTTTACTCAGGCACCTTCCCCACATTAAGGGTGTCTTGAAAACAAAGACTTGTAAGACCCCCAACCGAATGACTGAACTTTATTGATTAGGCTTAGCAAAGTGAGTGAATCAGTTCCATTTAGGTCATTATACTGGGTTTCCTAATCCTAATCTTAGGGTGTCTGATGGGTTCTTAGGGGTCTTCGGAAAATTATAACATAATTTATTGTAAAATTGCTTAAGGCCTATATTTGGTGAGTTCTTACATAACCAATGAATCGACTTGGGAACCAACCATTAATTCTTACTAAAAACAAAAATGTGTTCTTAATTTTTTCAGCAGACGTTTTTAAAAATTTTAAGTGAATGAATTAAATCAAAGAACATACTCTCACAGCAGAAACTTCCTGTTACTTTAAATTGTAAATGTTTATCTTTTTCAAAGTCCGTCGAAATTTATCATATACTTCTCTTATGAGCAAGGGTATAATTTAAGTCAAATTCCAGAATATTTCCTGACCACAATGAAGCTTTTATAGCAGGTATTTAATTCATGTACCACCAAGAAGCACCTGCTGTGACATTATAAATTCACTGAAGTACTCAATACTTTGGAATTAGTATTACTTACTGTTCATATTTCTTGTATCTTAAAATGTGTATTTTATTTGTCAATGTTATTTGATTGATGCATTTGGAGTTTTTCTTTGTGCTTTGTTGTACCACAGCTAACACAACCAAAATCTGTAGTTCATGACATCCATGCAGTTAATTAATATTCCGTATCTTGATGGTTTTTAGTATTTAGTGCCAGGTGTTGTTTTAATTAATTCAATAAATAAATATACCACCACAGTTTTCAGTGGTTATAATAAAATCCATGTAAAGAAGCTAACTATGTAGATGTAATTCTTCCTATTGGAGTGCCATGGTTACTAAAACACTGTAATGTGGCCATTTTTGGGGACGTGAAGTTAGAGACTACCTTATGCTGCTGCATCAGCATTGAGAATGTCGCATGTTCTGTTGAGGACAGTATACTGCTTAGAATGTGCTGTAGAATATACATTCTACTTTCTTTACAACGGAGCAAATGAGAACAGTAGTATGCTTTGTGATTTGGTCTGGAATTTGGAAATAGCACTATATTGTTTCATTTCAAGGTGTATTCAATTTTTGTAAGTAACTAACTCTTAATGGATAATTTTAATGGGTAATTTTGTGGAAAAAGTAGTATTAAGCAAAATTGTTTGATATGTCGCTAAATTTACTCCTGTAACTTCCCAGAGTGCATAATTTTAAGTTTAGGTATAAGTTAGTGCTGTATCCTTGGTCATAAGGTTATAATGAATTAACAGTAAGTTGATGAACCTAGGGATACAGTGTTTTCTTTCTAAAGTTGATATGAAGCTACTTGCAAGACACAAGTTTCATTTTCCAGAGGTCTGTCTGTTGTTTGAAAATTTTAATGCTATTTTCTTTCTTTCAGCTGATTTAAGCCAGTGCCTTATTACTGTCTTGATATTATATTTTAATGGATTTCTGTCTCTGTGGGACATTCCTTGAATGCTTTGCTACTTGTGTGTGTTAATGATGATACTGTCTGTCGTTACTATAAGATTTATTGCAGCCAAAAAGAACTGTGAAATTACATACATTTCAGGCATCCTACTGATGAACAGTTAGTCCATTCAGATATTTGCAGGACCATCAGCTATTCACCTTTTTTCACCTTCAAAACTGAGAGGTGTATTTGTTAAAATGTGATAGAAAGGTTAACACTGTTGTGGCAGACCTTCATTAACTACCCAGCAGTTACTTTATGTAAAGTTGTGGTTATTATTTTAAAAGGCCGAAAGGGAAACTTGTGACTTTGTTTTGATGTAGTTACATCAAACCCTAGATGACTACAATCAAAATTCTTATTAATTTCATGGTCTTATTATTATTGTACTCTGAAAAATTTTACCAAAGACACTGTTGCTGCAATATAGAGCAATTTTCTGTTGACTTGGAGGACATTAACATTAAATTCTCTTTGCTTTTCTAGGCGTCTCAGTACACGGCCCACAGCACAGGAACTGAGAGAGAGAAATATACTTAAATGTAAGCACATGTTTTCTTTTTTCAGCTGGCCTTTTTTCTTCTACAAGATAAACATTTTGGGTCAGTTATTTGTAAATGAAGTCTAACTTAGACAGCAGTTTTGGAATTATCTTTGGACCTTAAGATCTCTTCCTTAGTGGGTCATTTTAAGAAGACAAACACCATTTGCTTTTGTGAAACTGTTCACAATAAAAAAATTAATGGTGTTTACATAAAAGCGTTTAGCAAACTGAAAACGTCTTAGAATGGGGTTTTATTAAACACTGGCTAAACTCTGTTTAAATAACTGGCCCTTTGTTTTGTGAAAGTGACTTTGTTTAGTTTGGTAAGACAAGATCACTTTTGACTTTTATTTGGAAATGATTACCTATTTTACGTAGTTTAAAATGGATATGTGGTGGGTCTAAAATACAGGTCACTTTTACACAGGTCAGGGTACAGGTCACCCTGATACCATAAATGAACAGTATTAAATGTTTCTCCTAGCCCTAATCTCTTAACAAAATACTCTATTAGATTGAGGAGAATCTGCATCTGGGCTGTCACTAAGATTTCAAGTTGCCTGGTAAATACAACAAGTAGGCAGGGAATCAAACAGCTAGGGAATTCTTTTGGTTCTGCTTTCTTCCATTTTCCTATGAAAGTAGCGGGGGAAAATGCATGATCTCCGAAAGTCAATGACAGCCCTGCTGTGTGGTGTGGTTATTTATTGATGGAGCAGTGACCCAGGGTTTGCAAATTTTATTGAAGAGTGGAGTCAGTGTGACTTCTGCTTCACAAATTTTGGAGTCATTTTGGAATATTTGGAGTCAAGTACCACAACGAAAATAGCCATTTTCAGACTTTCCAGCATGCGGTCCTGGCATGTATACACTATCGTGAGGGATACACGAAATAGCTGTGGCAGTCCGCTGACCTGGAAAGCTCAAATCCATGATGGCGGTCATCGAGTAATCTTTGATCGTAATTTACCCTCTTCCTGTTTTGTCGTGCAGTATAATTCTTTATTTTAGATGATTTAATTAAGGTTTACAACGTTTACAATTAACGTGAATTGTATTTGATGTGAAAAAGGTAAGGACAAAACTGTGCTTGTTACCGCAAATTTTGTGGAGTCGAAGTGGCTCCCTGTTTGTTACCGAAAATTTCTCGAGTCGAAGTGACTCCCTCCGTAACCTCCGTGGAGTCATCTGAACAATTTTGGCGTAAATACACCAAATTTGGCGTATTTGCGAACCCTGGTGACCTGTACTCTTGACCTGTGGAATGTGACCTGCACTTTAAACCTGGCCTGTGTGGAGGTGTAGTGGCTGAGCGGTTAATACTTAGAAAGTTCTCTGGATCTGGAAGTTCAAGTCTTGCCCTCGCAAATGTTTTCTTAGACAAGAAACTTTGTTGCACTTTGTCTCTCTTCACCCAGTTTTACAAATGAGTACTGGCAATTACCTGCTGGAGGTAACCCTGTTGTCCCAGCGTGTGACTGTTGTTCTCTCTTTAACAGGTGTTGTGCCTGTGACAAGTGTTGTTCCTATGACAGGCTATGTCTCTGTGATGGGGTGTTGTTTTCCCTGTTATAAGTGTTGTCACAGATAACCCTGCAGGTGTTGCCCCTGTGATGAAGCTTAGCATCTCATCCAGGGGGGAGTAGCATTACTTCTAGTCACTTCATACTGGGAATTAGGGATATGCACTAGCTGTGTGCCGTGTGGGCCGTTTGGCTTGTATGCCGTTACCTTAGTTTAGAATTTACCAGAAAATGATATTTTCATTTATTTCTAGTTTGAGGCTGACTAATTTTTGTTTTACCATTAAATTTTTTGTAAGGCTTTGCAACTTAGTTTTTGATGTCTGTTCCGTAAAGTAAAACCTGGGGACAGAGATAGCACTGTATAGTTATGTTTGAAACAGATCAACAATATAAATTATACAAACTGAAGAATAATAGATATTCCAAGGACAACAGTAAAAATGTGACATTAATAGGGATGTATCTTAGGAAAAGCTATGCAGGCTTATTTATTAGTTAGCTATTGTAGCTTGTTACCTTACTTCACTCTCAAAATTACCTGAGGTCTTTGTTCTCTAGTGCAATTTGGGCAGGGTTGTAAGTTTTTTTTCAGCGCGATGAAATTGGCTGGTAGCGGCCTCACCTTCATCCCTGCATTAACTGGACCGGGAAGGTTTCAACAATTCATCCTTCACCATCGAGCATTGTAAAATATTTGTAAATTGGTGTTGAATTTTAATCTGCATGAGGACAACAAGCATAATATGATTTTTTCGCATTGGGTCGTGCAGTATTCTTTAAATGAAATGAAGGGACTTAAAAAAATTGTCCAGTTTATTTATTTGACTTGCCAAGTAACATCAGGCTTTTGTGTTGAATTGTTAACTTAACCTTACCTTTCCTCTCCGTGCCTTGTGGCACATGAGGCCTCTGTAAACTTAACCAACACATTGCATTTTTAACAGCATCTTCAGAAGAAGAGGCACAAGAAGAAAAAGAAGAAAAGAAACGAGTTTTAACAAGAAAGGTGTGTGACACATGTGTTGTTGATGAAAGGCATTAGCTGACAAATATCTAAACATTCACCATTTGGAAAGGAATATCTTGTAAAATATTTTTTGTTCTAGGTCCAGTAATACTAATTTTAATGTTGTTTTCATTAGCTGAGTAGACGACCGACTGTGCAAGAGTTGAGGGCGAAAAAGATCCTAAAGTTCAATGATTATGTTGAATGTGTTGATGTTCATGACTATGACAGAAGGTGAGGCCTTTGTTCCTGTTTACATGTTCTTAAACTGTAATTTGGAAGATGGATAATTCTTGTACCAGAAGGCTCTAAAAAAATTCTGAGCTCCAGGTGAGGATCAAACTCATTGTCATTTTTTTACAGACCGTCACCATTTTTTTTGTATTTTTTTGTTGCTTTTTTTACGACTGTGGGTAGCCAGGCTCCTGCATTAGGAAATGATACTCTTTTTGTGCGCACAATTAAATACTTGAGAGTGCTGTTCACACGTTCATGTGGAAGTAAGATGATCTTCTTTAGAAAAGCAATTTATTCAAACATAATTTTTTTAAATGGTATAGTCCCTTTTTAACTGATCTCTCTTCATAGCTGATGACAAAAGAGAATGTAAGGGTCATTGTGCAAAAAGAGAAGGAACTATGAACTGGTCTCTTTCCCATGGTTGTTAATGACTGGAAAGAAATCTACCAAAATTTGTAGTGCATGTTCACAGTTTACTTGTATATTGGCAATTTTATCAAGTTCCTTCATTGTTAATCTGCAATTCACAATTATATATTTTATAATTCACGATACTGGCAATATAAAAACCAAGATGGCACAAAAAACAGAGCGAGTCATGGCTTTAAATGTAGAACTACTGTAAACACAGTCTTTCCGAGATTGACCATGAGGTTGTTGAGGTGCTCCAGTCTTCTTCAGAATTTATTGTTGAAACTATAGGCAATGTAGTGTGCATTGGGAGAATGCTTCTGCGTAGCTCTAGTCTTTCAATCTTCTTGGTGAAATTGAGGAAAATGATGACAGGAATTAAGAGATGGTAATCCTACATTCTTTTAGCATTGAAATAATGTGCTCATTATTAATAGCCTGTTCCAGGTGTTCAGAATGTGGTTCAGGGTTTTAGTGGCGGGATTCCAATGTAAAGGAGGGGGAATATTTGACTGTCTCGTCACCCTTCCCTTTTGTAAAATTGAAAAATTAATTGAATTTACGGGCATGATATGTGTAGTGCCAAGAATCTTTGCCATCATTTGCCTTCACAGGGTGTAAAAACTAAAAAATGAAAGCAAAAACAAGAATCAAATCAATCTTAACCCAAACTCAACTCCAACTCAACTCAGACTTGTAACTTGGTCATTATCCTATCTACTTATGCAACACACCTCCATAAAGATGGAGCTTTAAATATAATTATTTTTAGTGTATAAAAAATTATCTCATCATTCATCTGACTCCAGCTAAATGTTTGCTTTATCATCAAGGTTCATCTCACACACGTGACCTGCACTTCAGTTGCCCTGATAGGTCAATTACTAGATCAGTTATTATCATATATTAAAATTCACACTTGACTGCTCAAGACTTGGGGAAATAAAACAAATAAAGTGTACCACGAGTTCTAGAGATAAATGAAACGTTTCCATTAATATATTTCCCCTTTCCTGAATTATGGTATACCATAAAATGCATTTAAATGCAATTTAAAGGATTTAACAACTAAGAGCACCTTAAGTGCCTGAGGTCAGCAGTCTTTGGCATGCACATGCCCAGTAGCTAGCTAAATCAATCATGTTATTCATTGGCACATTCAGTTTTTCCTTTGGGCTGGGTTCTTTCAGCCATTTCCCCCTCCTCCTCCCCCTAGGCTGTGTTGTTTTTTCTCCACCTTTCCTTTCATGTGGGGGCTCATGGCAGGGTTACACTGTTGTGCCAATCATGGGGGCATTATTTCAATGTAGGGGCTGGCTGCCAATAGTGGAAGCCGCTGGATACTCAAGGCACCCAACCTCCATTTTAGCGATGCAGTTGTTAAATTCCAAAAATAAGCCCCTCTTTTTATAATCCCCCCAAACTCATAGCGCAAAAAAATCCTCTGGTAAATTGCCCCTTCAAATATAAGCCCCCAGGGGCTTGTACTTGGAAATTGGCCTCAAATACAAAGTAAAACAAAGAAAAACGTTAAATTTCCTTCCAAGAAGGCTAGCCCAATCGATTTTGAAATGCAGATTTCCCTCTGTACATAAGCCCCTCAAAAAAGGGAATTTTATGGTATTTTGTAAAACTTATATTCTAATTTTGCCCTTGTGTTTTTTTTTTCATCATCTGGTTTTATTTTCTGGAGTTTTGATGTTCTCATGCATACCATTTATTTCTTGTAATATTTCTTATTCTTTCAGAGCTGACAAACCATGGACTAGATTAACACCAGAAGACAAGGTAATCCTTTTTTATTTATTATTTGTTCAGCTGTTCTGCTTTGCTAACAGGTTTTCTTAGAACTTATGGGACTGATGTTTGATTATATTATTGACATAAATCTGTCCTTTCTAGGCTGCCATTAGGAAAGAACTCAATGAATTTAAAAGTAAAGAAATGGAGGTTCATGAGGACAGTAAACAATATACAAGGTAAGGGTACATTTCCACTGTCTTATAGTTTTCATTTGCGTACCCATGTAAAAATTACGTTTGTACAATTAATTTTCAACACTGGGGGTTAACAGGAGTAGTAAAGTTGGCCAGTCCTGAATTTTCTGGGTGTTCCCATATTAATTGTGTTCACAGTTGGTAGAGTTATACTTCTGCTTTGGTAAAATGGCAAATTTGGTTTTTCTTTTGCACTCACAGCAAGGACTTGTAGCTACTTCTTCTAAGATGTTCTTGAGAAAATACTTGAGCAAGGCTGGCTTTCTTTGTTGAGATAACTTTAAGGTGATTTTACATGAATTGGGCCGGCCTGGTGCTGCCATATTGGTAATACAGAGAATTTGGTTTGCCAGCCTGGCCTGACAAGCCTGATGACATTGAAAATATCCAGCTTGGTTACCCAGGATACCAGCTAACTGGGCTTGCTTGGTTGTTGTGCAATCTCAAAAGTTTATTATGTTGTGTTTAACTAAATTACCAAGTTTTTGGCACTGTGAGCCAGTCTGGCCATGTAACCAGGCCCTAAGTGTAATATCCTTCCGAAAATTACTGTGAAACAATGGACATAAAAATTTCTGGAATTTTATTGTGTTAACCAAAAAAGAAACTCGATCAGCTGTGAGAAAATGAAGCCACAAGTAAAAAGGTAATTATTTTGTGGTTTTATGGCTTGGGTTGTACTAGTAAAAAAACTAGACGTCAGTTACTTCTGATCATGTATATGATTCTCTTGCCAGGCTGCCTTGTATTTTCTTGATAAACAAACAGAAAATTTTTCAAGTCTTTTCTGTCTTTATTGCTATTGCAGCTCTATCATAATTATATCTATAGTTATTTATCGCATCCCCTTTCTTGCAGGTTCCATCGACCTTAGTTTTATAATATAGATGCCAAGAAGATTTTTACTGAACATTCTATTTTTTGTTAGATGGAATTATTCAAAATACTCTAATAAAAATTTAATGTACAGGTCATGCTATGACTGTAAATATATTAATATTAATATTGCATATTAAGAGTTTTGTATAGGATTGTAAAGACTTTTACTGTTTTTTTAGATGCATTACTTTGAGGGTGTCAATGGGATGTATTCTAGTGATGTCTTAGTAGATCATCTCCTTAAGATATTTAAGTTTCAGCTGAGTACAGTGCAGGATAAATGTTTATCACCTTGTGGACTAAGTTGCTAAAAAATGAAACGTTACTGGAGATAACTGAACACTTTTTTGTGTGTGCTATAGATCTAATGCAAAAATGGCCACAGCAGTTCATATTCAAATCACCCTCATCAGCCTTGTTCTTGAATAAAATTTTAAGATTACTTTATTTCAAGCAAGGTTAGTGAGGCTAATTTTGGCAAAATTGAAGAACAGCTCCCCAAAAAATCTGCCGGCTGTCACCAACAGTCGGCAGATGACTGGTCAACAGTCTGCTGACCGTTTTCCCATTTACACAGAAAAGTGTCAGCTGACTGTTGGCCGACAGTTGGCCAGAGTTAGGTTTCAATCTGTCGGCCAATTGTTGGTTGTCTGTCAATGAACTATTGGTCAACAGTCTACCAAGAGACGACCAACAAATTTTTGAGGGAGCTGTTCTTCAATTTTACCCTAATTTTAAATTTAAACAAAAAAATATTAATCCAGCAGTACTTTTTGCATTGGGGCATTCTTATCAAAAATGTTCAAATATTTGACTTCCATGAACTATGTGCTATAAAACAAGAACTTGTTGTATGACAGTGCGTTCACATTTTGTTATTTTTATTGCTACAAGATGAATAAGGAGTTATATGCTAGACGTTAACCCCAATGACATCCTCTTTTAGTGTGCTAAATATTTGCATCAATCCTCTTGTTAGCTAATAACTTACCTGTAAAGACCCAAGTTTTCTCAGTTTAACCTCAAAAGGTTTTAAGTTCTGTAAAACCAAAACTCAAGTCCCTACACTAAGCTTTGAAGCAAAAATTGAATTACCCGAATAGCTTACAGATCTGTTAGATGTGCTGGGTTCTCTTATGGGCATCTTTACTATGATGTTATTTTGCTCTACCTATGAGCTCTCCATTTCCACTGGGAATGTGTTTTTTTTTTGTGAAAATTAAACCATTGAGTATATTTAATGTGAATGTTGTTAAATTTAATAAGATGTTCATGATGTCTTTGCAGTACCTCACTTCCTCTGGCAGGAAGGAAAATTAATTTTTGCCAGTGGAATTCAAGCATAATTCCCGCTTTATAGGAAGTATACGAACATTTTGGAGCAAATATTTGGCCAAATTACAGAACAATTTCAACTAGTAGCACTTACTCTAATGATGTACATAGCATTTGAGAGAAAAATTAAATTTAAAACAATCCTGGCTTTGCATCTTGTATCAGTTGACATGACTGTGTCATTCATGTCCCTTAACACAAAGCAATAATTCCATTATTTTCACTAATAAACTCTGCTTGATACTGTTCTATACATACAATGTATTACTTGTTGCACTCTTTACGCATATAGTTCATTAGTGTTTGATGTATCAGTCAACATTCCAGGCTACATCTATCTACCCCTCTCCAAGTAATTGCTTAACCTAAATCCGGGCATAAGCAAACATTAAATCTGAGTTTGATATAAAAAATTATGCAGTGCAAAGAAGGAATTAAGCTCTTTCAGACCATTCCCTCTGCGATGGATAAGCCTTTTTCATATGAAGGCTAGGTTTCAATTTCTTGTTTTATTTTAATGAAAAATTAATATTAGTTAGTGGGGTCACCACAAAAGCATAAGGCCAATTACTGTGGGCCTATTACCGTCCCCTCCCCCACGAGAGATACACCACACCAGCAAATTGTCTTCTACCCATTCTCTCTTATCCCCCCTCCAATAATGAAGGAGACAAGGGCAACAGCTTAACGTCACCGCCCAATGACACAGTCACCTGAACACAGCCAGCATGATCGTACCAGTTTTTCAAAGACCCTGGTTGTTGGTCTTGCTGGGGTTTGAACTGACAACTTGCTTGGTAAACTGATGCTCATAAATACTGGTAAACTAATGAGGTGGTGGTAAGTTCTTGTGTAAAAAAGTTCTTCAAAACATTTGCCAGCTCCGCAGTTTTAAGATGTGAACATAGGTGGTACAGTAGTCTGTTATTCTTGGCATGGCAGATTCTTGTTGTCTCTTTGAGTCAGTTATTTGGCTGTTTTGTCTTTGCATAGCTGTCAAATCATCCACTATTTTCTCAAGCTCTGACTACTTAAACAACAGCTTAGCTGCCACATCACAGTCTTTGTGTGATGTCAATTGCTCAGTAGTTTTCTTTAACTGGATGAGTGATGCAAATTGTCAAAAAATAGAAAAATTAATCCAAATTTGGTCAGCACTGGCCAGTTAACAAAATTAGTGGCAGGAGACGGAGCAGACAGACTCGGAGCGAGTACACCCCGTGGGGTACAAGTCTGTACCCAAGACCCACATAGCCAGAAAGAGCACACCGCGCCTAACAAAAATAATCCTCTCGTTTGGTGTTTATGAGGCCAATATTGAACAAATTATAGTGCAGCCATTAAAAATCTCAAAAACACGATATGCCCTGTAGACGTCTGGCGATCCATGCATTTCTAAGTAAATTGCAACATTTTCAAATGGCTGGTATTGGTTTGGTAAACACCTAGCCTGTGTACAGCCGCCCCTCCCCTCAAAAAAATCCTTTCCGATTTTTTTGAGGGGAGGGGCGGCTGTACACAGGCTAGTAAACACCATACTTGAAGATTTTGTAAAGATCATTATCACTCTTTCCGAGTTTGTGGCTCTGGTGCTGATAAACCCTCGATAAACCCATAATATGAGGACTTGCACCCAGTCCTCCTCAGTTTGAAACCAAGCAATAACTGACATGCCTGACTCTTTTGACTCAACTCAGTGGTTACTCAATGCATGCATATCAAAAAGTATTGTTTGTACCAAAAATTGTTATAAACGTTTTAGTATACTCCAGGAAAGAGATTTCTCCTGTCCTTAGGAAAGTTCTCAATCTTCTTTTGGTACCAAAGTTGTGTCTGATGACTTCTTCCAGCCAAGTAGCATACAACTACCATCCATGCAAGATATATACACAAGTGATTACAAACAACTGCCATGCCATACCAAGCAATCACTTCACTGAAAAACAAGCAAAAAACCCTTACTATAGTCTAGCCCTAGACTGTCTCGGCTATTCACTTGGCTATTCACTGTTTTGAGACAAGTCAAAATGACATCTCATTTAACTCAGCAATAAATGAAGCAGCTGTAAAAACAAATACCAAACAAGCAACAAAATTTGGCTTGTCTGTCTTAACTGCTTAGTAGAAAATTATTTTCTTCAACAAAGTCATAAAATACACTTGACTCCTAATTTTGTAAACACTGTCAATTCAAAGCTCTTACTAAGGGACATCTTATAATATTATTTTACAAAAAAGGTTAGACACTAATTAAAACAGCTAAACAAATATCCTCCTGATCAGCGTGTGAAATGAAGATGATCATCACAGTTAAATAGACAACTTATGCCGTTGCAAAAAGAAAGCCCGAAAAATTCAGGCTTGCCGGGATTTGAACCCAGGAGCTTAAAGCTTTGCACCTTGGTATAAATCCACCACAATTCACCTCCCCTATGAAAATAGTTGTATAATATTTACTAACTTACCCACAATAGTGTGCACAGACAACATAACTGAAGAGTCCTCCCTGTGGAACGGTATACCCAGATGAGATACCAGCTGGTCGCAGCTTGGCTAACACCCAGTGATGATACAAATTTATAAATTCACCAGTTATGTACAGCACAACACCAACTGTTAATGCAGTGCGATTGGAGGACAGGTTAACAGCCAGAGTATTGTCTGTGTAAATGTTACACCAGTAGTGCTGAACAATGGAACCAACTGAATAAAATGTTGACACCTGCACATTAAAGAAAAGGGAAACAATATGGCTTTGATATTTTCAAGATATTTCTAGCAGTCACATAAGAAATGCAAGTCACAAACCTCTGCAAAAACTAGTAATTTATCTAACCTGTCTTTCAAGAACAAAATCTCTAATAGGCTCTCTTGTGGTGGAAAAGTTGATTAGATGTTACTTAAGCAAAGAGACAGCTACTGTGTTCATAGTATTTGACTCTGATATCAAATTAAAAGATTTTGAATTAAAAAAAAGGATTATACATCTGGAAAGTAGAACAAGATATTCCAGTCAAAGTTATGTGTTTTTTTGCGTGATAAACCAGTCTCTTAATTGGCTGAATTGTGCACATTTGGACAAAGCTTAGAAGATTTAAGCTTGAATACGAGGGCTCTGCTGTTTTTGGAAAATGAGTGTTTGCTCATGCAAGAGCCAAATTGGGAAGGTGGCTGAAATCAAGCCTAGAAAGATGCGGCTTCCCTTCACTAGCACTAGTCTAGAGCAAAATGAGTTGAGTTTCCTGAGTGACTGACGAGAGAACAAGAAACAATCATCTTCTTATTATTAAACATGAAATATCTTTTTATAATAGTGACAAACAAAGTATTGTCTCGAAAGGATGTGTCAAACAGTTTTTTATAACAACTAAGTGCTGAACAATCAAACTTATCCCTGGTTTTCACTGTCACACCATCAAAAATAAAATTTGTTCCAGTAGATTAAGTCCAGAATCTGGGATATAAAAGAAGAAATGATTTTCCCAAATTTATTGATACAGCTTTGTATGGAGACACCATGGTACTCATCGGGATGGGAATATCTCTGTTGTGGTTCAATTTTATCCCTGGTGGCACTGTATGGAAATGTGTTTAACACAAAGAGAAAATACATTTTACAGTCAAGGCAGTTCAGTTTGCATAAATGAATCAATTAGTTGTTGCTGCAACCAGTCTCAAATTCACATATTATGCATTCCTGCATTCGTAATGAGCAGTGAATTTTTGACAATAACTCCTCTGACTGTATTTGGTCTGATTGAAAAATTAATTTTATTAAAGATCAAATTCAAGAAAACTGTGCTGGCAGAACTTTCATGAATACCTCGTGTGTGAATTCACTGCTCATTTACATATGCAAGAGTGCAAAGATGAAACTGAAATTTACAACTACCAATGGATTCAACCTTCGAATAATAAATTCATTAATGCAATCTTGTCGGTACGCTTGACCTGCCCTGACTGTAACACAAGGATTATAAAATTGAACTACAACATCTCCATTAAAGAGGATTAGAGCCTGCAGTCTAGTGTGATCTTGTCCCCTGAGTCTTTGTTGTACCCTTGTCCTTTTTAATTCATGGATACCCAAAGGGTATCTGCGAGTTGTTGTGGTAGGTGTGATATGGAAAACGTATCAATCACTCACTGCGTGAAGTGTGTAGTCCCGGGGGGGAAAGGGGTGGGGATGCTCGTCATCTCGCTTAGGGGTGTAAATTTCGAATTTTGGTCTCACTTAGGGTGTTCTGGGCAAAACGCCATCATATTTAGCCGTGAAGGTCTCAGTCACGGTTGCACGCCAAAAAAATATAAATATATATATATTGTCTGTGTTTTAGCATGGTCTCTTTTAGGGGTCAAAAAACTTGCGCCACTCCCAGATCGTTCTCCTTTAGGGGTTGAATACAAAATTTCTGACGAGTATCCCCACCCCTTTCATATGCGGAGTCCCCCTTATGCGGAGTTCACTTTGGGCATGCATTCACTCATAGAACCTTATGTGAGAACTTTGGAAACAAGGTTGACATGCAGATAGGATTAAAGAGTCTTTTTAGACAGAGGATTGAAAGGATGGAGTCAGACAGCCAATTCACCTACTATCAATAAAATTTAATGTCTTACCTCTGCTACTCCCAAAACAGAAATCTTCTTGGAATACTTGTGTAGAAACAGAACTTCCAGGACTCTTTTCCCAAAATGACCTACAAAGGTCACTAAAGCTACAAGGTGAAATGTTGTCTGTGGCATTCCAACAAAATACCACAAAACAATCTGAATCACAGCTGGCAAAGCATATGTTAATGACCAACCAAGCCGTGCATTGATCTCTCCATCTGAGGCAAATTTACTACAAAAAATTAGAAACATTGTTAACTTAATGAAGCTTACAAACACCTCAAAACTGGTAGTATGCAAGAATTTCCTCTCTGTTCAGTTTTCAGATTGAAATAATATCTTTTGCTAATGAGTTATGACTTATGAATAATGAATTATGAATCCTACAAATTGCCCATGAACAAAATGTATCTACATGTAGAACCCAGTAACTTAAGGGTATTAATCTTTAATTTAAAAAAAAAGCATATTTTTATTGGAGGGGTGGGGGAATTTTACAATTTAGGATTGTCATGAGATGTAGTGGTTGATCAGCAGATGAAACACTGAGAAGAGAGTTAAAGATACTATGCACAGCAGAGTATTTTTGATGAACTTTGAGGTGTTTGATCTGGTGATGAAACACAGTGTTGAATGCTTGCTATTACTTCACAAACAAAATGATTTTAGAGGGAGAAATTAAGGATGCAAAAATGAGCAGTTTCTTGTCTGATTTCCAAACACTCATTAATCATTAATTTCCTTTGTATTTTCTTTATGAATTATTAACGAGTTTGAGAAATTTAGGAGAAAATGTGGCTGAGTGGACAGCTGGTACTGTTGGACTCGCCATCTGGCGGTCCCAGGTTCAAGGATGTAGACAAAACAGGACTATCCCTGTGGCCCAGGTCTTATTCAGTTTTGAGAACCCTGAATGGACGAATCTGTGTCAATAAATTACATATAACTATTATCAGGATTATGGGGTCCTATTATGGGGTACTTTGAATGAAATTTAATGCTGAACCCAGGGAGGGGAAATTTGAGCAAACTTGGCCCATGTATGAGGATTTGAGAACTTATTAGTGTCAGGAAAATTTAGGCATACGTAGTGTGAGTATAATCAATTGCCATTTGAATATCCAGTATTCCATGGATAGAAAACAAACTCAAATGGGAAGACGGATTATTACTCACATTGTTTGCAGAGATTTGTTGTCAGAAAAAATTAAAGGTCTTTTTATTACTGCTACCCCATTGCATATCAATTAAAAAAAAAGACATTAGTTATATTATAAATTGCATGTCATTTATCACATATTAGTACTTTGCTTCAGGTGCTCTGGTGTCATAACACTATTTCCAGCCATCTTAATAATATTGTTTAAAAAAATTAATACTCTCTTGAACTTAAATATTGGCCAAAGGATGGAGAATTTGTGACCCAAAGCATGTGGTCCCTCCTCAGGTTTAACATTAACAGGTGCAGTGCTCCACACTAAGGACTTTATGATCTGACGACACAATGGCAACGAGAATGTAAATAAACAATAGGTTAAGGGGGCAAAATAACAACTTTACACCTGCACCATACTTTTTTGTAAATTTCTTTGCCGTTTTTGGATGACTACAACTTGAAATTGCTTAATATTACATTTTATGGAGAACGTAAACAAGCTACCATAAAATTTTATTTCTCTTTCTGAACTTGGATAGGTTTCCTAGCAATTCACACCCAAGGGGGTTCATCTACTAGTGATAAAAGTAAATGGGTATGAATAATTGAGATAAAGACTGAAAGAAAGTAAATTCACTAAGACGTTTTCGCTGCCATTGGGTCGTCCGATCATAATGTCCAGGGCTACTAATTTTTTTTGGACACTAGGTACTGGGCTTGGAGTTTAATATATTACTAGCCCACGAGGACAAGCCACTAGTCCAAGAAAAATTAAAGTGGCTTGAACTTTACAAGTGTTGTTTACAACTTTCATGACTCTTTATTGACTCCACAAACGCAGAGTTCAGATTTGCTAATCTCTCAGCGCTACTGTTTGAGTCCACACAAGTTCTGAAGTATGAATCGCAACTGAGGATAAGTTTTCTTCTAACTTGATTGAAATCTTCTTGACCACTTATCGCACTTCTTTTTCTCTTCATGCTGAGTGTGGTCCTTTTATAAACAATGCCTCAGCATCATTGGTTGTTAAAAGACATCTTGTCAAAGGTAGTTTTTTATAGATACTTCTCCATTGTTGTGGTTAATGTGCACAAAACAAGGACATAATTCAAATTCCCACATGGCATCCGTGCCGCGACTGCAGTCAATTTTACAATATCATATGATGCCTCCATGATATGGACAGCAAGTCTTTTGCCCTATATTTAATACTCAAACTATAGAAACTAACTACTGACGACATAACCTTCTACACCTGGTGTAGAAGGTTCTGTTTATGCCTTTCACAACCAAAGTGGGGCAATTGAATATTATTCAGTCTGGCATGGAGAACGGAAACTTATGGTATAATCTGAAGTATAAAAAAAATTGCGAGAAAAAAGTAACTAGTATGAAAAAAATTGCTATTGTCTTTTAAAACAATGGGGAGAATATATAATTAATTATAGATTACATGAATAATGAAAATTTTCCTAAAAGTAAAATTTAAGACATCGGTAAAAAGCCCTAAGGGACCAAATTGTTTATTATGTCCTGACGTGGAGGGGGGGGGGGGGAAAATTTTTTTACAGCCTTTATTTCGGGGGGCCAGTTTTGAAAATTCACAAAAAGGGTGGGGGAGGTTTGACTAGTTATGAGAATGCGGTGATTTTTTGTTCAAACTTGTGAAAACAGACATATATGAAAGGAATGTGGTGTGTGAAGAGCGAGACTAGTGGGGCAGGCTATACAGAATAGGGGTAGCGAGAGCGGATAGATTGGTACATATGGTCGGTGCGCGTATCTTGGGTCGAGGGGTGGTTGAGGGGGGTACAATATCAGAGCAGACTTGATTCTGGGGGGCCAATTTTGAAAATGCACAAAAGGTGAGGGGGGGATTGAAATATTATGATAGAGGGCTGGCCTTTTATGTACAAGTTGTCAAACTATATTATGATTGAAGCAAATCCACGTTTCCTTCAGAAGTAGACAAAAAAATTGGCTTCGGCAGTTCTTTGTCAACAACAAAATGTAACCCGTATAAAGCTTGGCCCAGAAACCTGTCAGCTATTTCTACTACCAGTTAGTGAGCATGTACTCACATATGCCTATGCATACAGCTGAAATCTGTAAAAAATATATAGAATTTTTATATTTTCTGAAAGCATTCTTCTAATTAAATAGACCTTGTCACAGTTTTCGACGCCATCTTGACAAGTAGGCAAACGCATGAGAAATTACAGTGTTTGCATGAGAATCTAATGCCGAATAATTTCTGTGGAACGGTTGTTCTGAAAAAAATATGATTTGTAAACTAAAGCTCCACTCCTAAGGATTCTCCTGAAAAAATTTGAGGGCGTTACATGCACTAGAAGACCTAGAACCACTTTTTAAAATTTTCTATACATTTGTCTGTAAGAAAGTCCAGGAAAAATTACAGACAAATATACGGAAAATCTAAAGCAAGCCCCTGGAGAAATTTAAGCACAGGTACGCCCCAAAATTTTGTTGGACAATCCTTTGCCTTGTAGCTTTAGTTTACAATTGATATTTTTTTCAGAACAGCTGTTTTACGGAAACTATTCGACATTAGATTCTCATACAAACACTGTAATTTCTCACGCATTTGCCTACTCGTCAAGATGGCGTCGAAAACCGTGACAAGGTCTATTGGGATAAAATAATATTTCACATTATATTGGTGTTTTTGTGTTAGGATTTCCTTTTTCCTTTTACTGATTTAGTGGCATGAAATGGATCCAAATGTGAAGCCACAGACCTTGGTTAAGACTTTTGACCAGGCCAACTACAATTCTATCTTGGTCTAGAAGGGGTTGGAGCAGGGAGGGTAGGGGACATTTTGAAAATTGCTATTGCCAAGGGGAGGGGGGGGGGGTTCAGTTTTCATATGTAATTATTTTTTTCGAGGGGGGGGGAAGTTTTTATACACCACACTTTTCTTAAAACCCCCCCCCCCAACCTGGGCCGCAAATAAACGATGGGTCCCTAATCTTCATTTGATTTCGTACCTGTAATCCAGTGGGAACTTTCCTAAGTATTCATTAACATAATTCATGACACACAACAACACGGCCAAACTGCATAGTCCTATGTTCAAATAACTCCATACAGGAAGCACCAAAACACCAGCAAGATAGGCTAAGAGTACCCACACCACGCCAAACAACACAGCTACTGAAAATGGTCTTTCCTCCGCCATGTTTTAAGAGCTCACCGAGAGACTGGGACAGCCTATCTTGAGAACGTCAGAACGAGGCCAACCCTCTTATGACATCATAAATCCCATGATTCTTCAGTTACTGAATTGTTGACTAGACGTTCGCCATTATTTCCTCGGAAGATTCGGATCAACACTGGTTGGATTTGTTTGGTGTTTACCGCGGCTATAAGCATTCTGCTTGCCGAAATATGAAGCCAAGAAGGATATCTGACGATGTAGATGGTGACAGTTCTGTTATGAAGACGTGTTGTTGCTGTATGGACGTACGACTTGGTACAATTGTGCTTGGATTTTGTCATCTGGTGAGCTGGCGGAACATATATAAGTTTAAATGTTTAAAACGCTCGCTGCGTGTCTTGCTTCGCCGATACAGTGTTTTGGTTTGCGACATACTGTCATTCAAGGGTTTGAAAAAGGAAATACATAACTGGCCTTCTTTTATCCCCGATCGTTATATCGTTGTTAGTGTTAAATAGGGTTCGTCGCGGGACCTCTCCCAATCACGCATATTCGCTCGAATTCGATACGCTTTAATTATTACAGTGATATGGTTTATATGTTTTGTCGCTATTATTTTAAGTCTTAAGTTCTTCTGACAATTATTAATACTAATTCGAGTGAAATTTTTCAATTTTGTGCCTAACCATTCCTTGACTGCCAAAGAAACTTTAAGCTTCCCTTAATATAAAACCGAAAGTGAAATCAAGAACCTTCCGGAAGCTAATTGCTGAGCGTATAAATAATTAGAGTTAAATTTCTACTTAGCCTGGATAAAACTTTTCTGTTGAATTTTTGTTGTCCTTATATTGAGGGTTGTTCTTAAAAGTTAAAACCAAACTTCAAAGCTAAGATGCACTGAATCGGAGGAGGTGTTCGTGTAGGCAGAATGAATTAATTTATCATTATTTTTCTGGTGTCACATAATAATCGATTTGTTCAAAGTTTATTGTGTAAAAGAAAATTAAGAAACTACCCAAACCAAATGTATTGTTGTGTCTATTTGATATGCCTTATTAGCAAAAGAGATGTCACAAGAAATGTGACATACATTTCATCCAGTTAAAAAAGGTATTAGATCTGCTTAAAAAATTTATTTCTCAAATAATAAAGAATTTTGCCAAATAAAAATTACAAGGGTCTATCAAGCGTGAGCTGAGTTTTCAGAAAATTGATATCCGAGCTGTCAATTTTCACACTTAAGGTGTGATTTCCGATTTATATGGTAGGCTCAAGACTTCAATAATAGTTATTGATTATTTCATATTTCTGGCTTTACCTTGATAACTTACTATAGTCTGCTACACAGCCGTTTTTAGTGTCGTCACACAACGCTCCTCCCCACTAACGGCTGCTGAAAACCGAACTACATTCCTTTCCCGTGATTAGCCAATTATAATTCAGCACCCATTTTCTGGAAAGTGTTTGCGCCACATTTGCAGTACTGTGACTCCTCCAATCACAGCTTTGCTTTTATCGGTGCCTTATGTGTGAATGGCAGAATAATCAAAACGTCGCATGAAAACAAGCAATTAACTAGAGTAGTGTTGTCGTAGTCGAGTCCTATTTAAAATTTAGGAGATAAGCACCAGCAGCAAGCAAGTCGAGCAAATTGCGCTGCACAACATGGATGTGCTCATTAAGTTGCCAGGTATAGTTCGGGAAATCGCTCATCGATAATTTAAAAGATTACTTTTTGAATCAGTACCCTTGAGAGTTTAGTATTCAGAGGAACACAATGAGCACATCCTGCACATTTCAATTCTTCATCACATATCAGTACATATGCACGTTAAATGAAGAACCAACCGATCCTGGTAAAAGTCTTCTAGGCCTATCAAACCTTTCTTTCACTTGGAACTTTCTTGACCGCTTAAAACAAACTTTTTTGCAAATTAACCTTTTCGTTGTTTGAAAACACAGAGCCCGTCTAAATTCAGCGACGATTGATTGATCTGTCGAAAACTGAGAAGGGTGCTCGCTTCCTAGGGCCCCGCAGCTCACGTATTGTCAAACTTCTTGTGCATGATTGGCTTGTTCGTTAGACCACAAATGCAAAGGGAAAGGAATGTAGTTCGGTTTTCAGCAGCCATTTGTGGGGAGGAGCATTGCGTGACGACACTAAAAACGGCTGTGTAGCAGACTATGATAACTAGGGATTGAGTTCAGGTTATGAGCACATTCCAATAAGCGATTTTATATGCGTGATCAATTTTCGACTTTATAGCAGTTCTAATACCTTACTTGTTATTTATTTTCCACTGTTTTTATTATTGCAGTATAATTGACCACTCCAGAAAATTCCATAACATACCATAATGCTTTTTGTTTGTCACCCCAAAATTTTGCATACGCATTGTCTTCACTTTTTCTTGGGAGTTAAAATGGCCCCAAGAGAAACTGAAGACAATGCTTATGCAAAATTTTGGGGTGACAAACAAAGAGCATTATGGTAAGTTGTGGTATTTCCTGGAGTGGTCAATTATGTCTTATTATGTTTTCGAGAATTTTAAGAAACAAAGTTGAAAGTTCTTTTGACATGGCTGCTTTCACGATGGGATTTTTTTCCACTTGGGTTATTTGACAAGTGTGTAATAAAATAAGTGAAATCTACAGCTAGTCGGTAGTGTTCATGCAGTTGTAAGTTGATTGAAAACAATAAATTAAGCAATTTTATTGTAAACAGTAAGAGGAACATTTTCAGTTGTTACACATTTGAAGTCTTTGTGCCTAAAAACATTTACACAGTGAACCATGCTCTTTGCTATTTTCACTGTAGTGTTTGTTAAATTTGTGGGATTTTTTTTGTTTTGCCTCATTTTCAATGGCTGCTTGATGGTTGATTGTTTAAGTATAATGTTTTGATTGGGAAAGTGAGCTCAAATTTGGTTTGATATATATTATAGATAGATAGCGAAGAAAAAGTACAGTATATGAGGAAGCATAGATGGCGATCAGTATTGTTGTTAATTTTCTCTTTTTTGTGTAGCTAATCCACATTGCTGGTGTGGTGGTGTTGACACAGATGCTACTTCATCCAGAACTTTATGAAGAGAGGTATTTTGAAACTTATGGAACAACTCCAAGGTCAGGTGAGTGAATGAGTGGCCGCAGGGATCTGTTGCAGAATTTGTTTGGGGGCCATGGAAACTTGAAAACTACTTGATTCCTTTACACAAAAAAATTGAGTTAACTCTTTTCTTCCTCATCTATTGCAGAGAAATAGTGTGGTTCATGTCAAAAACTTGCATGAAAACATACACATAAAAAATAGTTGCCAGGCAAGTGCTTGCAAGGCTGCTGCCAAACGTGCAAGAGGCACCTATGATGTGCCTGTGGGCAACCAAAATTTCAAACAAGAGCCTGAATGGGTGCCTAAAACTTATAATTCTCAGGCCAACTTGTGGTGAATGAGGGATAAGATTCCCCTGCTCATACTACACTGTTGAAACGAAAACTTAAAATGTATGGTCGTTGGCCGTAGGCAAAAAAATGTTTCTGCCAATAAAAGGTAAAAAAAAACAAGCAATTGTCTGAAATTTGCTTCTGTGACTTTGGCTTCAGTGCAGTTGAAGTCTCTCATCTAAAAATGACGTTAAAAAAACCTTCAATATTAAATAATGACTTTTTTCCTAGGGTTAGAAACATTAAGTTGATATTCCATGTAGTTAAACCAATAAAAAGTTGCGATGCATGGAAATGCAAGTGATTTAAAATTACACGTGACATACAGTACCTATGTAAAGTTTACTTTTGCAAGTTTGTAGTGTTTTCTATCTCGCAATGAACACAAATGGTAAACTTGGAGATTGAACTTGGTGAATTCTACGGTACGAGATCTTCCCGTGGGTATTCCCCAAGGTTCAGTTCTGGGACCTATACTCTACCTTCTGTATACTGCGCCACTTGCTAAAGTGATAAGATCTTATGGCTTAGATTATCATCTATACGCCGACAATACTCAGTTATACTTTGCATTCAAATTGGTGGATGTGGACGCGGCTAAATCGAGGGTCGAGAACTGCATTTCTGCAATATGTCGATGGATGGATCTCAATGAATTGAAGCTAAACCACAACAAGACGGAAGTCATTCTCATCCACTCAAAGTATTGTCCCTCTCCATCCTTTCAGTCCTTATGTTTTGGTGATGAGAGCGTGGCTGCCTCTCAGTCGGCTAGGAGTCTTGGTGTTGTCTTTGATGAGCACATTTCTTTTCATGCACATGTGTCTAGCATCTGCAGATCATCATTTTATTATTTCAGGAACCTATTTAGAATTAGGAAGTATTTCACTAAAGAATCAGCAGAAGTTGCTGTTCATGTATTTGTCACATCGAAACTAGATTACTGTAATGCATTACTATACGGCCTACCTAAGTATCAGTTACAAAGATTGCAGTATGTACAAAACACGGTGGCTAGAGTTGTGTTGCAAGTGAGTAAGTTTCAGCATATCACACCTGTTTTGTGTGAGCTTCACTGGCTACCGATTCAATATCGTATTATTTTCAAGATTCTGCTCCTCGTGTATAAATCACTGAATGGGACATCGCCTAGCTATTTAGCTCAGAAACTACATTATCGTTCTCATACTAGATCATTGAGGTCTGTTAGTAATGAACTTTTAATGCAACCTAGATTGTATACCAAGACCTACGGAGATAGAACATTCGCTTTTCATGCATCAAGAGAATGGAACTTAGTACCTTATGAAGTTCGGAAGTCCAACACCATCTTGAGTTTTAAAAGATCACTTAAGACGTACTTGTTTACTAAATTCAGTAATAACGGATCATTTTTTTTACAGATTTGTATATATTGCGTTAGTTTTAATTTTTCCCTTTTTTTATCATTATGAATGAAATGGTTTAATAGTTGCTTTAGTTTTAATTTTTTCCTTTTCTACTCATTGTAAATATAATAGGATATGGTTGTAAATTTGTAAATATTTTTCAATAATGTTGTTTACATGACTGTAAAGCGCCTTGAACATAGGATAAGAGTGCTATAGAAATAAAGTTATTATTATTATTATTATTATATTCTTTTATCATTTATTCAGTGTTATGTAGGCCTCTCTTTTTTTGCTGTACATTTTGTAGTAATTTTTGAAAGGCTTGCAAACACATTACAGGTTTTGAAAATGATTCATGGCTATTCAAAAATAACAGTTTTGAGAGAAATAACAAGAAACATTCGCACATTAAACGGGTGTGTAAACTTTTTAGGTGATGACAAAGGACCAAGGGAAGATCTTTTTTCTTAAATTTTGGAATTACCATAAAATTCCAAAAATAAGCCCCTCGAAAGAGCCCTCTAAACTCGTAACACAGAAAACCCTCCATTTAATCGCCTCTCTGAATATAAGGCCCTGGGGGCTTGTACTTGGAAATTGCCCTCAAATACAGAGTAAAACAAAACAAAAACGGTACATTTCCTTCCAACTATAAGCTAGCCCAATGAATTTTGAAACGCAAATTTCCCTCCATGCATAAGCCCCTCCAAATACTTATTGAATACTTTGTTTACACACCATCATGTAATATTTATTTACACAAGCTTCCTTCTGTTTTAGATTTTACATTAGTTAAAAAAGGCATGGATTGCTATTGAAAGTCAACTAGTAAACTGACAACTCCTGCTATTTACATGAGACAAAATGCTGTTCATCATTTTTAACGGATTAACGTACCGGATCAAATTGCTCAAAACAATAGCCTTTTGTCCCAGGTGTTGCTACCGAAACTATGCACAAACAGTCTGTGTATAATCGTTTAATTTCAGCATGACAAATTTATAATATTAGGGGGGTTGAGAGAGGTGTTTTCCTCTGAGATGATGCTATTTTAATTGGGTTACTGATGGGAAAGTTGCGCTGCACCACAAGGCGCTTATTGGCAAGTAAAACATTGGGGTGTGAAAACTACTACGAGAGAACGATTGGACAACTGACAGTTTGACTAACAATAAACGACTGTTTAACTTTGACAATATACAGATTGAAACGCACCAATGACATTACGAGTCTTCATAGCCAATAACAGCACGGCTAAAGTGACTGACAACCAATAATATCCCGACTTAATTGACCAATCAGATCAACAACCAGAGTTTAATACCCTTAACTGACGTGATATAAATCACTTTGACTCTGAAGATGACTACCGCACAGGTTGTTAAAACATCATTCACTGTCAACAGCAACAGTCCTATTCAGGACTACGTTCACTCGGATGATCACATTCAACCCACTTATGAAATATGTTGTACCTTAGTATTGATGGGTATGGTATAAGAAACTTAAACTGCACTGCAATGGAAGTCACAGAAGCGAATTTCAGTGCAAGACAAGTTCTTTTTTCCTTTACATGGCTGGTAAATTTTTCCAAAAGTTTCACTTTTTTGTTTCAAAAGTGCAGAATGAGCAGGGAATTTTTTTATCTTTTGAAATCACAAACTTTGTTTTTCCATGAAAGTAAGTGAGGCAATTGCAAGTCAAAATGTACTTCTCATTGCCGATGTTTAAAATTTTACTGTTATCCACTTCCATAACTTTACAAAATGTCTTTTCTTCTTTCAGCTGATAATTCTGTTGCTCTTGCCATTGCATTTTGTTCATTTCTCATCACTGTTCTGTTGATTTATGGGGCCATCACAGTAAGTGTAACACGTTTCTTGAAATTTCAATTTATTGTTCATAAAATTAAGCTTTGTTTATCTTCTTTTCCCAACAGTCCACAGTGGTCACTATGTTTCCAGATGTGACATAAATGTATGACCATAAATTGGCTTATTGGGGAGCTTTAAGTGTAGTCTGTTTGGTGGAGTAGAAAAATGAGTAATTTATGCAAACTAGTGTTCTACCTTTTAATTGTTGCAGTAAGTTGTTATATTAAGGAAGCTTTGCCTTTTTGTTTTCAGCGGCAACCAAGTTATCTTCTGCCATTCTTCTGTCTACAAGTCTTTGATTTTTGTGTTAATCTCCTGGGTGCTGTTGGAGCAATCAGTTATATTCCAGAGCTGAAGCTCATGCTAAAGAACAACGTAAGTTGCATAATTCTGCCATTTCAGTTTTGGCCACCTGCTAGATATTAAAGAGCAAGTCATGTTATTTTCCAGCCAAACTTTCCTCTTGGTGAAGCTGTTGACAAAATGGACATGAGAACTCTGATGATGACTGTTGTGGTTGTGTCTGTCACCATTCTGTCAATCAAAGTAAGTACAAAACTCTTCATGTAGTCATTTTAATCTGGATGGAACCTACTATTAACTTACTTTGACAGCTGGCAAAACACTTGGTCAAAGACCCACCTTGTATAGACTTAGAAAAGACTACAAAAGATTCTGCCCATCTGTTGAGCTTAATGTTAAGGAGCTTTTGTGTGGTCATTTAACATAAGACTTAGAGTTTTGTGCATGAATCTTTCATTGCTAAACATGGCAATTCCTTTCTTGTCGTTAATTTTGGCTGATCATTTTTGTCTGGGGCTGGTGCAGTAGTCTAATTTTCTGGGTCTTGCAGATAGTATGCCCACATGCTAAAGACACAAAATAATAAAATATCCATCCATGTATTTTTATATGTAGTAACAAATAGAGCATTTTAAAATGCAACGAGAGTGTTATCAATTAGGAAAATACTTAAGTATGGGATTGATGAATCATGGTTAAAAGGATTGATAAAGGTTCAACTGCTCAGACTTTCTTGATAGTGATGTGGAACAACTTGCTTATTCTGCTGGACAAGGGACTTCTTTTTTTCACTTGCCTAGAGGTGAATTTTGACAAAAACAGGGCTGTCATTAAGAGCTGGGGGCCGGGGATTTTCCCCGTCTACTATCAATGTGGTCCCTGGCTACTTTCATCGGAAATAGAAGAAAAATAGAACCAAAAGAAATCCGTAGCTGTTTGATTCTCCGCCTACTTGTTGGCAACTTGAAATCTTAGTGACAACCCTTCAAAAATATTTTTTAATGCTAATTTTATGTTAAAGAAGACTGTTAAAATGCCTCGACATCAATAAATGACAGATAATATTTTTCCGTGGCATTCACTCCAATCTTTGTCATTTGTTATAACGTTTTTTCTAGGCTTATTTCATTGGTTGTGTGTGGTCATGCTACAAGATTCTGGTCAACTACCGTGTTAAACAGGCCACTAGTGCATTCCTGTTCCATGTTCATTCAGATGAAAATGAGGTATTGTTTTTGTCACTTTTATAGTGGTTGCCTGTGTGTGCAGGAGGTTTTAGTGATCCAGCTTATTATGAATCCATTTGTATGAAAATGTTTTGTTAATGGCTGTTCAGTGAGGATTTTGTAGTTGAAGCTTATGTTGACAACCAGGGGGCCATTCAGTAAAACGTTTACATGAATGTGAAATGTGGAGTGCCCAGCCATATACAAACAACGGAAAAGAAAAATCTAAACCAAGGATTGAGCCATAAAACATAATGTAAAGTATTGAATCTTGTGAAGTGCTCAGTTGTATATTGTTTTACTTGTTTTTAAGTTTGTGTGACAAGGTTCAATATTTATTTTTTTCTCAGACCCAGAACCTGTTACCAAACTATGAGGATGCAGTGAAGGACACCCCCCATGAATCACCACCACCTTACACTTCAAACTAACTTACATGGTGTAAATTGTTACTCCAGCATTGATTCTAAATTACTGTTTCTTTGATATAAGTGACATCTAAAGCAAACACAAATAAGATTATACACAGTACACAGAACTTGTTTTTGTTAAAAATAGAAAAAAAGGAAAGGTTTTTTTTTGAGGTCAGTGGTTTTATAGGGTTGTAAAGGGTTGAACTTGCAAGTTTATTGTTAAGTAAATACGAGTTCCCTTTGATCGGATGTCCAATGGGGCTTTCATTTATTACAGCATGACCTTGTCGGGGAGTTGGGGTTGGGGGGGGGGTTACATTTTTGAGTAGTGTGATTATTTTTAGAACGTCTGTTGGGGTGAGGGGCCTGTGTTTTTCTCTTTGGAACACCTTTATGTGGTCAGCCCTCTCTCTCTTCCCAGGGTCATTATAAATGAAAGTTTCCTATACAGCAAACTTTAATGGTATAGAATAATATTAGGATTTAGAACTTAAAGAAAAATATATGTTGTAGCCCATTTAGACATTTCTAAGGTTTATTGAGTCTTTACTTGCTGTTTAGTTCTCTCGTATTGACTACTGTTTTACTCAGAAAGGGTAGCCTTGTGAATTTGAGATTTGTAATGTTTCTTTTGTTCTGTAGAATATGGAATGCACTTGCAGTGTTCTTGATTAGAGAGATAAACATGGAGAGGGTTAAGGTGGTGGTTATTAGTTTGTAACCTGTAAAAGCTTATAAATTATTGCATTTATGACAAAAGGTCACAATAAAATAATGTACATGTTAAGGTGATTTGGTTGCATGTGTTGAGGTTAAGACCAGGCAAAGGTTACTGAGCCTGGTCTTGTTAATGTGCCGCTGCTGTGGTTCAATTTTATCCTTGGTTTAATTGTTTTCCCTTGTTTCAAACTAATTATCATACTTGACCTTACCCAGAAACAAAAAAAAAAAAAAAAAAAAAATTTAAAATAAAGATATCATTGAAAAACAAAAGCTATAAGGGGACTTGGATTAGTCTACTATAAACTCATCAAAAAAATCATTCTATTTCATACTGTAAAAGGGCTTTTGGCAAAAAAAGAAAATCATATAGTTAAAAAAATTAAAAAAGAATGAAAAATCTATTGTAAAGGTTTGTGATCCTGGTTTTTTTAATTTGCCGCTGTTGTGGTTCAATTTTTTCCTTTGTTTAATTTTTTTCCCTTGTTTCAAACTAATTATCATACTTGACCTTACCCAAAAAAAAAAAAAAAAAAAAAAAAAAAATTTAAACTAAAGATATCATTGAAACACAACAGCTATCAGGGGACTTGGATTTGTCTACTATAAACTCATCTATGATATCTTTCTATTTCATACTGTATAAGGGCTTTTGGCGAACACAGAAAATCCCTCAGGGAAAAAAATTAGAGAGAGATGGAAACTCTAGTGCAGTATACACATAATAAGGAGTAATTTAAATTTTTGTCCTCAAAACCTCCCAAAAATGGGCCTGATTTCATGGGCCTGATTTCAGGTCAGGTCACAACACTTTACTTTACATGTACGCTGATGTTCGCTGCTCCAATGTCTTCTGCGCTCAACAATTTCCACAATTGGCACGGTTGCATACCACACAGTAGAGCTGTGAAAACTGTGTACAGTAATAGCCCGCATATAAGAACCTGGGTTTTAAGAACCTGTTAGGCTAAAATTTTCATTTTAAGCCCCCTCCACATAAGAACCTATTCAGGCTAAAATTTTAAGTTAGGTTCTTATCAGTGGGGTTGCTGTAAAAGTGTATAGGTAGAAACTGCTGAATTAAGATCATCATCTTGGACATATGCTGTACCTGCACTGAACTGCCTATAGGCATTGCTCTATGGTACAAATAAATGATTTATACTGTATTATGAGATGATATTTATAATATATATAGCATATTCAGATGAAATTCTTATGAAAATATAAGAACCTATTTTAAGAACCTCGGTAGCCTAAATTTGCTTCAAGTACCATTTATATAAGAACCTATTTAGGCTAAATTGAAAAATTCAGGTTCTTATACGCAGGCTATTACTGTATAGTGTAGAGAATCAAGAGCCTTGATTTCATGTGTCTTTCGTGCCCGGGGGGGCACTTGGGTATTTTTTGGGTGGGTATGTGCCGCCCGGGACTCCAAATTGGCACCCCGTTCTAAAAAAAAATTTCCCCTAAGATTGATACCCCGTTCTAGAATTCGCCCTAAAACTGATACCCCGTTATAGAAATGGGCCAATTTTTTATACTCCGTTCTGAGGTGCAAAGCGTACAACAGTTTGCTTGATAACGCATTGAACCGTATTTTAAAAGCAATCTGTCGTTGAATAATTTCAAATGGCTACTTACAAAACTGGAATTTTTGGTGCGTTCGAAATATTATACCCCGTTCTAGAAAACGCCTCTGGAATGGATACCCCGTTCTAAATCAGGAGCTTCAAAATCACGACCCGTTGGGCGGCACATACCCGTATAGGTAATCTATGGGAGTACCCCCCGGGCTTTCGTGTCAAAATAACACCTCTGCGATCCCTCCAATTTAAGAATCTTTAGGGGTGTTATACCAAGAGATCAGTCGCGCGTTGATTGGCGGGAAAAAAGATCGTTAAGAGTAAAAGATACAGTCAAACCCCTCAGGGAGGCGGAAGGGGGGGGGCATAGAAAGTGTTCGTAGTAAGGCGGTTAAATTTAGAGAAAATGTAAGAGATTTCTCTCTCCAGGAACAAAGCAAACTATCCGTAATGAGGAGTCCGTACAGGTGGGACAATAGGGTGTCCGTAAAGCAGGGTTCGTATGAGGTTTGATAATTGTTGTCTCGCTAGCCTGCGTAGCAAGCGTTTTCGTGCGGTTTAGGAGCAAAGAACGAAGAACGAGAGTCAAAGACCGCGCGAAAAATGGCGTAAGTAAAAGAGCGGGGAGGGGGTGGCTCTTGTTTCGTTTCTCGTGCGGCCAAAACCGAGAAAACGCTTAATACGCTTTGCTACGCAGGCTCTCGCGCGACCCTGCTTCCACTTAACTTACAATGCGCGCGAAAATTGTAGTCTTGAAGGCCTGGGTACTAGAGGCCCGGTTATCTACCTCATGTATGACTTCCACAACCATACCCTCCGGTCAATGGCAGTGAGAGGACATTTCTTAGGATGAGGTAGGAAACTCTTCTTCCCTAGAAACAACTGTTCTTCTGTCTGTCTTTCTCCTAAACTTCTGTAATAAGTCAAAATTCCGTTTTCAAAATACTGGGCAAGCTAAGGGTTCAATCAAGGGCTTTATTTGGCTGGCATGCGGTCATTTCGTCCCTGAGTCATATTTCGAGTCGCTTAGCGCGCTTCAAATGTAATACAGTCCAATCTCCATGTGCGACCACTTCTCGTAAGCGACTACCTCACATAAGCGACCACCCATCCTAAACACTAAAACTGTCCCAGTCAAAGCCTCACAGTTCGAAACTCTAGTAAACGACCACCTCCTGTAAGCGACCGTGACCACTTTCTTGGCCTGGAATTTTCTATTGTTTTTAACCTCTTGTAAGCTACCACTTGACGCATTCTGTGATATCTATATTCGCTGTGTGGACTATGCTACTTTGAATATACGAAGAACTTTAGTAACAAAATGGAACTACAAATGGTGTAACTTAGAAATAGCACGCATTAAATTATCTTCCGTAAAGTAGATGTGCCCGGTCGACCTCTTCTTGGAAGAGACCACCGGTGGTTACGGGAAGGTTCGATTGTATTCCTCGTTCTCTTTGTTGTAAAGCAAAACAATTGCGCCTCAAATATAATAAGTGGCAAGATTCCTCATCCAAAAAACTGGGGCGAAGTGATCGTAAAGAATTTGGTCTCATGCACTTGTGCATGTTACACACTAGTCAATTGCATCCCTGACCCCCAAACCCCCGCAGATAGTGGGGATTTTATGGAGCAATAGGGGGCAATTATGTTGATTTTACATTCATTTGTTGTATCCGTCTCCGGGGTGGGGAGTCAGTTGACCATGATCAATGACATCAAGCCTTAACCTGGCTAACTTTCGACGCAAACTAGCAGAGTTTGGAAGCCAATTCAGCCACTGCCTTGTGAAAAATTAACAATTTGGATATGATAAATTTGTTTTATTCAAAACTATTCTGAATTTTAGATAATTATAGCTAAAATTGGTGATGTGGATTGTGGAGATCCGTCCTGCTGTAACTGACCCATACTGACCTCCTCAATAGTTTGCCCCATGATCCTTTGCTGACTGCTACCCAACCATCTCTGGGCTTTGCTCTGGGCTATGCTTTTTATGATATGGCTGTTTCGATCCTAGCATTACTAACGTATGCAACAAATTTAAATAAAATACAAACACACAGAACCACCAGCACAATGTTTCTCTATTGTTGGTATGTGTTTGTCCAAAAATGCATATGAAGCTGGCAAAATTAACAAATTTGGTTTTGAACATTTAATACACTATGCACAAAACTAACTTTTTGAACCTATCACCTTTGTGTCAGTGGGTATATGGCTTTTTTGGTTTTTGTATGGGGGAGAGATAGATACATGACTCAATTCAAATATTTGATCAGTTTGAGAATCATTAGATTGCCATTTTTATTGTGAACATCTTGTTATTCCTTATATGGCATGATAACTGTATATATCACATGACTAGTTTTACATGTGCCTATTCAGCATGTCTTCGAGTTAGGTTTTGGTTCATTGTAAGTGAGAATACAAGAGTTAAATTTTGACGATTAAGATTTGCACCGTCTGGAGTATTAAAAGTGATAGAATTTACAACAAGCGATATTTCTGTTGGGGTGCCATGTAAGAAACTGAAACTAGCTTTGTTGTAAATTCAATCGCTTTAATTCTTGAAACCGGAGCAAATCCTAATTGTCACAATTTAGTATCATATTCTTGCTTACAATGAATCAAAACCTAACTCGAAGACATGCTGAACAAGTACATGCTAAAACTGGTCACGTGATATATATTTATCACGCCATATAAGGAATAGCAAAATGTTCATGATAAAAATGTCAATCAAATGATTATCACAATCAGTTAAAGTGAGGCATTTGTTAAACTTGACTAGCAGCTTGTTAACAGACAGCTTATTAGGGAGAGGGTAATTACCCTACCATGTGAATCTGTCACTAGGGCCTGGGGTAAATCTGTTAAATTACAAGGATACTGTTGTAAATTTCTCCTTTATTTCCTGGGGGTTTAGGAGTCATGGTTGCAATTGACTAGTGTATTAGATCAAAGTGTATCTCCCCCTTTTAAGAGCTGCTTGTTTAGTATTACGGATCAATGTCCATGGTTTTGCCAGAGTCCCATTATTTAAAAGTGTCAGGCACTACGGTACATGTGGTCCTTGGTAAGACTTAAATGAGTATTTCTTATCTTACAAGAGGAGTAGTGAACTGTAATTTGTCCTGTAAGTTGCCGTAACACTTTTCTAACTTGTGACAATCCAACAGCTTCTGAGCCCTGCCGAAAATCCTGCATTACAGAAAATGACTGCTCCGTTTGAAGGCCCCCTGGTCTGGCCAGTCTCTTTGGCCACTTGTAAACCGGCATGCAGACTGTGCGCAAAAAAAAATGTTCCAAGCGCCAACTGATTTAAATTCCTGTACATTTTCTATAGGCATTATTTTAACTTCAAAACCAAAATGAAATTTCTGTGCAAAGAGCTATTGAGCTAGTTATTATTTTTGCTTCTGTGCAAATGTGTGTCGTGCAGTTACTTGATGAAGTTATGATGCAACAGCAGTGAAATCACCACTATTTTAAATGAATTCAATCGAAGTTTAGAGAGAAAAAAAATGTAATTATTTGTCGTTGCTTGTTTACGGCCTCACAAAAATCTTTCCATCAGGAAATTTTATGTATTCGTTGTGCAGCAACGGTAAAGAAATCCGAGTGAAAAGCATGTGTCATCATGCACCTGTAGTCCATGCAGAGTAACATTTTGCTGCCTGAATTTTTTGACTTTGCTAGAGCTCCATAATGAATTGGGCAGATATGCTTCCTTTTTATGGCCTTCTACATCATTACTGTATAAAAAAAGTGTAGTGCTACTGGGAAAGTCTCGAGCAACTTAAATGCTGCATGCAGTTTTTATCATTTACCCACTTATTTTCTCCAGTCATTGAAAGTGCTGTACTTAAAATGTGCAGGTAATTGCTAGATAAGAAAACAATACTTGTCCTTATGAGCTCTTTCGTTTTTAGAAAGTTATTTTATTGTTCAACTGTTTTGTCAAATACTAGCTAACATAACATCAACAAACTTCAGTTAGTGCAGAATTTTGCCGCCCATGTTGTTCTTGACCTCAAAAAGTTTGATCACATCTCACAAGCTTTCAAGTCGCTAAATTGGCTGCCTGTTAATGACAGAATTTACTTGAACGAGGCAGTGATGATGTACAAATGTATTAATAAACTTGTGCCTGACTACCTATTCGAGAAATTTACTCTGCATTCACAAATTCACAGTAGAAATACTAGACAACGGGATCAACTGAACATTCCAAGGTGCCGCCTAACCACCGGTCAGCGGTCTTTCACCTACCGCGGTGCTAAGCTCTGGAATAATCTAAGAGACAATGTTAAATCTTCAGATTCTGTCAAAATTTTGAGGAAAAAAATTGTCAACCTACTTTTCTCTGATCAATCTATGAATTTGTAAAGAGTGAATGATCCATTGTATTTCACTTATTTTTTAATGTATATTTACAGGGTGTTTCAAAAGTTTGTTCCGATTTTTTACTCGCTTAAATTTCACTAATTATTTAAAAAAACCTTTTATAAAGACTAGTATGTTATTCATTATTCATTTAACATTGAATAACTAAAATATTAGTAACCAGAATGTCTTCCTGTATGTTTTCTGACATTTTCTAAGCGGTGAGGTATAGAATGTACGAGCTCCCAAAGCGTGTCCAAAGTCACATTCTTCCAGGCGAAGCTTAGCTCGTCTTAGCTCGTCCAGTGTTTTGGGGGCTGGATCTTTGTATGTTGTCTCGTGTACAATCATCCAGATGGTCTCTAGTGGGTTCACATCAGGTGAGTTTGCCGGCCAGTCCTCCCTTGGTATAAAGTTGGCAAATCCTTCTGACACCATGCTTGCATGAAGTGTGCACCGCCTTTTTCTCTTCAAGGCTTTCCAACTTTTTTTGGTAACTTATCCCCATAGCATTGTGCTCGAAACTTTGATCGATAATGTGAAGTTGAAATTTTTTTTAACTCTCTGTATGGTGGAAATATTACGCATATACTTACAGCTTTTTCGACAATATTTCTCAAACATTTTGTGAAAAAAAGGCCATCCACTCCTTGGTTTGTCTTCTAAGGTCTTTGATTTTGACCACTTGTTTGGTCATCGTTCAGACGTCTTCAACAATTTGGCAATTTCTTTTTTTTTCACTGATTGGCCAGAAGACCATAAAAATAGATGCCTGAGCTCTAGCACAAACAGTGTAGGTCTTCATTTTCATGAAGGGGTATAGAGAAAAAAAAAGAAAACAATTAAAATACCAAAATAGAAAACCTACAAAATGGGAAGGAAAAGCATGGCGGGAAAAACCTCGCGTACGTGTACAGTTGGGCAAAAATGAAAAAAGATCATAATTTCTTCAAATTTGGTTTGAAATTGCTTTGAACGGTTTTTTAGATAAATTTCTTACCTGATTCAGTTTACATTTGCCTAAAGAAGTATTAAATGCTTTGCTCAAAATACAAATTACTATTGGAACGAACTTTTGAAACATCCTGTATTATCTTAGTTATTTGGTAATTTATTGAGCTATTTTAGTTGATTAGTAGCCTTGTCACTGAAAAACCCTTTTATGGAGTTGCAATAAAGTATGTATGTGATTCAAAGTTGCAAGATCCTCACTTCAATAATTTCATGAATCTTAATTTACTAAGAACTAAACAAAACAAAAACTGAACTTTCTGAGGCTCTCCCTTTTCAAAGACTATTTGACTTGCGTACTTGTCATCCAGTGGCTGGACTAAGCACCTACAGTAGTATGCAAAACTGACTTTGAAATATTATCTACAATGTTGGTTCTGGAAATCAACATGTCGACACCATGTTACACCAAAAATTAGCTTTCTTATTGCACTTAATCACAAATGTGTGAATTCGAAATATATCCTTGAGTAATTTAAGGCGACATAAGAAAAACCAGATAGTTTTTGAAATCCAGGAATGTGGACTTTTTGCAAAAATTGTGATGCAAGCAACAGGAAAAGTCAAAAGAATGTCCTGTTTGCTCTTGCTAATTCAATAAAATTAGAGTTACTGGTGTTTTAATTATAGGTTGCAAAATTTTCAAAGAAAAAGAGCTCACTCATAACATTTGAACCAGCAGTGTTTGCAAAAATCAGAATCTCTCGCTTCATTAAAGAAGTGGCGAACAACAAATCATTTATACTTTCTTAATTTAAATCTATATATGTTTTTTTTCGGAAACATCCACTAGCGACAGTGTTTTAGAATTTGGGTGATCCATAGCAGTGCTCGACTTTCAGAATAAAATCTTGGGGCCAGCTGGCCCCCAAGTTTTCATTTTTTGGTCACCAGAACAGTTATTCTAGTCGCCTAAAATTATACTTAAGAACTAATTGAATACAATAAACTTAACATTCTTTTACTTAGCCTCAACAGAAAAAAGAATGCTTTAGACTTCCTTTGAACTTTCTTTCAAACAATTTTGGGTTTTTCGAGGCTTGATTACCAGCTGGTGTTCGGGAAAATGAACCCACACTCAAGCGTGAATCTCCCCAAACAGGTATTCAAGCAATGGAATACACATTTAGATAAACAAACTTAAGGAATCACAAAAAAGTTATTTTGGTTATTAAAGAACAAAACTGCAAAATTTGTTTTGCGTTTCATGTAATAGCATGTTCAGAAATGAACATCGGTAAAACTTGATCTATTTCGCGGTTGCCTAGCACATGATCAAAAGTCTTTAGAAAGAGGAAACGTCACTAATGTTTTCGGGCAAACAAGCTGGTTTCACGAGAAGTCTTCAAACAGCATCAGTTCAACGGTACTTCATTAGAAGTCACGGCAGAGCTTTTATTTGGGTCGTCACGCTGAACAGAAATTTGCATAAAGTTGTTTACAAGAGGCGCGAGAAATAAGCACCATTTGGTCTCGATTAGCTTACACTTTTATCACTAAATCAGACTAATCTGCTATTGAGTCCGCAATTGAAACACATGTTCGACATAAAGAAATTGTTTTAAATCAATGCGCTAAAAGTCATTCCCGGAGAAACACGGGACAACCTGTTGAGAATTGCGATCAATTTGACCGAAAGTCAAATTCATCACTTGTGATTTTCACAATTCTCTTTCAAGTAAAAGTCAAACGTTAGACAGACCAACTGTTAGATCATAACAACAATCCGTTAGAGTTTTGGAAGAAATCGTTAAAGCGTTTAGACAAATCATTAAAACCTTTAGACAAACCATTTGAGCATTTGGGCAAAACGTTACAGCGTTAGAAAAACCGTTAGCTATCCATTAGTTTTGTAAAGGATAACAAATTATCATTAGTGTATGTTCTCCCAAAGAAGAAAGTCACCTATCTTGGGGTCCAGGTTGGCGACCAGGCGTGAAAATTTAGTCACCACTGGGTAAAAGCTGGTCGCATTGGCGACCCCACAGGTTGCAACGTCAAACCCTGCATATAGTTTTGGTATATAGTATGTATATGAGGCACAAATTCCTTTTGTTTTTTATCTTTGTAGTGATTGGTTGGAGGATGGTCTGCGTGTGTATGAAGTAGAAAGTACAACTCATACAAGACGTAAGTTTCGCCAAGTTGCCAGGGAGACCTGTGGTGAATCAATGGAACCACCAGCTGACAACTTGATATTGTTTGGAGAGATTTCAGGAAATAGAGGCCAGTTTATTACCCAACTACTTTTTTTTAGCAATGATAACATTTTTCGTTTGAAGGGGAGACTTTAAAATAAGTTGATACCAATTCTTCTAAACTGCCACAATCACTAACAAAATTCATTGAGACATTTTCTCCTGGCTAAAGGGTACATTTAATGTTGTGCCAACTTCAAAACGGGAAACTGAAGCTTTTCTTCAGTTTCTTCTTTTTTTTCTTTCCGTCTTTTTCTTCTTCTTTCTTCCACCCTCTATACTGTATGTACAGGTATTCACATGATTTCGAGTGCAATTTAGAATGAATAAGCACGCGTAAATTTTTTCAAAGACTAACAAAATTGCATGAGCCCGTAGAGCGAGTGCAATTTATGTTTACTCCAAATTGCATGAGAAAAATCATGTGATTACTTATTAATAATATTCATGAAAAAATTGCCAGACAGCTTTAAAATCTCTTTAATAGGGAGTCAAGCCACATAAACTATGTGCAAAAATAAATTATTCAAATGCAGCAAATATCATCACACCTGCAGTCAAAACAACATTTTCTCAATGTTTTTAAAGTTTGTAAGCTGCAGAAACGGGCTGAACAGTTCATGGAATTGTTCAATCTGTTTGAATTGAAGATTCTGGGTTCTTACCTCGAGTTTTCCGCTCTTCCAGAATTTTTTCTTCCTCCTCTGATACTTGCCGAGCTTTGTTTGGGCGCTTACCACGGCCAGCCAAGCGAAGCTCTTTTGCTTTGTCCTCCAACACCTCTTTGGACGAACCAAATTCTCGGTCACGTACAATGGACAGGGTGCAGCCTTTGTTCTTGAAGTGTCTATCAAGCGATGCCATCATTACTTTAAGGCTTTCTGGTTCATAATCTTCACCTTTTTTGTATTGTTTACTTCGGCATAGAAATGCTCGAGCAAAGTGTTAAGCTCAGCTGGCTCATAATTTTCTATTTCATCAGTAATTTCCTTATCTACCCACCAATCCTTCCAAACAGAGAGCCAAAAACCAGTGGTTTTCACAGTGTTCGTTTTTAGAGCAGTTTTTCAGCTCCTTTACAGTTGTTTCAGTCGCAGAAGCAAATGTGCTGCAAACGCCAACCATTACGGTTTCTGCTCAAAACTGGTCCAGAGCGGATCCAAATTTTGCGCCACTTAGATGGCGCATTTGATTGGCTCTCAGTGAGTTCCTTTGTTTATTAGCCAATCAGAATGTCACGTTTGTTACTCTTTTCTGTACTAAATTACCTTTTTTCCTCTTAGCCAATCACAATCGAGAATTTTTTCCTGTATATTATTAATAATGTTTTGCTGCTGTTCAAGGTACATGTAGTAAACAACAAACAACCCAACTTTGAATAGAGGGGGAAGAGAAGGAGAGATGAAGATTGTTTTGCTTCCCAAAATTACCCTGTGAATGTTGTTGTGAAAGAAAAGGAAAAATTGATGATGCTACGTTCTATTACATTGTGGGTGGCCTGTAATTTGCCAAAAGTGGGGTAATTAGCCTTTTCTCGGCATTCATTTAGTGGAGAGTGCCGTGAAGTGGGAAATTGAGAAAGAAAGAATGCTTGTGGGATCTGCATTCAAAAGCTCATTCCACCCACAAACTCAGTTTTGGTCTCAAGGATGGTGCTATTTACTGGATTGTTAAAGAGAAAACTCTAACATTATTTGCTCTCTGTAAACAAACATACTATTTTTACTTGAATAAGCACCACCCCTGATAGTGATTAAGCACTTCCCTTGAATAAATGTAAGTACCGCTTTGGAAGGACAAAGTTTATAAGTGCCCCACCTGAATAAGCGCCACAGCTTCTGCAAACAATAGAATTGTTTGCAGGCCTCTCAGCCACCACCCATACAGTTGCCTTAAAACACAGAATCCCAGAATCCAGATTTTCAACGGAATCACCAAAATGAATAATTATACATTATTTAGCAGAATATGGAATACAGAATCAAATATCAATGATAGAAAAATAGAGAAATGCACATTCCATAATTTATTTACAATCCAAAGAGAATTTGTTTCAGTTTGTCTTTGCAGTTCCCTAAAAATTTATGATTTTATTGGACAATCCTGCTCCACCCTTTACTTGGTAGAAGTCAAGTGAAATCACTTGGAACCTTCTCTAGCAGTTATCTGTTTGCATGATTTAATTTGTCTTGCAATTCCGGATTCTGTTCTAGGGCTGCTCCCAGAAGATGGGGTCTAGTGGTGTCTATTCTTGTATTTTTGGTTGTGATGGCCTGACAGATTTTGTACCAAACCTTATTTTGAGTATATTTTTGGTTTTAGATCCAGTTGTTTGTGTAGTTTGTGCAAAACTTGCCAGGAATGATGTGGAGGACATAACCAACTCAGATTACTACCACTGGGTCAATTTTCTTTTTGTCAAAGGTGACTACCAGGTAAGAACTTTAGGTTGTAATTGTAAAAAGTAAAAAAATACGTAAAAAATAGATCTTCCTGAATTAGGGATGGTCAAAGGTACCTAGGAAATCTTGGTTCTCAGAAAATTTGATTAAAAGGGACTTTGATAGGTCTGGTTTTAGCTGTTTTACTGAACACCATGGTTTCACTGATGTCAAATTATTGTTAAATTCTGTCCACTGGTCTTAACGTTTTTCCTTATGACAACCTACTGACTGCACTTTTAATTTTCTCCAATCTTCTTCCTATTGTTTAAAATAAAAATTGGCAACTTTTCATGTTTGTTTAAGTTGCAATGCTCCGGTTCTTCTTGCTCGCAGTTTCAATTATTACTCCTTATTTAATGTTCCTTAGTTGTAAAATGCTGTAACATGCAATAGATTATTCTTGACCATCTGTTTTTCCTAATTTAATACTCAGACAGAAAGTCAGAGTTAACACACTGAGATGAGAGCATAGGTATAGCATTACAACGTTTCTTGTTGAATTTGGAATTTGTGCAAGTAGCGTGTTTTTCAGAAAGGACCAGACAGGCTAAATAAATGCAATTTAAGCTTTTTGAGGAACACGTAAGTATAAAAAAAATTCCAGATTCAATAAAAAAAAGATACAATTACCCTCTAAAAATGTATTTGAAAAAAAATTACCTGAACCACAAGTCGCTTCCAACCACAGTCCAACAATGCAGTTAACAAAAAGCGGATTGAATGTTCCAAACGACAACAAAGTGGCCAGTAAAGATTCTTGCACTTGACTGGTTGTTACAACAAATATTTCAGTCTACTGTTTATTAGTGTATGACATTGCTCCATTCTTTGATATTATTTTGCTTATTATTTACTTGTTTTTGTCATATATATTTCCTGTATTGATCTCAGCCAATCACATTCAACAAATATTATTATTTCTAGACCAACAGTTCTTTGTGATATTGTTAACAATATATAACCTTCTGTTTGCCTTATTTTCTCCCTAGAGGCATGGCTATGGAAGTTTGCTCTTGAATGCCGTTGAGACTAGGCTGAGATTCAAAACACTGAGACCCATAAGAGTTGATAGTGCGTTCAGAGCAGTGAGATTTTTTAAAGCACGTGGATACAGTGAAGTAGGGGAGCCAAGAGAATGTGTCTTTTCTGGATCAGCGCTGTTTAAAACATTGCAGACAATGGAAAAACTCTACTCTAATGTTACGGAGAAACAAGGAAAATTTTAGTGATGGAAACTTCATAGAAGCGTATTTTGCTACAATTTTTACATCCACAATGTGAGTTTATGTTCTGGATGACAATGTGGCGGTAAGGCATATATGACTGGATGTACATGTACATGCCTTAAAAAGGCTGGTCACCAAACAAAGATTTTTATCAGCTTTAATTTAATCATTCAAGCAGTATTGGTGACTGAGGTACAGGACTAGAAAGGAATTTTGACATTCTTAAACAAGGCATATGAGTGAAGTGCTATACAGTCATCTACTACGGTGGCCCAGAAGGGTCACACATGCAAATTAAAAATGTTGCTGCAAATTAAAAATTGTACATGCAAACTAAAAATATTACCTGCAAATTAAATATAGTACATGCAAACTAAAAATTGTGCTGCAAATTGAAAATAGAAAACATATCAATGCAAATTAAAAATAAAAATTCCTGCGCATGCAGTATGAGTGATGAGGACCTGGTCCGAGCCGTGCGACCTTGCCTTACAGCCGTGGGCCCATTCATGTTTCATGTTTCTAATATTTTTAGTTTGCCTGTACAATTTTTAATTTGAATGACCTATTTTTAATTTGCAGCAACATTTTTAATTTGCAGGTAAAATTTTTAGTTTGCAGCAACATTTTTAATTTGCATGTGTGACCCTTCTGGGCCACCGTAGCCTACAGATGACTTAAATATGGAGTCATCAGTAATACAATGCAGTGCATTACAATCACTGATCAGCTACTTTGCTTTTAAAATGAAAGGCGTCCTAACGCCTATTTAATGCCAAAATTGTCATTGATCTGCTGTGATTTTCAGTGTTCAACCCACTACTCACAGGGGGATGCTCTGGATTACAAGTCATGAAGAAGCTACACATCCATCAAAGTTTTATACAGAGCTTTCTCGCCCAAATAATCACAGAAAAAGTCTGAGTTTCTTATTTACAATGCCCTACTTCTAAATCAATTGAGGTCAAATATGAAACTGAGAAAACAACATTAAAAATGTGCTATTTTTCTAATGCAGTTCTTTGTATTTCTTTTATTGTTAGTAGTGATTGTTAAATGTAAGGTACCTTGATTTCGACTTGTTTGTAGGATTTTGTATTGACTGTTATTCCCTGCTCGCAGAGGTCCCTCAGGACGAGACCTCTGCTAGCAGGGAATGACTGGTATGGCTAAAATGTTGCACGAAAATGTTGCGCAAAATGTTACAAAAAGTTGCACAAAATTATTAGGGACTTCAAGATCCAACGACGTGACAGCAACGAGAACGTCGCTTAAAAAGTGAATGTGCGTTCTTTCAGTCGTTATCGAGATTATTCCTACTTACTTTGCCAAATGTACGCGAACCCTCCTGAATTTGAATTGAAAGGGACCATATTCAAGCTCGGAAAGCGAAATAAAATTTTGTCGTTGCTTGTTCAGGTTCTCCGTAAAACACGAAATAAGTTCTTTTCACGTCCTAGTCGTGCAAAAACGGCAAAGAAATATACAAAAAGGCGTGATGCACTTGCAAAGTTGTTGTTTCGCTTATTAAACCTATTGATTTTTCAACGTATTTGTGGCCGTCGCGTCGTTGAATCTTAAGTAAAGTCCTTAATCTTTGTTACAGAAACGAATATTGCACAACAAAACTATCAAAGTTGAACTTAGGAAAAAGTGTTCTCTTTCACTCTCAGAGGTGATCAAAGTCAAAATTCCACAAATTTTTTAGCATGCTGAAAAACATAATACAGTGCAAAAGTATTGTTAAGGTTTCATTTGAAAGCTCACACCATTGGAGTTCACCCACAGACTCAAACCAAGACTCCATCATTGTTTAGTTGAGAAGAAATCAAGTCTTGTTTAGTATCTACCATGTGATTACGACAAAAAATGCTGGCTTTGCTACTTCGTTTTCTGATATGGTTCGTTTTGCATTCAAATTATTGATTAATTTTTCAAACTGTAACGTCATGGAATTTGAATTTTCGGAAAAGAAATTGTTGTTACCACAAAATATAGACTGCTTAATGTGGGATCTTGAAAACAACATGCTGTTCAGTATTACAATGCCCCCCTCCCCCCCCGAAGAACTGGGAGAGGTTTTAATAATTATACACTTAGTGGGAGCTTTGTGGCCTAACAGTGCACTGGACTCCAGATCAAGAGAACAAGGTTCGAGCCCCAGTTAGGGTCATCGAGTTGTATTCCTGGGCAAGACACTCACAGCCATGCCTCACCTTACAGTGCAGCACCCCATAAAGTGGTTTAAACCCATTCAAACCATTGTGTTGCATTTCACAGCAATACGGCAAAAATCTAGCCTGACTTTCATCCGATTGCTTTGAGTCGTTTTATCCTCTCGGGGAGTAATGACGACTTGAAGTAATCCGAGGAAATTCAGGCGAGCAAAAATCAACTTTTTTAATGTTGTTCATTGCTGATGTGCAATGCCTGTAGAGTACATGACACTCCCAATAGATGAAGAAGGGCGCTTATTCGAGGGCGACCCCCTTTCGGTTAAATGCAGCAGTAGATTATTGTAGTTTCGGTAGAGACCGCGGCACTTACTGATTTTCAACTTCAAATATGAAGATTATTTCGGTGTGCATTAACCTTCTAATCAAATAGAATTCCACCCAGAGTAAGGTAGTGCCCTAGTAGCTTTATGCTATGGAAAATTCTGGGGGAAATTCCAGGTGTAAAAACCTTAATGGTGCCAAGTACAAGAGCAGAAATAAAGCCACATCACAGGACCACAGTTGTCCATGCAAGTGTCTTTGTATATCGTGAGATGCACTAAAACTTAAGAGTGTATATGATAACAGCTCTTTTTACTCTTCAAAACTGGGTGTAATGGGTCCCATGAGTTATCAAAGACTCTTAGGAGGAGATGGTCATGCTAATGTCATATTCATTGCCATAACACAACAACCACATTCGATAATAAACTTTATTAATAAGCATGAGAGCATTGCTGCTCTCTGAAAAGACTAACGTACAACAACATTCTCTATGCTAACAATAACATATGACATTAAAATATAAACAAAGATCATGTTTCCTCTCAGCACCCTCAAGTTAAAGTTCAAGTTTATTTCGCACTATTCAAGGTGATACAGTATAAGATGGCTTACAGAATCAGTAGGTTAACAAATGATGAAAAGTAAATATATAATACAGGTTTGTTGATATGTGCACAGTGACCAAGTAGCCGATAATATTATAGGAGTAAAGCACTTGAACCAACAAGTATCAGTAGAGCTCGACAATTTTCTTCCCTGTGCAGTCATGATCAGAACAAGTTCTCTTTAACTCCAAGTGCTTACAGAGTTCTTATTATGTGTCTAATTAATTGGTCCTTCAGCCTTTGCCCTTGGCTAATTACAATAAGTATTACCTTCCCCTTATCCTTTTGGCCCAGTATTTTAAACAAGAACCTGGATGCCATTTGAGGAAATAAAGTGTCAACACGTTTATCTCTCATCAATGCAGAGATGATTTCAAATTAATTCAAATAATTCTAGCCTTTCACCTGGCTCCATCTCCAGCAAAACTTAGTATAATAATTGAGTGCTACATAATATGACACCAGTAAGTGATTTACTATGTTTCAATACTCGATTGACATCAGTTGGATCCTTGCTGGAACGTTTTTGAATTGGCTGGTTTTTAACCCACCCCTGAACCAACCTGTTAAACTCATGGAAAATTGCATTCTGTGGAAAGGAGAAAATTGTCGGCGTCACGAAGAGACTCTAATATACAAAAGACCCCAGAACACATTTGTTTGGTGCAATGGCCATGTCGCTGGGCTTCCATAGGTGGTCTTTGCCTGCTTCTTTATATGGACCGTTTGTACAGTTCCAGCCGGATCTAATTTGTCTTCTCTGGCCTTGGATGACCAAGGTTGATTTCTTCTTAACTCGCTTGGTTGTAGCCTGCGAACAGCAGACACATTTCCGGTCGTCGCTTCTCTCCCTCCGAAAAATAGCTATTTTTCGGAGGGAGAGAAGCGACGACCGGAAATGCGTCTGCTGTTCGCAGGCTAGCTTGGTTGGGACAATTTATCGGTTAGAAGGGCTAAACAAAAGGCTAATTTAATGTACAAGTGCATTTATAATCTCCCCACAGCCTATCTCTGTAATTTGTTTGTCCCAAGAACACCGAATTACTATTTTCGCACAAAAAAAAACAAAAACCAAGAACTGAATACCTGAAGTGTAGCTTCAGTTACAGTGGCGCTCTTCTATGGAGTCTTCCTGAGGAAATACGTAAATCACATTCCTTAGGTTTCTTTAAGAGAAGTTCCTATAGATGGTTTTCTGATCAGTACTCCCACACGGCAAATGTGTAGAACAGTTTTTGAGAATTTTAAATCAATTTTCCATGTTAGAGTGATGTTTTTAATCTTGTATAAATAAAGTTATCATTCATTCATTCATTTAGGTGTATTAGAGTCCACATGTTTTGTCACATGGGAACTGAAAAAGGACTCTAAATCTCCATTGTCATCAGAAAGAAGAGGTGTTTCTAGGATGCTGATCGACAGCATGTGGTTGCCATGTCAGGCAATCATGTTTTAGCTGGAGGGACAGATTTGGACGGTGCCAGGATGTAGGCCTAGGAGGACGTAGATGGGAAAAGGGACACAAACTTGACTCAAACCAAGTAACAATCTTCCTCATAGCTCTTCATGGTGGAAGCATTGTTGCTGTGGTTACGTTCGAAGCCACTGTAAGAGCAACAGATTCTCTTAATGCCTGGGCCATTATAGATAGAGGTTGTTGTTTGCTGTCTGGCCAGGAAAGGAAACTCTGAATTGCTTGGTCAGCTTGTCTGTCCAGCAGACTTTGATGCTACTTAGCTCGAAAATTATTTCAGGCTCCACTAGTACCATTATTCTGAGGAAAGAATGGGCAGCCTGGTATTCGGTGATGTTACTAGAGTACAAACTTCACTAGTGGCTGCCTCGTGCATTTTGGTCACATAAGATGATACATAATTATTTTAACAACAGTTCCTTGCTGTCTGAAACTTTTACATCCATGTGACATTTCAGGCTGCCAAGAGAGTGGTAAGATAGCCCCGCAGGTTTTTGTCACCACTGTCCTGCATGTAGCGGAAGTGGAGAGAAATCTCACACTGGCTATCGGTGAAGAAAGAATCTGGTTGGTCGCAAAGTGGTCAGGAGGACTTATCCAATGTCTGTGTATCTGCCACAAGAACGTCGTCAGGTGCATTCTCCCATGGGACAGATACATGCAGAAGATTTGCTCTGATGACAGTAATATTGTGAACCCAAACGATGAGAGCATATGCAGATGTAATGTGCCGCGTTGCTAGAATTCAAAATAATAAAGCAGGTGATCACATTTTTGCCTGCGGGGTTCTTGCCTATTACCGAACAAGTGATGATGTCAACGATTGGTTTTTCCTCCAGTGAAATAACCAAACTTGTGTGTGAAGTGCAATGTTTCCAGGACAGGCAAATCTTTAGGCCCACATGCAAGACCTGGCTTCCTCTTCAAAGGGTGGCCACAGAAAAGTCTATTGGTACGAACTGATGGTAGGAAAGAAGAATGAAAAGCCATACGAGCAAACAGCGTCTATTAAATAAAGTTGCTGCCATTGCCAGGTGCAAGGAATGATTCCTGGAGGGCTCTTGTAATTGTTTTAAACAGCCATCGATCGTATTGGTACTGAAGTAGGTCGTATATGATGGCACAGTTGTTGACTGGAGAGAGTACTTTGTTAAGATATGACAGCTTCCTGCTGCCCTCTGCTGAGTAGGTGCAAATGCCACTCATGCGTGTGCTATAATATCGAAGGCTAAAGCACTCATTGTTTGCCTTCAAATAGAAGAGCATTAAAGATGTCATACAAAAAGATGGCTTACAAAAGCCAACCGTCTGCATGAGAACAAATCCACAGTAAGAAGTATCAGGATTGCCCATAAGAAAATCCTACATCCTTTGTATGTGCTGAAATCCTGTACAATCCTGAAATCTATTGACTTTGTCTTGCACTGTTGAAAGAGCAGTTTAACACAGTGGATTTCAAATGGCTGATTAAAACTCGTTCTGCAAGACTTCTTGGAATTAAAAATACGTTGCTTATGTTGAAGACAATGTTTCTGCCTTAGAGTCCCGTGGTTACAACATCAACTTTCCTGATTCTGCACAATGCAACTTTCCTTAAGTTTAGCAAGGTGGCTCAGAGGTGGGTTAAAAACCAGCCAATTCAAACAAGTAAACAAGCACCAATCTATTATTCAAACATTTATTGCAGGGTCAATAATCAGCCTACTTAACTATGCTTATTTATGACTATAATGACAACAGCATGAAGCATTAGGGTTCATCGCCTTCTAAAATATTGGGTTCACCAGGCTTTAACAGATCCAGATCAAAGCTGTCATCTAAAGCAGCAGCTGTGTTGTGAGATGTGCTAAGCTGCCGTAAAACCAGTTTTTTATATACACCTGCCTGAGCCAACAATGTCTCATGAGTACCACGCTCAACAATACGGCCCTTTTCAATCACTAAAACCTATATAACAAAATAAGGTTGGTTAAGATGTGAATTTTCTCAAAATCTATCTTTGTAAGGGTAAATGTCTGGGGCTAGTTGTCAAAGGCTGAAAAGCACTAAAACAGGGTTAAATATTAATATGGAATTCCTTTTCCTTTGTTAAGGAGCATTTTTTGCCTACAGTCGAACCTCCCATAAGCGACCACCCAAAAAACAAAGACTTAGTGGTCGTTTACGGGAGGTGGTCGCTTACAAGAATCGAACCACAGGGGGGAATCTTCCGAGAAGTGGTCTCGACACATCTACTTTTTGGAAGATAATTTATTGTATGCAATTTCTAATTTAGGCCATATGTAGTTCCGTGTTTTCACTTAAGTTCTTCACATATTCCAAGCAGTATAGTGCACACAGCGAACATAGAGATCAGAGAATGCGTCAACTGTGGTCCTTTGACTGGGCCAGTTTTGTTGTTTAGGATGGGTGGTCGCTTAAGGGAGGTGGTTGCTTACGAGAAGTGGTCGCACATGGAGGTTGGACTGTAGGCAATTTCTGGAACGGCACCTCCATGGGGGAGATGAATGGATATTTTCTGGAACTGTACATTAGCTTTTAGAGCTTTCATATCTGAGTTCAAATTTTGCAATAACTCTGGGTTATTTAAACCCAGCTTTAAACAACACGGTCTGGATACCAATGTTCTGCACTCAATAACTACAAAAACCTATATTATTCACTGACAATGGCACTTAGAAAAGAAGGGTAGTAACTCTGGGGATACCCACATCTAACTTAAGATATTATACAAATATTAAAAATTAGTTGCAACATACTTGGTCAGCATTTCGCACTGTAGACAGTCTATGTGCAATTACAAGAACTGTTCTGTTTATCATGGCACGGTCAATGGCTTCTTTAACAAAATGCTCACTTTCTGCATCCAATGCGCTTGTTGCCTAAAACAATGTCAAGAAATATTTTTAAACGGAATATGTCTTGTTCCACACTCACACTAAAACACACGTCTGCACTGCTCCAGTCCGTGTTAAAAAGAGTCAAAACCCCTAAGGCCTTAATTAATGGTTTCATAAGAAGGCAGCTGACTGCATTCTGCAACTACAGTGTATTGCAGCAGTTTCTTAACTTACCTGCAACCGTACAATAACATACACATGTCAAATGTACTTCGAGTGAATATTATTTCCCCTAATCCGGGTAACTAACTCTCCTGCATTAGCTCCCCCCGCCCTCCGTACAACAGGCTAATTTGCTTCTACAGTTGACAGTGAGACCTAATCAGAGGATGAAAAGTCAATTTGCTCACTAACTTTTGAACCTAGCATTCCTTATATAATGATTTTATGATGATTTCACCAACATAATTTACCTCATCAAGCAGGAGAATCTCAGGATCCATCAGAAGAGCTCGTGCTATAGCTACACGTTGCTTTTGGCCTCCAGACAGCTTCACACCACGTTCACCAACTTCAGTCTGATAACCTTCCTAAAGAAAAATTACTACTATAAAACCATCTTCAATAAGAACAAAGGTATACCTTTGGCTATTAGTTAACCATTCCACGTACTTTATTGGCCTAACATCCACATGTAGCATGAAGTTAAGAATATTCATTAATAATAATAATAATAATAATAATAATAATAATAATAATAATAATAATGATAATAATAATAATAATAATAATAATACACTTTATTTAAAGAGGGTAACATGGATTAGTTACAGAAACTAGTAAACTTGTGGCCCTCTATCTAAATTAAAATTATAAACAAAACATAAGATTCCGAATGTACAAAGTCTAAGTACAAAATAAATAAAACTAAGGAAATATAGAAGTTCTACATCAATATGAATGAGTATAAGAGCTAATGATATGGCTAGTGAAATATATGCAAGAATATGATTAAACTATGAAATGGTGTAATTCCTGCAGCTCTTTAAATAAGATATTTCGATAATTATTCTTAAAGGATTATAGTTATACTGCATTTCTAAGTTCTAGACTTAAGCTGTTCTAGAGTTGGCAAGTAGAAACTGCGAACATCCTACCGCCGTCGGTCACCCGATTAAATTTTGGGCAAATAAAATTTATATTACTATATCTAGTTACACGACTATGTTGCTGACTGTTGAGTCTTGAGGAGTCTTCAATATATAAGGGAACTTCACCCTTGATGCGTTTGTATGCCACACAACATTTAGCTATTTTCACTTCTACATAGAAAGGAAGCCACTGTAGACTATTAAAAAGCTTAACACTAGACGCCTGGATATTAGCATCGGAAATTACCCTTGCTGCTCTCTTTTGTAGCATAAAAACACGGCTTAAATTCTCCTTATCACAACTAGTCCAGATTGAACTGACATAATGCAATACAGATCTTATCGTAGTATTATAATACAATAGCCTTTGTTTCATGGGCAGGCAAGATCTTATCTTTTTTAATACGCCAATTCGCTGAGACAGCTTTTTTCAAAGTTTCTCTACGTGGGAAGTAAATGAGAGTTCAGAGTCAATTTCGAGACCTAAGAGCTTCGCACTGGGAACGAGTTCGAGTTCAGTTCCTTTAATAGTTCAAGTAATTTCTTCATTGATCTTTGAGGGGAGACTCTTGCCAGTGATGAGCATAGCCTTGGTTTTACCTTCATTAATTGGCAGTTTGTTCGACGATTTCGGCAATTGACGAGTTCAGAGTACCCTCTTACCTTCCAATAGAGCTATAGTTCGTACTGGAAGTCAGCGTTGTATCATCCGCATACAAATCAATTCTTGATGAAGTGACATAAAGCGGTAGGTCATTGATAAAGACGATAAATAACAAGGGGCCAAGTATGGATCCCTGGGGAATACCATGACGAACAAAAGCGACACTTGACTGTTTATCTCCCAGCTTAACAAGTTGGCATCTGTCCTTCAAATAAGAGGTAAACCATTGAAGGGAATCCCTACCAAGCCCATACACTTCAAGTTTCTTTAATGAATATAATATTATGTTATTAATACATTGACATTATCAAGATATCAACATGGTTTAAACACACATTTTCACAACAATTAAATGAAAGTATTACAGAAAGAAAAATATTGTTTGTTTTCTCCACTGCAATTTTTATTTAGCATTCAGTGACGTATGTCTTGACACTTGTATACTAGACTGTTTTTGCAAAGAAACTGTTTCACATCACTCAGTTCTTACCTCAAATGTTGTTATAAAGTCATGAGCATTAGCCTGTTTTGCAACTTCCTCTATCTACAAAGTATAATGAGTATTGGATGCTTTAAACACCTTAACAGTCTTAACAGTACTGCCTTGATCATGAAATGGCAATAGGCTGATTATTTAATGCGAACACAGTTATACGCACATTTTATTCGTATTCACACATTTTCCCCCAACCTTAAGGGAAGCATTCCAAGTTTAATTATTGTGTTTCTGCAATGATTTGACTAGAAGACTTGAAAAGACGTTTTAATTAACTATAAGGGCTTCAGCTGATTGCACTCAAAGCTTTGTGATCTGAATGAATGCTCAGATAGTTTGCCATTCAACAAGACAAGCTAAGTGGTACCATAAGAACATGACCAAGTTCTGCAAAGGGCTTGGAGTTCAAATTCCTTGTCTCATCATACATCCTATAAATGCCTGGATACCTTCTCTACACTCAGTCGTTTCCAAAGTGATCAAGTGATAATCAACCCACAGCTCAGAGCACCAGTTCAACAGGGGTCAATTTAATAAAACTTACAAGTTAGTGTAGCCATTTTTTTAAATTGGTAAATTGCACTTGCAAATGTTTGATTAAATTTGACCCCAGTATTGAATGTATGTCTGAATCCTGTTACAGCCGATTTTTTTTTCATGTTTGTTTGTCAAAACTGTTTTTTCAGCTGCATTACCCAACTGTGATGATCTTGTATCGTATGGAATATTTACTTTAAAATATGTTTGAAGATTTAAAGTTGGAAGTTTTATATATTCTTTTTCTAAACAGACAAATAAAACTTGCTTAGTTTAAGATACCAACTAAAGTGCTGTTAATTTTATATACCTCCTCTTGAGTTGCTTCACGTCCATATGCAATGTTGTTCGCTATTGTTGTGGCAAATAACACTGGTTCTTGGCTAACAAGGGCAATTCTTCGCCTCATCCAGAACAAGTCAAGTTCAGCCAAGTTAGTTCCTCCTGCAAAACCAAATGAAAGGTTACATGGCTCGCAAGTAACAGAGATTAACACCATCATCATCATTATTAATTATCCGATCAATTGCATCTGAAGGTTAAGTGTTCACGATCTGCTCCAGTGAAGACAAGAAACTTTATTTGCAACATATTTCTCTTTATAGTTGAGGCATTTCTGGTGCGTTTTGTGTAGCTTTTCTAGATATTGATATAAGATTTGATGAGTTAGGAAGTCTAGTTGTATGGGTAGTATACTTCAGCTGTTGAGGAAAAAGAAGTCAACAAGAAATGAGCGAGGAGAGTATGTTGCTGTTGGTATATTATGTAGTGCTAGTCCATGTCACCTTCTTCAGTCATCTCGATAGTGGAGCACCGACACACTTGACATTAAGCAGACAAAGAAGATGGGATACCACATAATCCGTCATGCGGGTCTACAAGAGATGTGTCCCTCAGTGACCAGTCAGGCTGAGGTCAAAGGTATGTTACTGGCTGTGACAGTTTGTCACTGTCCACTACCTCATCTGGTACTAGAAACCTTGCTCACACCTCAGAACAATGGAATGAAGACGAAAATGTTGAAAGTAAGAGATTTCTACAATATACACATTGCAACAACAAATGTAGTACAATCTGAATCACTGCAAGAAGACATCAAACTTGCACTGATAGTGAAAGCGGCTATTGACCTGAATATACATGTTAACGTTATGGTGAACGAAGATTCACCAGCAGTAGAGGAAATGGAACATGTCTTGAAGACATTTAAATACAACAAAAGTGCTGGAACAGACCAGCTAAAGACTGAAGGCTTGAAATATGACTCAAGTAACCAACTCATCTATGTGCTGCTTTTGCTTTTTAATTTGATCAGGTCACTCGTCAGTATATTAATGACCCAGCTAAAGCTACATGCCATCATAACATGTTTGCATAAGAAGGGTCTGTTCAACATTACAAAGAATTGTCAATCAGAGTCAACATGAGTAGGGTATTGGCTAAAATTGTCAAAAGTAGGTTGAGTATGATTGTTCAAGTGAACGTAGTCCTGAATAGGACTGTTGTTGTTGACAGTGACTGACATTTCTCAACTTCTGCTGTAGTCATCTTCAGAGTCAAAGTGAGTTGTATCACGTCAGTTGATGGTATTAAACTCTGGTTATTGACTAGATTGGTCAATTAAGTCGCGATGTTACTGGCCATCTGTCAGTTAAGCCGCGGTGTTATTTGTTATGAAGACTCGTAATGTCATTGGTGCATTTCAATCCATCTATTGTCCCAGTTAAACAGTCGTTTATTGTTAGTCAAATTGTCAGTTGCCAATCATTAGCCAGTTATTAGTTTTGCTTGATTTCTGTCAATAAGTTATTTATACGGTGCCATTGACACGTGATAAAGTCTCTCATCCACAAATACAATGATACTTTAGTTGCTTTATATATTGATCAAACTGCTGCTTACAATCATATTCCAAGGAACTTGACTTTAGAACAGGTGCATCACCCCTGATTGCCATTTTGTATAAAATGAGCGTCTATTCTTATGGTTGGCTATTTGTTTCAAAATTTTGCCACGTATACTTCCAATAATTCCTGCTCCACGATATACGTGCGTTTTTTTGCCACGTATACTTGCGTTCTTTCCTGCTTTGTGGGGTTTTTATTCCCAAGTATATGACCAATTTCTTACAAACGCGCATATATATGCGCACAACAAAAGTCCATATATATGCCTTACAAACAAACATGTGTCCATGGGGTTCTAACAAGTCGTCGTATAAGAGGCATCGAATTATACCGTCGGCAGTAAACCTACTTCATGTACGATAGAGCCGGAAAGTAACTTCAGTTTAGCGCCAAAATTTCCACGTGCGACTTCCCAATCATGGCGGAGGTTCCTTGTTAATCGATGGAAAAAGGAGCCACTGTATCCCGACTGTTGATTCGCCCAGTGTCGCAAAGACAAGGAGGAAAGATAGTTAGTTGCGATCTTTTAGAATAGCAATGCCCAAAGCACAGAATGCAAGGCACCATGCCTCGCCGATACGCTCAGAATTTGCATAACGCTTACGCCGAAGTTTACGTTTTGTTATAGTATTTTGCGCTGCCTCGGACATTGGAAGAGTACGATTTCTAATCAAGATTGTAGTGAAATAAAAGATGTAACTTTGTTACGGTATGTACGTTTAGCTTTGCTCATCTCTTGTTGTTAAATTTATTAATCACAGTTTTCTCAAGGATGCTAGTCTGACCTGTTCATATATTTACAGGTAACTCATAAGTTGTATCTCTGATTTTAGAGATGGTGATATTTTGTATTACGGAGAAAAGGAAAGGCAACATTTGTCCACAAACAATTCAGATCATTCAGGTCAGTAGTTTTTTCATGACATGCACTTGTACCTTCTGTATTAAGGTACATCTGCCAACTTTTTGTGAGTCAAGTGCGTGAGATTTTCATTCTTTCGCGACCAGAATTTCCAGAAACGTCCAAGCGACTTCTGAATAGAGGGCTGTCATTAAGGGCTACTATAAACATAAACCATGGCTACTTTCATAGGGAAATAGAGGAAAATGGAACAAAAGAAATAGCTGTTTGATTCCCCACCTACTCCTTTTATATAGCTGGCAACTTGAATCTTTGTGAAAGCCCTACGAATAAGTTTGATGATTTTCTTTAGACTTCCAAACGTCACCAAAAATGTTCGAAGTTGTTCCGTCGACCTTTGAGCACTTCCAAAGCTATTCCAAATGCAATAAGATTGCTTTTTATTGTTATTATTTCAGTGATGGAGTCACATTGACAACTATTTGAGCCTTCTAATATGAATAATTTACTAGTTGCTGATGCCTTGTGGAATATATTTGGTGGAGGCCATCAAGAGTCAGTGGCCATGTAGCGCAACAGTTGACCAAGCAAGGTCCAATGAGCCACCTCATAAGGAGTTATTGCCAGAATGGAACAATATCTCGCAGGCAGCGAGCATCTCAGAGACGAACATCTAGACTTCCTTTCAGCCGGCCCACAGCCACACCTCAGGAAAAGAGAAAATTGGTGCAGGGTCTTTGCTATAAAACAGTCATGGAGAGACCAGATGAACCATGGCAATATAAGTCCTTTCAAGAACTGTGCGAAGGGAACATAGAATACCAAGAGCAAAGCTCTGTTTCAGAAATCCTCAGTGCTATTTGTGAGGCTTGAAATAGTTCTCCACCTGTTAACAAGCCACATACCTCACCACTGACACCTAAACAAGTACGCTTTATTCAACGAAAAATGGTAAAGTAACAACCAGACCGTCTGCTGTTTATGATGGGCAGGGGATTTCCTGTAACTACAGACAAAGTTGCATCTACATTGAAATTATGAGAGATGAAGAGATTAATCCAGAAACTACTAATAACAGTTCATCTACGAGCAACATTGATGTAAGTTTTGTTCAGTAATAATGTTTCAGCTAGAAATATTTTACAAAAAAATAACCTGAAAAATTCATACTAGTGCAAGAATGGTATTTATTAGTTAATTGCTCACTCCTCAGCCTGTATTAAACAATATTAAACACATCTTCTGACACTGCTGTCTGGCCCTTTAGATTCTGTTTGATGTAAATAAGCGTGTTTTCCAGAGTCGGAGCCTACATGTTTTTGTACCGATGTTCAGATACAGACAAGGTCTGGACACTGGTCTCTTAAGGTATTCCACTTTTAAAACTTGAAATACGACAATTTTGTTGTTTGTAAACTCTTTTTTTCAGGTTCTAATGCCTGTAGGACACCTACCAACACATCCACAGCAAGCAGCACAACACGGTCATCCCTCTGTAATACTTCAGCTCATCTGCACTTCAGGAATCAAGTGCACCAAGAACTTGTCAAACAATGGATTGCAACCAGATTATTGGTTTGTCTTGCTTCATATTTGTTATTGTTATGTATCCCTTACATTCCTTCATGAGATAATAATAATAATAATAATAATAATAATAATAATAATAATAATAATAATAATAATAATATTAATATTATGGATGATGTAAGTTTACATTCATTAACCAAATTTCCTCCCCTCTTTGTTTGGTATGAAAATGCTTAAAAGGTGATGGAAATGGTCAATATGCAAGCTACAGTTGGAAAAGGTCACACAAAGTCGTTCTTGAACTTCTTTATCTTACACTGATCTCTTACATCACAATAAACATTTTGCCCATTAAAAGGCGCTACAACCAGTCTCTAGAACGTCTGAGATGTTGTGCTTGACTAATGGCCCTCTTTTCCTCTAACACTTGCAATGACAACTTTGAATCTCTCTGAGGTAGTTTTTTTAACCAATGTCACAACCATTTGGAAACTGGTTGTACTTGGGCTCCTTTTAAATAAGGCTAAGCTACACTACCTCTTAGTGTATGAGAAACAGTTAGTGGGAAAATGCATATAAAAGTCAGCCAGTTGCATTTTGATTGAAAAACTACACTTAGTGGCGGTTAATTTTTGTGGTATCAATTATTTTTTTTGGTATGTTAGTCAATCTGGCTACTTCTTAAAGATAAATGTTATCTTCTCATTCACTATGATCGGTCATTTTTTTTGTTTGCTTTTAGATGTTGATGGGCCTGGAACCAGTTACATGGAGGCAAGTATCTTGATAGTTTCCCCAGAACTGTTACCTTCCCAAACACGTAAATCTGAGCAAAGTAAATTGGAAACCCTTAAAGAAATGTTTCCAGGGGTAAATGATGTGGATGTAGCAGAAATTTTGAAGTCTTCAGCAAGCCTTGAAGAAGCAACAAGTCGAATCCTGGATTGCTCATATGCTGAAGACATCTTGAATGAAAGAGGTATTTTACAAAATTTCATATTTTCTACAATATTTCTTTACTGGGCAAGGGTGATTAAATGACCCCTCAGCAAAAGTAGTGGAAGCTCTGAGAACCCAATGTTGACAATGTCCCTGGATTTGAGGTATTACAAATGCTGACATTACTACATGATATATGTGCTGATTATTGATAACACATCTAGAGTACATAGTATTGTAGATATTTTGTTTTGTGGCAGATGCTGTTTTTGAATACCCCCTGTAAATACTAAGTAGAGAATACTTGAAGCAAACATTGTAGTTGCAAAGTGCCTGTGAGTTGTTGTTTTGGAATGCAATGTTTACCTCAATCTTTTAGATACTTTTTGAGAAAATGAGGGTGATGCCTTTCCACTCAGCATTGTTAAGAAGGACCCTATAACTGCAATGGACCCATTCAGAAGGAAAATCCTGAAACCAGAACAAATTATCTGCGTGCAACAGCAGTCTCCCCTGTTAGTGAGAGAATTATTTATTTAAGATGATGAAGAGAGGGTAGATAGACATTAGAAGAGAATTGGATATTGATTTTGTTGATGAGGATCGAATAGATGCCAAGGGTTTGACGAGAGAGTATCTCAACCTTGTTCTTCAAGGAGAGTATCTCAACCTTGTTCTTCAAGGCATAACAGATGGCACAGGCAGTTATATTTTATTCGAAGGTAGGGAAATTTTAGGGAACTGAACACCTTTAGAATGTAGGCATGTACATGTATTTAGTTACTGGCATTCTATCGTGAATGGTAAATTCCAATGTTATGGTGCCACTGGGACTGGGTAAAAACAATAAATGCATTCGTGATAGACATTGAAAAAAGATATATCAAAACCTATTTGCATCAGACAAATGGAAGTTAATTGTCTGTCAATATAACTTACTATAAGAAGTAAACCTAACGGAAATGTGTAAACGATAGTAAAGATAGAAGAGTATGGGCTTTTATCCCAAATCATTTGATTCATCCCATATATACATATTATACATTACCACTTATACAAGTACAAGTATTCTGCAACCAACAATTAAAAAACTTAGATGTTTTAAAATCAGTGTGCTCAGCCCTACAATGTAAACTGTAGTCCAAGAATGTTTTTTCCTGCCTAATCAATAATCATACTGCAATTCTCCACCTGACATTCACTATTCAATTACAATAAGGTCTAATATCCTGTTGACCTTATGCACATAAGGTGCACAGTATAGTAGTATTTGTACAGCTTACAGGAATTATTGTAGAAATAATAATCTGAATTTCCCAAATTATTGAGACCAAGACTAAGTAAGTACCATAAATTTTATTAATAGGAGACAGAGATCACCTGCTGCCAGTTAACTAAGAGGAATACTTGCAGAGTGGCTATTTCTCCTGCTTTGACAGTTGTTCAAGGAGGAAGTGGATTGGTGGGATTGTCCAGAGCTTTCTCTCCTTATTTGGTCACTAGGGATATAACATCTTCTTTGACCATTTCTGATATACCTGACTTGACTGTTCAAATGTGTTTACAGGAGGTAAAGTCTTGTCTTAGGGGGTGGGTCACACTATTTTATTACATAAATAAGCACTAACTGTACTAACGAGACAGTTGACCACACTTGTTATATAAAACACAGCTAGCTGGAATTATTGCTAAAATACTCACAAACCTGTTGTGCGAGAAAATGCAATGGGTGACAGACCGCACATCCCGTGAACCCTTTGTTAACCTTTTTTTTTGGGGGGGGGGGNGTAGACACTGAGGGTTGGTATTGTGTCACAAATGGCAATAAATCTTTTTCCTCCTTGTAGGTTTTGTTTTAGGAGTTTAGACTCGTTTTTGTGAATTTTATTTCTGATAGTAGGTCTTCTATCAAAGTTTGTGGGTAGCCTCCGTCCATCAAGCGTTTTTTGAATTATTTTCCTCAAAGGTTGTTTCTGAGGAGTTTTTTCGTAGGATTCTCAAGGCTTCTCCTTTGACAAATCCTTTTTTAACACTTGGACGGTGACACGAGGTGAAATGTGTGTGCAAGAAGGTTTCCGTTTGTTTAAAATGTGTCTTTGCATCGAGGATAGATTTTTCTTGAATATTGTGCCTTTGTATACAACTGTGTCTAAAAACGCTGCATCTCAGTGTCAAATGTTTCGGCCATGAATTTAATAGTTGGGTGATGTAAGTTTGCTTTTTCAATGAAGGCTTCGATGTCTGGTTTACTCATGTCCCATAGGGAAAAGACATCGTGTATGTAGCATTCTCAAACTGTTGTTCTAAAGACAGTTTTGCTTAGAGTTGTTGTTTCAATATATGTCATGAAAATATTGGCAAAGGAATCAAAACTGCTGTCTTTGTGCCCATTACAGTTCCATGGTTTTGTAGGTAGTGCTTTCCATTGAAGTGGAAGAAATTTTCTTTGAGGATTAATCTAAGAATTTCCGGCAAGAATGTGTAGGAATGGGTTGTCTTTGTAGAAATTTTCATATGCATTGTGACAGACAATTTCAATATACCCTCGTTTTGCTGTATATTTGTGTCAAGACTCATAACGTCCATCGAAACAAGAAATATGCGGTTTTTCACATTTGTCTTTTCAGTGAAAGGTATGATTTCTACGATTTTGATATTGGTTGTAGCAGTGTATCAACAAATTTTGTCAAGCACAGAACAAGGTTAGGCTGTCCTCTTTTTTTTCTCCGTTTACGGTCGTCCGACCGACCCAAATTTTTGGCATTTTTAAAAAAAAAGTTACGACAAAGTTACACCATTTTTCACTTGGAATAATTCTTTTAATCTGAAAAATGAGCATAGTAACAGCACAGAGAAAAACAAGAACAAAAACATGAACATTTTTCACAGTATATTTTACATTTTGTTAATCCAAATATGTGAATGTTAACTTTTAACGTCGTCCTGGGGTACCACGGCCCACTATTCCGAGACTTCTTGTGATTTTTTTTAAAGTTTTTTTTTTTCAATCCGACCGACCGACCCAATATCAGGAAACGCATTCGACGGTAAACGAAGAGAAAAAAGGGGATGGCCTTAGAGGAAACCAAACATCCATGTTTTAACTAGGGGGTGGGTCATGCAATTTCCAACCTTGCTTTAGGGGTGGGTCAGTCATTTTTGTGCCGAAGGGAGGGGGTGGGTCATGTGCTTTTTTCCAACCACATTTTCAAATGCTCCGGCCCACCCCCCCCTATACTTTTTGACTAGTCCCTTAGTAACATGAACATTAACATCCCTTCATGTCAAATGCAACTGAGCTTTAGCTCGTTAGTTATGGATCTGTGCTTGTATGAGTGCCTGAATAATTTGCCGAGTTTCTAGTGTAATGGCGTGACCGCATACGTAACACGCCTAGTGACGCTAATAGTATGCATATTAGGTGTTGTTCTTTTAGAACGTGCTATGTTGTATCAGAACGTAGGAAGTAACAGACGCGAGCAGTAGCTTTATTTATTTGTACGTAGAGGATGATGGTTCCATGCTTCAATGAAGAGACTCAATTGATGGTTAATTCTTCGGCAAAAAATGTAATGCAAACAGAACAGATCAATGATGTTTGTTGACTCAAGTATACCATTTTGTTCCATATGTGATAGAAAAGAGTATAAAAAAATGACCAACGCCAACAAAGACATTTCTCCAGAGTCGCTCAATACGTTGATTGTGTACAGAGAGCCCAGCTATTATGCTTCCCCTATTCAACCCCCTGTGTCTCAGCATAGATGCTGCAACATCTACATTTTCACCCCCTTTGTTTGATCGTACCCTAGAAGGCCAACCATTTCTTTGTACTGCTGCTACGAAAGTGCATGCATTGTTGCAGCAAGATTGTTTGTTGAACAACATAAATAAACTATGAGCCTTGAAAAACCGTCAACCCCTCCATGTATCACGAACCTCCAATGGATGAGGCAATGTAGTCCATCGATGTGCCAAAGAGAATTAGGTCCCCTGACACTGTAAACACGCCTTCCGATTGTGTTAAACCATCTCAAACACCGACCTACAGGATCAATTTGAACCAAACTTGATCTAACATGCTGACGTTGGATAAAAACATTTTTGCTGCGCAGGTGTCCCAGCATCATGCTGATTCCCGCATTTGGAAAGCCTCTCCTTATCTCTCTAACTAATTCATCTAACTCCACATCTGAGGTGGTGGCATAAAGGTTAGAGAATGACTCAAGATTCTGAACTCTACGCCAAAGAGTGGTTCTAGAAACCAATAACATTCCCATTATTTGAGACCAGGAAAATCATATTGTATTCCAGAGAAACTCCAGCTGAGGTAAAGAAATTTCATACCAAGGTCGGCCGACTCCTCGACTTCTAGGAGAAACTGTTGGGAATCCTCGGATAGGGCAAATAGACGTGCACGATGCAGCTATAATTGCTAGCAACTCCCACCTGCTTAATAAGGTCCGTAGCTGTAAATATACCAGGCTTTCAAGAACCCAAATTCTCCCAGTATTTCCTGCCTCACCACAATCCAGGGAAAGGAGCAATCCTGGACCTGAATCGATCGTAACCTAGAGTGGTACAATTAAGTTTTCTGCCATGTTTCGGTCAGCATTTGGGAAGTAATGTTCACAGTCTCTCAAGAGACAATCCATGGATTCCAACAAATCCGTTGTTGGGGAACCAACAACCACCACTACTGTGAAGGCAATGAATAAGAACCAAACCTCACTTGAAATTTATACGGCCATTGCGACCATGCTTGATTCAAACTGAAGTTACTTTTCACCTCCATCATACATGAAGTGGATTTGATGCCTCTTCTACGACGACCGACCTGCTATGACCCCATATACACATGTTTGTTTGTAAGGCTTAGATATGGGCTTTTTTTGTGCGCATATATGCACGTTTGTATTTATTTATTTGCCACCTGATTACAATAATTACAAACAAATGCCAAAATGTAGGAAGAAATGGCGAGGAGGCCTAAAGAAAACTATAGAGCTTATGTTAATTAGGCCTCCTCAATTACAAGTTTTCGAAGATGGCATAAAAATTACGGTGACGGATACAAAATAATATCAGGTGGAAAATTAAACTAATCAATATTATGGAAGTTTACAAATAATGCTGAATATTAAAAGGCTTTTTCACAAGATTTCTGTTGGAGTATACTAATAATTATTACAAATAAATGCCTTAAGTGCTCTTTTAAAGGAAAAAGGTGAGGAAGCGTTGATGATGTTGGTGTTTAAGGTGTTGTAAAATTTAGGTCCTTCATAAAAAACGGAAAATTGTTTGGTTCGAGTAGGACAGAACGGCAGACGAAATTTACACGACTTTCTTGTATTATACGAATGAATTTGGCTTTGTAAAGTAAATTTACAATGAAATTTGAAAGGTAGAGTATAGTTTTGATAAGAATACATGAATAAGCCTAGTTGTATTAAGTATATATCATGAAATTTTAAGATACCAAGATTTTGAAAGATTGGATCAGTATGTGCATCGAAAGTGGTTTTAGCTATAGTTCTGATCACCTGTTTCTGGAAAATCTCAAGACGAATAAGGTTAGTTCTGTAAGTGGAGGCCCAAACTAAGTTGCAGTAAAAAAGTATGGATAGACTAGAGAAAAATACAGTGTTCGTAAGGTTTTCGTAGATAAATAGAAACTGGATTTACGAATAATTCCTGTACATTTAGAAACTTTATTGGCGACAAGTGAGATTTCAGATTTCCAATTTAAATTTTCATCCATGATTACTCCCAAGAAAACTGTTTCTTTTACTTGATCAATTTTTTGGCTTACGTTTGTAAGAAAATGGTCATATACTGGGGAATAAAAACCCTCCAACTGCCAGGCTTCTTACATTGGTGAAACCGGCAGAAACCTAAGCACGTGACTGACCGAACACAATTGAGCTACGAAGAATGGTGACGTCAACAATCACATTGCTGAGCACCATTTAAAGACGAAACATCAAATTGACTGGGACTCTGCGACATGTATAACGTATTCTACAGACTACTATCAANCACGTGACTGACCGAACACAATTGAGCTACGAAGAATGGTGACGTCAACAATCACATTGCTGAGCACCATTTAAAGACGAAACATCAAATTGACTGGGACTCTGCGACATGTATAACGTATTCTACAGACTACTATCAATGTCTTACTTTAGAAAGCTGGTTTACTAACTTAGAACAAACGCCACTGAATCGTAGCCAACAGTTACCAGCGCCGTACAAACGACTTATTGACGAGATCAAACAAAAATAACTATGAGAGAATGACAATTTGACTAACAATAGACAACTGTTTAACTGTGACAATAGACGGATCGAAATGCACCAATTACTGATTATGAGTAGTCACAGTCAATAACATCACGGCTTAACTGACAGACGACCAATAACATCACAACGTAATTGGCCAATCAAATCAATAACCGGAGTATAAACCCATCAACTGACGTGATACAACTCACTTTGGCTCTGAAGATGACTACCGCACAGGTTGTCCAAACGTCAGTCACTGTCAACAACAACAGTCCTATTCAGGACTACATTCACCCGGACGATCAAACACAACCTACTTTTGAAACGACTCCTGGGTTCAAACCTTTCACAAAAAAAATGTAGTTTGCGAAGTCTAGGCATCCACACAAACTGGACCCTTGGATAAATGTCACTAATTAAATGAGCAGGTAAAGAGGTCTGCAAAAGATAGGAATGGTTTTGCTGCACTGGTTGGTTGCATGTGCAGTCGCTAGTGCAACTCCATGGTAACAGGTTTACAGTCTGGAAGATTTTAACTGTGCTGTATTGTGCGTGCTCAAATCCATTGCAGACAAGTCTTCTATGAAAATTTATTCATTAAGATTACAGGTTTGGGTACTGCAGGTGGGGCAATAAGCACTTCTCTCTATTACTAACAGGGCTTACCTTATAGTCAAAGTAGTTGAATATTAATATTGACTTACCTAAACAGATGAAGCCTGACTGTGGATCATAGAATCTCTCCAGTAAGCTGATGATTGTAGACTTGCCACCTCCAGAGGGACCAACTAATGCAACAGTTTGTCCAGGCATAAGCTCAAATGACAATCCCTGTAACATAGAAGTAACACTGTACATCAGGCTACAAGAACCTTACCTGACTGGGATAATTATCAATTTGAACTAACATTCACAGAAATTTTACCTTAAGCACAAAATTTTCTGGTCGAGATGGGTAGGCAAAACACACATCTTGAAATTGGACAGCTGTAAGAAGTTTACGAAAGTTAAGAATTAGCATCAGGATAAAACTAATTATTATAATTTATTACAGGAATACTTAATTTTATTATTTATGAGCAGAAAAAATTAATTTGTTCAGTATCTAATTAAAGCTTGTACAGAATTGTGGAAGCAAATTTCAAGGATTTTTCTGGACTCAAGGTTACAGAATAAGTGATTGTTTAAAACCTTAACCCATTCACCCCGGACCTGTGGGTGAATTTTCTAATTTTTGCTTTCTGTGCATGGCCGAACTTCGCGAGCTAATAATTTGCATCAGGATCAGGAGGTCGCAAAGTGTACGACATGTAAATGGCTTTACAGTAAGTTGTAGCTCTTTATAGCACAACAGTGACCAGACAACCGCTTGCCTAGCTTCAAAATGCATTTATCACCAAAATTTCCAGGGATGAATGGGTTAATGAATGAAGGCACCAGACTAGTAAGAGAGTTCTGATACTTCTCATGCTGCAAATGAATGTTTTGGCCACAAGATTTGACTGCTGCTCCATATTTGGAAATCAAAACAATTATTGAGCTAAAATAATGTTGGCTTTTTCCAGGTACAGAAAACTGGTTAGCAGATTTCAAGCCCTTTTTGGAAAATACAACACCCTGGGCTAACAATGAGCATCTCTTCCCTCTTCAGAGGAGCAATAGGGTATATTGGGGTCTGCTGCCAGAAAAGAGTGTAGACAGAAAAGCAAAAAGGCACCGTCCATTTTAACACCTGCACCCACTATACTCAGACGATTCTCCACAAGAAAATACACTTTGAGCTTCTGCAGTCGATCTGTGGAGTTCAGTCATGACCTCTTGCTGTTGTTCAGCTTCTACTTTTTATGAATAATACAATCATCCATGATCACTTACTCTCATTGATTGATGACAATGTTCGTCCTCCTTCCATGTTGATGGCTGGTAAACGATCCATCAGCTCAAACATACGTACTGAAGCACCTACTGCCTAAAAAAAGATATTATAATGAAGCACATGGCTCCGTGAAATAAGATTTGTGTAATTGCCCCCACAGGGATTTCGCCCAGAGGCGACATTCCGAGGAGGCACCCTAGTAACTCGCGCGTATATTAAGGACAGTACTTACAGTTCAAATATACAGTCAGTATACTAGAAAAAATCTCGATTTGCTCGAACTGGGGCTGCGAGGAATCGGTAGGTAATGATGACATTTTTATTGTTTGCGCCCGCAAGTACGAAATAGTTAGGATGATGTAAAGACAGAAAATCCCGAAGGGACCACTCAGGTAGATTTTGTGACATTTATTGTGCAGTCATACTTCGATACTCTTTTGCATGACGCAGTGACATTCTGTGGAGCAGTTGTTTTGAAAGTTATGGACCAAAAGACACTCGTTAAGCGCAGGGGACTGGTTGTAAGATGCCTTTAACTGTGTATATATAAACACTTGGAGAGTTTGCCAGACACGAGTTCACAAATCTTTGATTTATATTGGAAACCTTGCCAGACACTCTTTCTCTCTCTTTGACCGGAATAAGACTCAGCCCCAAACAAGCAAGACGAGTAAACAACGGCTAGCTTATCACTAGCAGATTGATGGACATTTACAGAAATTCGCCGACAATCAAATTCTGTGCTAACTTATTCCCTACTCACAGATGTTCTTCCGTTCTAAAGTTTCAAATAAGACTAGAATGCGCTAGCGTGAATCGGTCAAACGTCCTTTTAATTTCTAAGGCTTACTTTCCGGCAAATGAAATGAACTGAATGTAAAAAGGGCAAGAGAAATAGCGAAAAATTCAACTTCTAATTAAATCTTTTCTTATGGTTTAGAATAAACTATTCTCGAAACTGAGAATGTTTTGATCAAAGCTGTGTAAATCGAGCTGAAACTGTGCATGGAACCTTGCGTTTCCTGTATTTATCTCACCTATTGTATGGAATATGTGTGAAAATCTTCATTATGAATCGGTATATTTCAAAGAGCTACACAACCAGCAAGAATACTATTGACCGACAATATAAAGAACGGGGGCAGCTGTAGTGTCAACTATTACTAGTTAAGAAGCTGTGCTTATTAGCTAGTTTTTAATACTTTTAATATTTTAATTTAGGTCTGCTTAATGTGAGGTGTTTGCCAAAAACTGGTTCTTATACATTAGCTTATACATCTTATCAAGGTCAAAAGTTGTCACAAGCTTCAATCACATGGTGTCTGTATCCATCTTTTGGTCATTTTGTTGATTTAGAATCAGTGAAAGTTCTGGCAATTTTGCTTACCTTTTTCGCACTTTTAAAGAGATCGCTTCAAACTGAAAAAAAGGTACCTTTTTCACGCTTTAAAGTTTTGTTTGGTAAAGTGAGAAATGGATGAAAAGCGGACAATATTGACGTTAAAAAATTTTCACCCGAAAGCTTAAAATACCCGCCTTTTTTTTCTAAAAAGGTACCTTTTTTTAACTTTTCACCTGATCAACTAGCATTAACAAAAAAGGTAACAATTTTGCATGTCGTTCTATAAAAAATGAATGCAGAAAGTTAATTTTTCTGCTCTTTTCAAGTAGCAGAGTTGATCTTTCTGTAAAAAAGCAGAATTGCCGGAACCTTTCACTGATTATTTAGCCCATCAGTACTAGGAATGCTGTCACCTTTAGCAGCAAGTCAAGCTATTTTCTGGTCAATATTCAACCAAAAAGAACCAAAACTGCAAAAACTTTGTTTTATAAGTTTCAAGAGCACTTAAAAGTGATGTTGAACTCTTTACTTTTACCCTTTGCTTTCTCTCCTTTCAGGTTACTTTTCAGTTGTTTTTCGTTTAGCATTTTTTCTCCAGCATTTTCAACTGAATAGTGCTCATTTGGGGATAGTTTGAAGTTCTCTTTCCCCTACATAAGTTAGATGTCAAAGTTGCCTATGACCATAACGATGATGACTTCAATGGCAGTAAACGGGATATCGATCTGCCTGGACAGTTACGGGTGGTTCAGGGGTGAATGGGTTAAGTGAAGTGAAGGAACGATGAAGCTCACTGAATTTTACTGCATTTTGCAAAGTAACGTGATATGATTGCAAAGAAGAAAATCATTTCTGCAGTCATACTTTACCATTTGCACTTCTCCCATAATACATCTTATTTGCCCCCCAAAACTTTGCATAACCGTTGTTAATTTTTTCCTGGGTATTATGGCCATCCCAAGAGAAATAAAAGAGAAGGCTTATGCATTTTTTTTTTTTGGGGGGGGGGGATGTATTATGGGAGGGGTGAAAATGGTGAATAAATTGTGTCTTGAAATGCTCTATTGTACCTGCATGAAGTCACCATACAGAGACGATAAGAAGGCAAAAGCCATGGCCACATTAAGTGTGTACAACATAAAAGCTAAAAAAAGAGAAGACAACAGAAATGAGACAGTTACCTAAATTGACATGAAATCAGTACTTTAAAATTCATCTGTGATTTTTACAGAGCTGATAACAAGAATAATCTCAAAACTACAGTTACCTGTGAGGATACCAACATCAAGCTCTTGTTTATTTACCAGACTGCCTCCATACCACAGTACTAACACAACAGCACCCTGAAGCAAACCAGCCACATCAACCATTGATTATATAATACAACATCACTTAACTGACCACTTGTGAAGTGTCAGTAAACAGAGGGACAATAGACTGCTAGACGTCTGTCAGGATTGCAAGCACGTTGTGTGTGGCAAATGAGGAAAATCTACAAGAACATGGAAAGGGAAGAAGAAGTAGCCGATGGAGAGAAAGGGTTGGTAGGATTTTAGTTGATCATAGGCTGCCTTTCCACTGCTCTCTTAATTGGGTACGGTCCTGCATGGACACCATGAGAACCAATCATGTCTGTGACATAAATTCAAAATTTAACTTATGCATCATTCACTACTAATGCCGAAAATAGAAAATGTTATCAGACACCAAACACATGTTGTGTTTGCCTCTTCATCACTTTCTTCAAATAAACTTGGCAGCAAAACTTACTGATTTAAGGAATGCCCATTGATCGTGCAATAGCAAAGTTAGATGTGAAACTACTGACAACAAAAATGGACTTGACAGTCATCTCTTTCACAATAGCTGTCAACAACCATTGGTGAAGACTAGGAAATAATTGATAATCAAGATGCAGTTGGTCGAATTACAAAAACTTTCTCACCAATTACCAGCTTCTCTAATGCTTTTCTTTGTAAATATTTCAGGTTTTAAGCTCAAACCACTCCAACGCATGATCTCACACCTCATGAAACAGCACCATCACATTTGGCTTGTGAAAGCTGCTACGGGGCTGAGTTGTTCAACGCTGGCTTAAAATAACCCAGGGTTAGTGTGATATTTGAATTCAGATTTGAAAGCTTACAAAGCATTGCAGTTTTAATTCTTTTTGTCTACAAGCTGATCTGAAAATAACAGAGAAAATTATGCGAGAAAATGCTTTTGAACACAAGAAAAATAAACCCAGGTTAAATTTAAAACCAGGGCCCAGTTGTTTGAAGGCCGATTAGGGTTTAACCCGGGTTTCTTTTACTTTTGTTCAAAAGCATTTTCTTGGATAATTTTCTCTGTTGTTTTTAGAGCTTCCAATCATCAACTCGTAGACAAAAAGAATTGAAGCTGAAATGCTTTTAAAGCTTTCAAATCTGAATTCAAATCTTGCACTAACCCTGGTTATCTTAACCCAGCTCTGAACAACTCGGCCCAGATGGCTTTTGATGCCTAGTCTTCCCAGTCACAAAGAAATAAGTAAAATGAAAATTGTAGCTAGAGTGATACAATAAAAACAGGCATAAAACATAGACTTAGATAACAGTAATAAAAAACCGCCGCCTGGTTAGCTCAGTTGGGAGAGCGTCACTCTGCCGAGTGGGAGGTCAGGGGTTCAAACCCCGGTCAGACCCACACTCAGGGTCTTGAAATAACTGAGAAGAAAATGCTGCCTTTGTAATGACATCTGCAAAATGGTTAGACTTTCTAGTCTTCTCGGATGAGGACGAAAAACTGTACGTCCTGTCTAACAGCACTTTCACTGATTTGTTCTTGTGGGATGTGAAAGAACCCACATCACTATTCGAAAAGAGTAGAGGTCGAGACTTCACTGGTCTGGCCAACCTTTACGGGACGTGGGATTGGGTAGGGATGGCACCTTGCATGTGACCTGAGTCTCGCTCGTGCACATTCCCACTGGGCCGGCCTGTGTCCAGAAAAGCTGGTAAATAAATAAAATACTATTGCTACATACCTGACCTATAATGCCAACAACACCTTGAAATAACCCTGTGCAGAAACAAAATAATTACAAAAACCCTCAAAAAGTGAAGGAAACTTAAGAAAAATGACTGTTATCACCCTAGCTATTTATGTTTGAAAAACTCATTAAATTTGAAGTTAACCAATCTTCAATACCATACAGTAAAAGCCCACATATAAGAAGCTAGTGATTTAAGAACCTACAAACAGGCTGCAACTTGGCATTTTAAATATTAAAAAATATAAGAACCTGTTCAGCCTAGAAAAGAAAAATAGGTTCCTATACAAACAAATCACTCCAATTTTGATGGTTGATTAATCACCTCTGTTTGTTAAGATTTTTGATTTTTACTGATTTACTAGAAATCTGTTTTCCATAAACCATCATGTATTAGAAATCAGTACAATATTTCTGCTAATGGTTACACTACGACAACCTCTGAAAAATAAGAGCCTAATCAAACTGAATTGTGAAAATCTACCCTATAATATAAGAACCTGTTCACCCTGACCTCGAAAATTCTAGGCTCTTAAATGTGGGCTTTTACCCTAATTTTTCTTTGGATACTTGAAACAGGTCAATAGTTCATGTATGACCCCATTCTCAGGACATTTCATGGGGTCATACATGAGCTACTGACCTTGAAACAGTTACAGGTCGTTTTGTCAAGAAATCCTTTAAAGATGTAATAACTGTAAAAATGCTAATATTTAGTACATACCTGATGCAAGAGCCAGTTTTGCTCCAACCTTGTAGCTCTTATTAATCTCTTTTTCATAATTATTCATGGATTTACGTTCCTGAGAGAATGCCCGTACAGTTCGTATGTTGCCGATTGACTCCTCAGCTGTTGTTGATGCTGCTGCTAGCTCATCCTGAAATTTCTTTCGTAATCCCTGAACAAATCGTCCTACCCAAAACAATGTAACAATCAGAATTCATTTCATTTAACTGTAATGCATGATAGCAGCTAGTGGGATTTCTGGGCTATCATAACAAAATTGATTTTTTACTCGAAAGAAATACATTCAGAGGCAGCCAGATTTTAGGCAAAATCTTAACCCATTCGCTCCTGGAGATTTTGCCGAAAAACACGTTTTGAAGCTACTCGAGTGGTTTTCTGGTCACTGTCGCGCTATAAAGAGCTAAAAATTAACAAAAACCGGTTTACAGGTCGTACACTTCGCGGCCTTCTGATCCAGATGCAAAATATCAGCTTGCGAAGTTTGGGCATGCACAGAAAGCAAAATTTCGAGATAGTTTAAAAGTGACACAGCAGTCTTGACTTTTACTTTTCGCTTTCGCTTTTGTAGGCTTCGTTTTGGTGGGAAGAGTTTTTAGGAAAGCTTTTAGGATCTCAAGATTAGGTGAAAGGAAAGCTAGGTGAGCAATGGAACAAGATTTTCATGGAGATTTTCAGGTCAATGTCACATGGTTTTCTGCTTCTTTCTCCGGTGTCCTTGACTGAATTGTGCTCATTCTGGTATGGTTTGAAAGATCTCTTCACTCTGCACAAGTTAGCAGACAAAGTTGTCCTTGACTGTTAAAACTGATGATGTCACAAAGGGTAGAAAAGATGCGGATCCACATGGGCGGTTACAGGCGGTTCAGGGACGAATGGGTTAAGGACGTTGACATATGGTTGCCAAAAATCTCTAGAGCTTCCCAGAAATCCTTTCGCATTAGAACTAGTACAATTTGGAATTGTTTAGAGGATGAACTAGATTTGAGCCCATCGACCTTAGCTTCCTTTAAATCGGTTATTTTTCATTATTATAAGTCCACGTTAGCTGTTTCCTATGATTGTAAAGACCCACGTTTGTTCAAGTCTATCTGTTTAAAATGTAATTGTGCTTGTCCCTTGTTTCGTCCAATAACTTGTTGTACGTAGCTGTACTTTTTCTTGTATCGCCGCGTTTTTTAATATTTCTTGTTTTTATTTCTTTTATTAGTATCCGGGCCCGCTGTAATTGGCCACAGCTGTTGCTGTGTCCCTGCCAACATTCTTTCTTTCTGTTTGTTTGTTTGTTTTTTTTGGCGAAGCTAATAAAATAAAAATAAAACAAACATTTTCACAATGTCAGTGGCTTCACAGATTTTTCTCTGCGGTATAGGGAGGAGGTTTCTTGGTGAGATTTTGCACGCTGAGACTTTGACATCTCTCACTTTAATTTGGATCTCTTAACATAAACCTTTTGGTAGGACTTTCATTTAGTGCTAAGAGCTAATTTTTTTGTTGCTACACCATTCATACAAGCAGACAATTAAACACACCGTACTGCTGAGCTCCTACTCCAACAATTGGTACAACAGAGATAAGAACTCCTGTTAACTTGGGACTGAGGGTAAACATAAACACAAGAGAACCAATGATCTGAATGATGTAACGCAGCAACATTGATATATTCACCTGTAAAAAATGAAGAAATCACATTATAACATATAACACATTTAAGTGCTTGCATTGATTGGTCTAATTATAAGCCATTTACTCTTTGCCAATGGTTGAATGCTGATGAAACCTAGTGCGTGCTTAAAACCGTGAACCTCACTTTCTGTAATATATTAGATTCCAGACCTTTTATATTTTAGGGCAGGGTTTGCACATGTGCAGTGGCACATGGTTCATTTTGTGCTGTTGTTCAAGACCTGAATATCAAACTTTCTCGATGATTTCATTCCTTTTTACGAGAGAAAAGGAACACCACAGTTAAATACAAATGAATAATAATGTCATGAAGACTTTCAGACTCCTTTGTTATGTTTATGTACATGTTTTTCTAAGGCAGGTACAAAAGTTGGACCGGATCAACTCGGACCGCCAGTCCAGGTCGGATCAACTCGGATCGACTCGGACCAACTCGGATCGAATAAAAAAATAAAAATAAAATAAAATTGGACTTGGATCAACTCGGAGCAATCAAAAAAATTAAATTAAATCAGCAAAACTGAAAGTTTAACCCATTTGGAGGGTAAAAAAGGCCAGATCATCCTTTTTTCTCCATGGCTTTCAGGCGCCATTTTGTTTTACCAGTGCCAGTTCCTCTCGGATCATGTTATAAACTCGTGGTTGTGGTTGCGTTACACAACGCACTCTGCTTCACAGATATGGATGACCTCGAGGAAGGTAAAATCTCGCCCATCTTTCTCAATGAATTTGCTTCATTATGTGGTTCCAGAAAATATCCAGAACCCCACCACGGAGGGAATTGGAAATTCCAGGGGGGTGGGGGGGGTCAGAGGCCCAGGACATTCCAGAAGGGAGGGGGGTTGGACCATAAAATCACTTTCCAAGGGGTCAATATCATTTCGTTTTCGACCTGAGTTCGAACATTGCTTCTTACTGACCTGGTAGATCATTTTTAGGACATAAATAACTTGAAATATATCACTTAAGATTGTTCCTTTTGATCTTAACCAGGTTTCCCTTCTTCCAAAAGCATTTTGGATGTAATTTCAAAGGAATTAGACCAACTAAAACTTGTTTTATCGCATGGTCGCGTATTCGACCGCCATTACTCATTACCAGTCTTCCTCAAAACATCAACGTGTGCAACACATCACGTTGCGTCAGTCGATCGATCAGAAGAGTGGCTATTTTGTCTCACGAAGCACAAGCTATACATTGTAACCATTTTAAAATGTAGAGTTTTTATTCTCCTTTTCATTTTCCCTTAATTTTGTAGTTGAAGGTGTGGCATGTTCATGATCGAATCCTCGCTGAAATGCTGTCGATTTCACCAAACATTTATATGGCCATCCCGCATCATATCGCATCAGTCGATCGAAAAACAGTAAATTGAACTTGGTTTCCGTTCAAGATGCAGGGGGTATTCATTGTTATCATTTCAGAGTTCAGAGTTTTTATTCTTCTCTTTGTTTTGCATTAATTTTGTGGTCGCAAGTTTGACTTGTTCTGCATTCCCGTACGAAATGGCGTTAATTCTATCAACATTCAGAACAAATCATAAGCTTGCCCTGATTAAGGTAAATTCACAAATATAACGGACTTATTAACTTTCTCTGTTTCATTTAAACTAAGAGATGAGCAAAAATTGCGGATCAGGTTACTTTGTGGTGGTGTAGTGTGTTTTAATGTTGCGAGATCACTCAAATAAATGGAAACAGAAGTATACAAGCTTCCGATGGAAACCGTTGCGTACTAACCATAAATGGCCTCATTCCTCTACTTTAATAGTCTTTCTTCGTGAAAATGAACTTTTCCAGAGGGGTTGGGGGGTCTTTGTCACACTTGTGGAAATTCCTAGGGGGTGGGGGGGTCATCAGTTCCCTGCCAAAATGGAAAATCCAGGGAGGTGGGGGGTCCTAAGTGAAATTCCCTCCGTGGTGGGGGTCTGGATATTTTTTCTGGAACTACACATTCCAAGAAAATGATAATTCCAGTCGCCTAGAATATATATTTGCTTACTCTTTTTATTTTATTGCAGCTTTTTGTCACAAAGCAAAGAAGTTGAGGTGAGCGTGATCATAAGTTATGCACATAATTTTTGATTAATAAGTGTACTGAATTATTTATGAGAAAAGCATCAAAAGCCTGGTCAGTTAATCGTATTTAGATAGTTACCGAAGAGTGTTTGTTTGTTTGTTTGTTCCTGTTTGTTTTTTCTGCAGGACTTCTGAAACTTCATTTTAATGATACACTAGTGAGCAGCGCACATACATTTCCAGTGAACATTTTCAACTTGGAAGGAGGAGAAACCATGCTCGCCCGGGACAAAGGACATTTCCATGCCCCAGGCAAGAATCGAACTCGCGACGCTCCGGTTCAGTGGTTGGAGCGTCCGATAAACATGTAGTATTCGGAGGGTCGTGAGTTCAATTCTCTCCCGGGGTACGAAAGTTTTTGTTGTCCCGGGCGAGCATGATTTCTCCTCCTTCCAAGTTGAAAATGTTCACTGGAAGTGTATGTGTGCTGCTCACTAGTGTATCATTAAAATTAATAAAAATAAAAATAAAATTAATTTACGCAACCATGAGTTCGTGAGAAAAAAACAAAATGGAGGGTGAAAGTTAAGTGATACCGACTGATTTTATTTTTCTTTTTATAATCCGAGTTGTTGTTGTTGTTTTTTTTTTATGATCCGAGTTGATCCGAGTCCAATTTTATTTTATTTTTATTTTTTTATTCGATCGGAATTGCTCCGCATCGATCCGAGTTGATCCGACCCGGACTGGCAGTCCGAGTTGATCTGGTCCGACTTTTGTACCTGCCTGTTTTTCTGGGCTTAATGCACCGTGCACAACATTCACTGGGCAATCTTATCCTTTTTTGATCTTACTGACCAAAAAAAAAGCATCAATCTCATTTATCCCATCACAATATTCAACACCATTAAGAAATTCCTAACATAAATTGCAGCTTCGTAGTTTTAATCTTTGACATTTTCTGTCTTTCAAAACCAGTCTCCTCTACTATGATTCATAACACTTACTGTTAATGCATTCTGGATAACTTGAGTATCTGATGACAGTCTGTTAATAAGCTCCCCAGTACTAGAAAAAGATAGAGTAGCAGGACAAATATTACATCCAATTACAAATCTGATCTTGTACTAGGAGCAACTACGGCAGTTTTAACTCTTTTCTGACGGTCAAAATTCGACATAAATCATTTGAAATAGTGTTTTCTACAAAATTGTCCACATGAGCCCTCAAATTAAATAAAAAGTACAGATTTCTGTTTCCACAAAGGTTGTTGATGCTAAAAATCTGTAAAAATATGGCTCCAACAGAGCACAAGTGAGAGAGCACTAAACGAAGGCTCACCTCCTGGCGTATTTTCCTTGAAATTCTGCCATACAAGTCCTTTACAAAGTTTGGGGTGTGTTCGAAGGAATATGAGAAAAAAACCAATATTTCTGGCAATATTTTGTCATTTTTCATGAAATAAAAAGCAAATTCATGCACAGAAAACGTTCTTTTCAGAATGTACGTCATGTAAGACAACCGCTCCCCACAATTTTAATGCTGACCAGGTGAACGGCTCTGGTACATATTTGTACTACGCTGAGTGACTTCGTCAGAAAAGAGTTAAGAAACCAATAAATTAATAACGTGCAATATTTATAATTACAGTTTATACATTACATGTATGTTGCATTTCTTGTTTTTTTGGGGGGGATTGTGGCCAAGTTTCTTTCATATTGCTAAATTGCTTGCTTTGAAAGATAAAGGCTTTCAAACTCTACTTTCTCAAAAGACCTCGAGCATGACAAGTTGAAACAAACACGTGCACTGAAACAAATTTTCTCTGTAAATGCAAAAAACTTTGCATAACATGGTGAGGAATATTGAAAGTAACTCCCTTGTTGTCTCAGCCTGATGAATCAGCTTCAGAAAATTTACATACATTGAGCAGTCAGTATCAGGAAACACTGACCACAGACTGCAGACCATGGAATGCGGGTGGGTATAAAACACAGACTAGGTACAAAATGCGGACTATGGACTACCTTGGTAAAAACTGTGCTAATAGGTTCTAGGTAAGGAAAGGTAAGATCAAAAGATCTTCAAATATGTAACCCGACTAGTTCAATCGATAAAACTGATAATTGATAACAATTGATAAAATCGATAAAAATTAGTTAATATTATCAGACATCAATAAAAATCGATAAAGGGATACGTTGCGAGTAATCGATGATTATCGATTTTAAAATTATTGTTATTGATTTTATCAAACTTATCAAATTTATCGGTGTAATAAGTTTCCACGTATTTAAGGGCAGTGAAGCATCAGAACTTCCCGAAAACCAGTCTAACAAAAAATTACTCGTGTAGGATAAGTTTAAAGATTTATTTCACAAATCAAATATTGAACAAATACATAACATGACCCGTATTATACTTAACATGATTCAGCGGAGAAACAAAACGTAACAACTTCTTCTTGCATTTTACTTAGAAACTATTCAAGTTAAACACCGTTGAAACATTGTAAAAGGGTAGTACAGTGGACGTACAATTCTGGGCTATGAGCGAGCAAGAAGGTCTTAAGACGTCCAGATAAAACAGATGTAAGCCCCGTATTAAACGCATTGGCAAAAACACAGCTTGCTTTTTAAACGCTGTCTCGGGAGAACCAGTACTTTGCAGTTACAATTGTCAACTATACACGGTCCTTAATGACGATGATAAAATCTAGAAATCGATAAAATCAATACCTTAAAAGAGCAACGATGGTTGTGAGTATCGATTTCTATTCTCTTGATCAATAAAATTGATAACGTTTAAATTTGAATTATCGATAGTTATCGATTTATCAAACAGTTTTCCAATATCAATTTTTATCGATTGAACTAGTCAGGATATGTAAACATGTGAATTTAAGTTATAAATGTACTCCTAGACTTTCTTGGTAGAGTTGTGCCGCCCAGCAGCCCTCCAAATCCTGAGTCTGACCAAAATGCTACTTTCTACACCCATTTTTATACCTGGTCTCTAACATCCATGACAGGGGTCACAAACACAATGTTCATGTTTATATTGTTACATAGGTGTAAATCATGTCATCATTGATTAAAGAATATAAAGTTGGATGGTATACTTATTAGGGTTATTATTCATGTATAGGTAAGTAATCCTTTCCTTCTAAATACAGCTTTTTTGCATCAAACCTTCTTATCTGGGTTCATCATTTTCTCATATCCCCAAGGCTTTGATTGGAATTGTGGCATCTATAAGAATTTCACTCTCACTAACACCAATATTATTTTTTTATTCAGTACCTCTCAATTTCGAATCTTCTACAATTGGTTTAAAACTATAAATTGAATTCTCTTCTTTAGAACTCCTCCTTGCCCGTGCAATATGTTTTCCTTCTCCACATGACACTGATGTTGGGGAGAATAGACTGCATGACAAGCCAAAGGAATGTTTGTGTGTGAGGAAAGGAGCTAGGACTACCATTTTATGCAAGTCCACTATCAGTTTATCGCAGTTTTACCGTTCCAAAGCTGTTTTTATATATACAGTCCATATTTCACGTTTTATGCTCAGTCTGTAGTTTCTAGTCCTCATTTTATGCCTAGTCCACGCTTTATACCCAGTCTGCAGTCCATGATCCACAGTCTGCAGTCCCTGTTTTAATTAAACTGAATGATACGTTACGTGACTTGGAATCATCAACATCAATAAAAAATAGAGGCTTTAGCGGTGCCTCAATGTGATAGATCAAGAGCAGCAATCTTTTCCCTTCACCCTTTGAAGAGTAACTGATCAAATGCTAGATGCACAGATTGAGTTTTGCTAAGCAAGGTTGGTTCTTACCGATTATTGTCAAAAAATGCCACTTCTTGACGTATAATAGAGTTGAACAGCTAAGTAAGACAAAAGCAAGTACATTAAAGTCATCTGAAAATAACAGAACTTTGTACTTCAAACCTACAGTAGTAAAAGTAAAAGTCACTTTGATTAGTAAAGGCCAACACAAAGATGTCTCGTTCTGCCTGTTTTTTTGTTTTGTTTTAGCACCTCTTTCCTCCTCCTTCTTTATGCTGGAGCATTAAGAAATTGATCAGTGGACCAGATAAGAACGATAGCACTGAACGGCAACAAACAAGTTGGAATGCAAAAAAGGTGCTAACTTTACTATTGTCTGTACTTACTTCTGATTGGCTTAAACAGCAAAAGTTAACAAAACTTCATAAAGCAGTACATATATTCATCCTTACTTTCCAACCATCCTCCATATAACAAAATCTGGTCTCAGTTTGAATAACAAAGAAATCCTATGTGGGGAACATGTAAAATTGTAAACTTTTCTTGGCTATTGTTTTCAACTCTTGTGATTGGTCAAAATCTTTTAACACAAAAAAACACCCTTTCAAAGTGGAGTGTAAATGCATTTTATTGCGTAAACAGCCTTCACGTAGGTTTACGCATTCTCTGTGTAAAAATGAGAACATTCCTATGTGGGGAAAGCACCGTCACCGCATAACAAAAGAAATTGCTATCCACCTTACCTGGATCATTACTTAATAAGTTTCATTCTTGTGCAAACAAATAAGCACCAACTTGTTAACTTTAAGTTATCATCACATAATTATAGTTGGCATACTTACCTGTTTTCTGATGCGAGCCACAAGACGCTGCCCTGCAAGTGTAAACAACCATGCCCTCATACATGCAGCTAATGCACCAGCAAGATAAACCAGTGACAGGATCACAATAGTGTCATTCAGATGTGCTGGAAAAAAGTAATTGCTAGCATGACTATCATCATCTACTAATCATAAATTTCCAAGAACCACATTAGAGCATATTTTTTACTTGTCAAGTTAACAATGCACAGTTACTTATTTTCATCAGATTAATAACAGTCCCTCAGTATTGTCATGCAGTCAAGCAAGTTACGTGTGAGCCAGTAAAGCAAATAAAAGAGAGAAGACTGTATTCTCTTTTCACCTGCATGGAACTCTGCTCACCAAATGTGTGATCTGGGTACTTTCTGTTTGTTGCCCCTTTAATGTTGTTGAAAATGCTCACTATTTATTCTTGGGTAAAATACATGTATGTTGATGTGCAAGTTAAAGCAGTTAATGGGAATTTGCCAAAGTTTGGTCGTCACTTTGTTTTTCTTTAACACTGGATTATTTACTTGGATGATCGTTGGTCAATTGCTTTTAAACTAAAAGGAGCTGCTTGTGAAAACATACATGTAGCAACATTCTGAGTGAGCAACTTTATTAATATCTATGGTCATACATTCATCAAGAAAATGTTTGTTGCCTCCGTAAAGTTCCCATAGTAGCGACCCCCCAAAAGTAACGTTCGTCAAAAGTTTCTGACTTCTAATAAATCCCAAAACTAGCAAGCACCTGAAAATAGCGAGTCCCCAAAAAGTGTCGAGACTAAGTTTTCTTAAAGGTCAAAGAATACAACTGAGGGGCAAGCTAGTACAACTCGTCCGGACACCATGGCCTACACCATGGGGTGAGCCATGGCCTACCCCATATTTTGTCCTTACCTGTCGCTACTATGGGAACTTTACAGTACCAAAGCCAAAACAACTTTTCCAGGCACTATTGCTTCAATTCCCTACCACTGTTCACTGTTCAACCCTCAAAGTTAAAATTTTTGTTCAGTGGCCATTTGGCGATCAGCTCTTTGGGTTTAGTCGCCAGGGGAAATTTTTAGGTGCCAAATTATATTAATAAATTAATATATCAAAATTGTCCTTAACAAAAGCAGTTAGCAAGTTTAACTTAAAATGCAGCACTTTATATAAATTACTCGTTTATTGTGCAAGGCATTAGTTACTGATAGTCTGAGAATAAGGTTTGCAGATTCATCTCCTTGAATCAATACTGAAACGGAATTGTAAAGACAATTACCATTTCCAGTTGTCTCTAGGGCCTTCAATCCTTCTGTATAATCCCCAGTTGGTATATGAGAGCAGAACTTAACTCATCCTCTGTTAATGTGTTCAAAATTTCCCAGTCACAAGTTGATAGGCGACCTATTTTTTTTTTTTAATGATATTTGTTTCGCATTTCTTTTGCGACTTTTGTTGATGATGAACTTCTTTCCCCAACTAACAAATATTTTTGGAGATTTAAAAGGTCATTTTTAATATCACTAGACATTGCGAAAGCCTGACAAAGGTAGGAGAGTATAGGAAGATCAACAAGTTTTCTAAATCAAATCATTGCTTTATAGAGATAACATCGCCCACATGAAAATTTCGCAACGAGTTGTACTGGGAAAAAATGTTTTTCCCAATAAATTGAAAGGAACCCAAACAAAAATGCCGCTTACGAAATAATAAATTTTCTTTTCCCTTTATCATCGCTACAGGTGTTTAAAAAAAAATTTTTGCANCAACCCTCAAAGTTAAAATTTTTGTTCAGTGGCCATTTGGCGATCAGCTCTTTGGGTTTAGTCGCCAGGGGAAATTTTTAGGTGCCAAATTATATTAATAAATTAATATATCAAAATTGTCCTTAACAAAAGCAGTTAGCAAGTTTAACTTAAAATGCAGCACTTTATATAAATTACTCGTTTATTGTGCAAGGCATTAGTTACTGATAGTCTGAGAATAAGGTTTGCAGATTCATCTCCTTGAATCAATACTGAAACGGAATTGTAAAGACAATTACCATTTCCAGTTGTCTCTAGGGCCTTCAATCCTTCTGTATAATCCCCAGTTGGTATATGAGAGCAGAACTTAACTCATCCTCTGTTAATGTGTTCAAAATTTCCCAGTCACAAGTTGATAGGCGACCTATTTTTTTTTTTTAATGATATTTGTTTCGCATTTCTTTTGCGACTTTTGTTGATGATGAACTTCTTTCCCCAACTAACAAATATTTTTGGAGATTTAAAAGGTCATTTTTAATATCACTAGACATTGCGAAAGCCTGACAAAGGTAGGAGAGTATAGGAAGATCAACAAGTTTTCTAAATCAAATCATTGCTTTATAGAGATAACATCGCCCACATGAAAATTTCGCAACGAGTTGTACTGGGAAAAAATGTTTTTCCCAATAAATTGAAAGGAACCCAAACAAAAATGCCGCTTACGAAATAATAAATTTTCTTTTCCCTTTATCATCGCTACAGGTGTTTAAAAAAAAATTTTTGCAACAACCATAAGCTGTCAGTTTTGCAATGTTTAGTTTCGCTTACAATTATCGCTTTTGTTTACAAAACCACGATTCAACTCGAAGCACGGTTCACATGTTACTGTTATTGTTCTGTGTTGAATTTGCACTAATTTAGCTTTCCCCCTTCATGTTATTAGATTGTCTCAGTATTGATTCAAAAATATTTACAATATGTAGTCCAGTTAAAAATCCACCGAACTTGGCTAGACAAGCATTCCTAAGATATCGAAGAAATCATCACTGTCGACAAGCAAGGCACTTTGATTGCGTGCTATTTGTCATGTGTCAAAAGTTAAAATGTCACGTGCAAGGCAACAGACTGAAGGCGATTAGGCGAACGAATGCAAGTCAAGTTTCATTGATGTTCATTTTCAAAACGCTTAGCTCTGAGACTTTTTTAAGTTTTCAATTTGGCATGTTTTTCAATGGAAAAGTAAAAAAGTAATGGAATTCAAATCAGCTAGAATAAATGTTCTTCATATTTCAGTAGAAGTGATAACCATTTCTGTTTCTATACCCCATAACATGAACCTATTCTTCACGGTCGCCAGCTTGGCGACTATTCTCCAAATCAAGTCAACAGTTCCAAAATTTTAGGTGCCATGGCGACTAAAATGATCGCAACTTGGAGGGTTGCTGTTTAAACAATTTAGGAGATAAGTTAAGTAAAGTTACATTTGTATCATTATCTTTTTAAATCATCATACAATGAAGAAAAGGTCTACCCGTACCCACTGTGTATACCCAAAATATTCTTTTTAATTAATAAAACAGTACTTACACATGCCCTTTTCCATTGAAGCTTTGATAACTTTTCCAAAAAAGTAAGGAGCAGTAATCTGAGCTCCACTTGATGCTAAAAGAGCTAAAGATGCAACAAAAAGCAATAAAAGCTCCTGAAAAAAAACACAAGGCAAAAATAGAAATTACTTGACATTTGATTTATTACATTAAAATTCACTGTCAGGGATCGAGCAGTATTTTCTTCATTTGGTTTATTTTTTTCAGCATAGTCCAGGGTGCAAAGAAAATCATTTTTACAGCTTGCCATTCGGGCAAGCTGAAGCTAGCATTTACTAGCCCAGTCGTCATTTCAACTAGCCCCAAAAACTTTTTTGTTCTTCTGTTATTCAAATTCCTCATAAAACATCACTTGCCCGTCGGGCAAGTTAGAAACAGAATACACTAGCCCGATAGCAAAATCCACTAGCCCCGGGCTATCGGACAGTACTTTCTTTGCACGCTGATAGTAGTTGCATTGTGTATAATATATGTTGTGGTTTAAATTTTTTCTTCACTCTAAATTTTTTAAACCAGTTCAAATTTTTCAGACTGGTTAGAAATTTTTAAACCAGTTCTTTTATCGACTGTCTGAAAAAGCGGCGGGGCTAAAGTGCAGGTCACAGGTCACAGGCCAGGTCACACGTCAGGTTACAGGTCACAGGCCACAGGTCAGATCACAGGTCACACACAAAAACAATAGGACACTGGACAAAACTGTTCTTGATTGACATTTTACTATACAAAAACAAAACAAGCCAAGGAACCTCAATTATATTTTTTTCTGTTCTGAACTTTACCAAATCCCACACATGAGAAAATATATTCATGTTTATCACGCAAGGAGGACTTGCATTACAGCGTAACCAGAATTGGTAACAAAATCACAAAGGTACGCAAAATCACGTGATTTGTTAGAAAAACGAATCTCAAAACGAAAGGTTGTTGCATTAAGAATATCATGACGTGTTTGTGCATGTTTTGAAAAGCATTCGACGATAAAACGGAAGAACAACGTAAGGACAGTCTAAAACTTATTTGACCACTGAAATACCGCAACTTTCTTCAGACTTTCCTCGTCCTAAACTCCTCTTGCTACTAGATCGGTCTTCCATCTCTTTTGAAGATGGCGGCCTGCTGCTCGCGCTTCGTACCAGTCACAAAATACTGCTGTGTTAAAGTGTAGTCGGCTAAGAACTTCAGACACTGCTATTTGGGCCTCTCAAATAGTTGCTGGACCATATTTCTCAGCTCTTCTCCCAAGAGCTTGCCATTTTCTCACGTTCTATTGCACAACAGCTTGAAAAACCTCTGTTGGATTTGCCTCGTGGCCCTTAGGTGGGAGCATTCCTCCATTACAACTTGAATCTTTGACTCTGGAAACTGCTGATGTATCAAAGGATTACAGTGCTGCATTTCAATGACTCGCTCCAAGTTATCTTGGCTGCACAGTTTATTTGGAGATGACATTCTAATAACACGACAACACTTCGTTTTCAGTGAAAAACATGTGATTTGTTTTTTGTACAAATCACATGATTTTCCACACCTTTGTGATTTTGTTACTAAGTTTGGATATGCCGTATGATCAGCAAGAGAATATTATTCCATGTGTGGAATTTAATATTGTTTAAAGGACAAAAATATCATCAAGGTTTCTTGGCTTGATTTATCTTTGTATAGTAAAACCTCAGTCCAGAACAGTTTTGTCCAGTGTCCTATTGTTTTTTTGTGTGACCTGTGACCTGACCTGTGGCTTGTGACCTGTAACCTGACCTGTGAACTGTGACCTGTGGCCTGTAACCTGCCCTGTGGCCTGTGACCTGCACTTAAGCCCCACCGCTGAAAAAGAACCTTTCCTCTTTTGGGGTGTGGTTGAAAAATAAGGGCTTGGCTTTTGGCGGGGTTCTCATGTTCAAAAAGAATTAGTACTTAAATAAGCAAATTTTATTTTAACATTTCTTTTTCATCTCACCAACCACCCCTCCCTCCTTGTTCTGCCTTTCCCCTCCTATACCTAGCTCTTCCTAACCCCTCTTGCACATCAAGGAATGCTCTTTGATATACTTTAGAATACATGCATCATAAAATTGCTCACAGAGGGCGACAAAAAACTGAGAAATGGATTGCTGAAAATTATTCCAAAATAACACAAAAAGTTGTGAATACTTTTGTTTCTCTTTGCAGTTTTCTCTGCAGAGCAAAAACCCATAACTGGTAAGTCCTCTTCAAGCTGAATCATTCCTTTCCTTTACTGAAGTTGACCTTATAGATTTCAGAAATTGTCCATGTGAATGCGAACCAAAGCACAAGTGGACTATCAATATTATTGATCACCACACAAAGTTTGTCAATGTTCACTCCATCCATAAGAAACTTGCTGACGAAGTACTGAATGAAGTTCAAAAGTATTGTGTAACTTATAACCACCCAAAAAATATAACAGATAATGGAGGTGAATCAGAAAACAACAAAATGAAAGCATTTTGTAGCACTTATCAAATCCAACTTCTCCAGGGAGCAGCCAGGACTCCCACAACACAACGGCTAGTGGAACAGGTCAAATCGTACATTCAAAAAAAAAAAAAAAGAAACTTGATGATGAGCACATTAATTTTGGTCTCCAAATTTCCACATGGTGCAAGTACACAATGCAAGCATCCTACATCATGAACATAACTTGTCATCGTGCTGTCAACATGACACCATATGAAGCAGTGTCTCACATGAAGGCCAATTCTGCGCCAAGTCGACTCGTCACAAGCTGTTTTTACCGACAATCTTTCCGACCTCTCCACTAAGATAAGGGCCAAAAAATAACAATTTTTAATTGCGAATATCTCGGAGATGCTTGTTTCAATTGAGCTGAAACTTCATAGTATGTTTATTCGGTTCATATTAAACATATTTCACTAGAATTGAACTAAAATAAAAAAGGTCGAACTTTTGGTTCATTTGACCTTTAAGAAAACAATGCCTTTTGTGTTCACAGGTGTGATTTTTTTGCTTTTGCTCAAAATATATCACCTTTTTCGCTTTTGGTGAAAGAATGAAAGACGGTAAATTTTAGGCTCGGTGAACAAATGTGTAGATGAAAAGGAGCGTGGAACAAAAAAAAAGTCTAAGTCCCTGACAGGATTCAAACCTATGACTTCCCAAACAATAGGCGGGCACTCTATCCACTGAGCTACGGAGAACTCATGGAGAGCAAGGCCATAATTATACTAGGTTCATATATTTTTCGCCTTTGTTCACAAAGGTCAATGTGGCCATAATCAGCGTCATTGGAAAGCATGTTGTTGTAGTTAAGGTGAACATTGTCAAAAATTGCACTCGCACTCTTCAATCTTCAATCTTCAATCTTCCTTTGTCCTACAAATTAGTATATAATATTATATTTATATTCCACCCTCTGTGAACAGACTTTTCCTCACAGCTACCTTGTGATTATGTCTAACTGTGACACAGTTTGGGGGTGAGACATTGATTAATAAAGCCCGGTCCATTAAATGTTTAAATTATATAATAGGTAACAACCAATCAAATAAACAAAAGAAGAACTTACAGGTTTTGCCAGTGTCATCAGCCTCCTCAAATTCACCTTTTTCTTCTTCTTTGTTTCAGCATCATTAGGGACATGGAGAATTCTTTGCACTTTGAGTTTCCGCATAGCAATAAAACTGCCTAGTGCACACAAAGCTTCCAGAAAAGTAAATGCAACTGAGCTGATAACTAAAGCATAGTATGTTGGGTGAAGCTTGTGTTCCTTTTCTGATCTAACTTCATAGATAAGAACACCTTTTGTGATGCTGTATGCAAGAGATCCAACACTCAAGAATATAGCAACAGAATGGCAGAAACATTTCCTTGATGCTAATTCTCTGTTATATGGTTTATCAATTTGCTTCAAAGTCAAGCTCTCAAGCCAAGGATAAACAAAAAACAGTATACCACATCTCAAAAATGCCATAGCAGCCAAGTCAAATACCGAGTCTCTTATCTTGAAATGTTCCACATTTTTCTCCATATAATCATTGTTTCCTCCACAAAGCCAAAGAGTAACAGATGATGTCAAATCAAGAAATAGCAGAAACTGCACCATAGTTGTATATCGCCGTGTAGGCAGACTGTAATAACCATTGTCTTTTCTGCCTTCTTCTCCAGATAGACCAGTTGAATTCAACTCATCCACAGAGGCTTGAATATTGTAAGAACCACTTTCTCTATTTCTGTGCTCCATTTTTTAGAGCCTGAAAGACCAAGAGCTTGGTGTCAAATTATCACCACAGACACACCTTATTTAAAAGGATGACTATGGCAATAATGGTCCAAGATTAGAATCTCATGAAAAACCTCATTACCCTTGTGCGTCAAAGTGGGAATAAAACCTTCCAATTTTTTTTAAGTTTTGATAAAGACCAGCTAGCTAACGTCCATTGAAACTGCTCAAAAAAGCACCTTAAAATTAGGAAGCTTACCAAGGTTAAAGTAGATGCTTTAAAACCAAGAAAAGATATTGCTCCATAAATGTGCAAAATTTTGCAGACATTTGAATGGTAGGGAGCACAAACTTGCCTTTGAACACCAAATAAACAACTGTAAAATTTGGCCACTTTACAGTGCTATAATATCTTCATTAGTTTTTAACAAACATGTGGAAGGGTTCAGTTTTACATTAGATCAGTTAAGTGAACTGTGGCCTTATTCCATGCACCCATTTGATTTGTCAAATTTTACTTTATCATGAGATCTCCGTAACTTGTCTTAAATATATCAATATTCATGAAGAAAAATTTATTGTGGTTCACCGATGCATTAGTGTATTATTGCAGCTCAAGAAAAAAAAAAGCCGAGAATGCACCAAAACAAGACATGTATGCAGGGTAAAATTCCCATGCAAATCCTTCTTTAAAGACACTGCTAGGTTTGAGCTACCTGCATAAAAAGTGCATTTGTCCTCATATGGTACTTAAATTTCATGTGATCTGACTTAACCAAGACATGCATGTCAGGGCTGAAAATAATTTCCAGAGAGTCTCCGGACACGATGACCGGCCAAATTCATTTAAGCTCAGTCACATATTGTTTCTGGCCAGTCAAATTTATAAGATAAAAAACTCTTAAAACATCAAGGGCCCATAAACCAAAACTGGGGTTACATATTCCAAAACAAGCCTGTCTTCTGATATTTTGCGAGGTCGTGGAGCCGCAAAATTCAGGTTGAAATCTCACCAAATACAAGACAATAAAACATAATAGAAACTTATCTCAGCTTAATTGCCATAGACTTCATCACCACAATGAGCAAACAACATTCCAAAACTACCAGGCGTAAATTATGTTCCAAAAAACTGGGCACTAGTCATGATGTTTTAAAAAATCTGTCTCTGAAAATCCTGCGACGTAACAGAAGCCCTGAAAAAAGTTGTTGCTTATTAACTAATAAAAATGAAACTATTTTTAATTTTGAAACCGGAAGTGTGTGAACCCCAATGTCCCTTTCAATACGCGAATTGTAAACAACGGTTCTAATTGCATTTCAGCCAGGATTTCAGATTAAAGTTCTGCAAAACATATCTACTCTCTACACACCGATAACAACTGAAACAACTGAACAGCATGGAAATTTTAATTTATTTCATTTTCAATACGATCAAATCTGACTGATCAATATGAACGGCAAGTCCAAAGGTTGACTGGTCAACTCCCCAATCAGTCTGGACATTGTTCGTTGACTGGGCGTTATTTAGAGCCCTGCATGTCACATATGATGGTTTAAATAATACTCACTTTTACCCATTAATGATAATTGCAAAAGAGATTAGCTAGTTGGTATGCAGAGGTATTTATGCTATATTTTATAAGCTCTGGGCTTCTACAACTTCATAAGAGGTTTTAGGAGCTCTTAAAACAAAGGGACTTGCAAAATATTGTTACATACAAGGCTGCTGCCTATGAAAATTTTTTGGGAGCCGGAGCCACATTTCTAGAAGCCCACTAACCTTCGATTGTCATTTATTTGTGTAGGATGCAAGTAAAATTTGCATATGTCACGTGTAATTTGAAACCTCTTGCTCTTTGCAAATGCATCGCAACTTTAAAAGCATACAAAAGCAACCTATAAACTGTTCTCAAGGCAAAATGCTGGGAAAAAATCATGATTTTGATACCGAAAGTTTTTCTAAGTCCATTAAATTCATTCGAGATATTTTTCTGACAGGAAACTTCAACTGCAATGCAGCGGAAGTCACAGAGGTGAATTTCAAGACAGGTGCTTGTTTGTTTACTTTTATTAACAGCCTAAAATTTATCCCTACGCTCGATGACCATGCGTTTTACGTTTTCCTTTCAAAAGTGCCAAATGAGGAGGGAATTTTCTTGTCCGTCCATTGGAAGTTGGCATAGAGGCTTTTGCCATAAGAATCATAAGTTTTAGGTGGCCCGTGCGAGCTCCTTGCTCAAAATTTTAGTCTCCTACGAGCAAATCTTAGGAGCCTCTGGCAACCAGGCACCAGTTACATTTGTAACTAGGCAGCAGCCATGGTATAGTAGTGGTGATCAAAATCCTTTTTGAATTTACATGCTTTTTTAAGCTTCAAAACTTCATAAAATTTGAATACATTTCATTACAAGGTAGAGGGGAGCTTATATCCGGGGGCCTTATATGACCAGATGTAATTTTTTTCTTCTTGTTTACAAGTATATGGGCCTGTATGGGGGGCACTTACAAGTAGCATAGCATGGAATCTGAAAATGATATAGCATTGCATGCAAAATGAACTGCTGGATATCCTTCATGTCATGAATGGCTTTCAGCTGTTTTGACTTAGCTTATAATGCTGGAGAAATCAACAACTAAAGCATTTCCCACCACTAGCAACAAAACCATTCAAAATGCAAACTCAGCAAAAAACTTTTTACTGTTTTGTCCACCAACAAAACTAAACTGCTTCGTCACAAGGTTGAAAACCAGCAATTGTGAATAATAAGCGTCCAGTCGCGTCCAATATTTTACTAGGATTTTGGTTGTACACAACGCGTGTACGTACAAAACCAGCTCTAGCTCAGCTCTGCAGACTGAGCTAGGTCGACTTGCTGTTAAAATACATGCACTACTAAAAGATGTAATGTTTTTCAACCCCGTAACTTCCACATCTCTTTCAGTTTACGCAATTATAACAAACAAACATACGTTTTAAGCTAATATTGATAAGATGAACTCTCACAGATTGTCACGAAATCTACAAAATTGTAGTTTGAGATCAGGGTCAATCAGTTCGACTTTGTGTACAAAATGTGTTGGTCGAATTAGAGTTGAAGACCGCGCGAGTTAACTTACTGAAAAGATAAGTTCGAACGGGAATACTCCTCACAAAATCAACCTTTAAAACAATCGTTCAGGAACTTATTCTTCGTTCCCGCGTACAAGCACGGCAGGTACCTTTGAACAATAAGTGAAAAAAAGAAACCCTTAATATAACCAACAAGCTACCACAATGCAGAACCTCTGAACGGATTCTCAAATCAATTGTTTCCAAACCGGGATGAATAATTTACAACGTCAGGTATCATTTAAGTATCAAAACTAAAAAATGTACTTACGAGGACGACAACGTGCAGTCGAACCGGTGTAAATTCCCTTATGTCCAGCAGCCCAAAAGTAAGTCAGCGAAAAAGCCGCGAAAAAGTAAACACGCGGGGCAAACTGCAACATGGGAATGATGGAACTAGTCGGTGCAGTGGAAGGGGGGGGGGGGGGGGGGGGGGGGGGGGGTGGGGGGGGTGGGGGGGGGAAAGTTCATTTTTTTCCTTAGTTGGTTTTCCACCCGTTGAATGGGGAAAAATTCTTAGGGAGGGGGAAAACAGTATTAAAACCCCAAAACCCTAAACCACCCGCCTTCCTTTCTCTTTAAACGGGTACAAAAAAAAAAACAAAAAAAAAACAGATGCCCGGCACAGAACAGGCCCCCGTCGATACGAGGTCCACACCCCCAGACCACAAACACAAAAAAAAAAGAACAGAAAAAGAAAGGGAAAGAGAAGAAGAGGGGGGAGGGGGGGGGGGGGGGGGGGGGGGGGGGGGGGGGGGGGGGGGGGGGGGGGGGGGGGGGGGGGGGGGTGGGGGTGTTGGTGGCGTTGCGTGAGAGAAGTTCCATTTTGTCTCTAGATTGCTTTCACACCGTTTGAATGGTGAAAAGTCTTAAGGCTGAGGCAAAACGTATTTAAACCCCGAAAACCTTAACCGACCGACTTACATTTCTCTTTAACCGGGGCCGAGAGTTAGCCTGCGTGGCAGGCGTTCGAAAGGGAAGGGAAGGGAATTGAGAGTATGCGTCAGTTTCATAAGCATTGTTTTCAACTTCTCTTGGAACGGCTGTAATATACAGGAGAAATGTAAAACACAGGAAAAAATAACAGATTCCCATTTTTGGATATTTTAGGCTATTTAAAGAATACCCATAAAAATCACAAATTTGGCAAAGTGAGACAAGTCCTAACCAGGGAATTCCCAACCAAGTTCCCTGATTGGGACTTGTCTCACTCTTCCAAATTTGGGGTGGGTATTCTTTAAATACCCTAAAATATCCAAAAATGGGCATCTGTTATTTTTTTTCCTGTGAAAAAAGGTTATGCAAAATTTGGGGGAGAAATAAGGAGCATTATGGGAGATGTGCAAGGCGGGGTGGGTGCTTCCTAGGGCACCCCTGTTAGTAGAATTTTGCATTCAGAAGCTTTTGATACTGTACCCTGCGTTGCTGGCGGGTTTTTGTGTGTCTTTTGGTTCGCAGTTCTTAAATTCAAAGAGATTCAGCTGCGCGAAAGCTGAACTGAGGACGAAAAAGAAAAGCATGAGGGAATAACCGGCAGTTGTTCTCTGTCCTCCTCACCCCATTCCCTATGGTTTTCTCCATTGACCTCGTCAGTTTTCTCGTTTGACCTCGCCCGCGGTGTCTATCAAACACACAGAAAAACACACCAAAAATCCGCCAGCCACGCAGGTGGAACATGAGTTGCTTTTGAGATATAACACGTCACTCGGAAAACGTCTGAAATCCTTAAAACATGAACTTGGTAAGGTGCCAGACACCTACTAAAATTAAAGGAAAAGGGGAGGTATTATCTACTGATGGTATTTTTAACCCATAGCCAAATGTCAAAAATGCCTAATATTTTATCCTTAATGAAATGGTAGCATCAATAAAAGTGGAAACTTTCAGAGCATTTGATACTTCCTGCCATTGCTATATGGGTCTATATGTTTTTGGAGACTGTCCCCTGTCCAAACTGCAGTGACACTGGGGTTACTGTTCTGCCTACACTAACTTCTTACTGCAAATAGAAGGCTTTAGCCTCTCTACATTATAATGGTCTACATAAAAAACGGGAGTTAGTCCCATTGGAAGTATTTACAACTATGAATTTAATTAAGTAGCCTGTAGACATGTCCTAGGGAAGAAGGGTGTGGCACAGGAGCTCTACCCCTTCCCATTCCCTTCATCTTCCCTTCTCCCCCGCTCCATGTCTACTGGTGCTTTAGCATCTTGTCTCTGCCACATCCACCATTATAAACTCTGTTCACAGGTTACATGATCAATTAATACCATTAATTACCTTATACTAAAAATTTCATGGGGACCTTAAAAAGAGGTTCTTCTATAGAGGGTAGAAAATGGAGCTGCAAATTAGATTTAGTCTTCAGACAACTTTCACCAAAAATTGCCAATTGTCTTACAAACTTTCAACTGTGGTTGGGAATAAAGTCTATGAAAAGTTAAAACCACAAGCTATTATTTTATAGATATGTGCTATGCAAAAATTTCATTGAAGACTTTTAATACATTCTTGATCCACTGCAACCATACAACCGAAATTGCCAGTCAGTTGTGTGTATCTCCTTCCACCCAAAAAAGTGTTTGCACATCTGTAGAATGGGAGTGTATTTTTTTTTAAAGTAAGATCAGGCTTGTTACATTTCACCGCAGTGCTGGTATATAAATGTCACATGAGTTTTATTACCACTGGATTAAAGAACGAACAGAATGCAAATCGTGAACACCTATGAAGTTTCTTAAGCATTTCTAAGAACACCCCGTGGTTCTGATAATTTTATTACACAACAACGCTAAGGTAACTGTTTTCTTGATATTCTTTATTGTAAAAACCAGCATCCAAGACCCTAACTGCAAATTGACGTAAATAATGACACACCGAACTAATATTTCTTTTAAATTAGATCATCATGTGTCAATTTCCATATATATAGACTTATGTATATACCTATCTACAATCCTCTTAGGAGACGTAATTAACTGTACAGTAAGGCTAGGAGGATCTAATCAAATATTAGTACAAAAAAGAATAGGGACCCTAAGATAAGACAACAGCAACAGGAACGAGAACATCATAAATAAAGCAATAAGTTTAATAAGAAAAACAACAACTTTGCATGTGCTTCACACCATTTTGGTACATTTCTTTGCCATTTTTCCACGACGATGACGTGAAAATGTCTAATTTCATGTTTTATAAAGGACATAAACAAGTAAGGACAGAATTTTCTTTCTCTTCTTAACTTGAATAAGGCTCTTAGGAAGTCAAATTCAGGAGAGATGGCATACATTCAACAAAGTAAGCAAGATGGTGGCTTCGCAGCAATAATCACATTGAACACTGAAAAACCGCGAATTCACTTTTTAAGCAAAGTTTTGCCAGCCGTCGCTATCCTCAAATCTTAAGGTCCCTAATAATACAAGAGTCATCTCCATCTGCAGGATCATAAAAGTTTGAATAAGTTAAACAAAGTTAGACCTAACTGAATCTACATTATGACAATCAGTTCTCTAGGCTTAAATCATCTTCAAAAAACCATGCTACAGATAACGTTACAGGGGAGCCTTTTACCAACACGCCACTGGCCCAGGCTGGCCAGTTTTGCTTTCACGAGGCACAGTTATACCGACCTTTGTAGCTGAAAATGGCCTAGAAATATATACAGTTTAAATTTGCCAGTATGGTCACATTAAAGCTCTCTAAGTATCAATGAATATTTTCACGAAATTTATGCATAATCTATCTTTTCTACAGCATACATTTATTTAGCAAGATTAAGCTTAATAGGCCATTTCCAAGTTCCCTTGGGCCTCTGTATCAAAACGAGGTTATCTGCTAAGCCTTTGACCTGAAAATGATTTTTCATACTCATGGAAATATAACTTATTTTCACAAGAAAGGTTTTGCACTTCACTAATAAGTGAAATTGCATACTTTCAAACTTTCTCATGATTATTCCAACCCTAACAATTTGTCAAATATCTGCTTCATGACCTGGGCCAGATTGTTCAAAGCTGGGTTAAGATCCAGGGTTAGTGTGAAATTTGAATTTGAATATAAAAAATTAAAACACAAACTCAGGCTAATTTATTTTGTCTACAATTTGGTGATTGATGCTTGAAAAGAATAGAGGAAATTATGTGAGAAAAGGCTTGTACTGTGAACAATTAAAGAAAAAAAATCGAGATTGAAATTTTACCCTTGGTTAGGGCTTATTGGACTTTGAACAATTGAGCCCTCACATAAAATTACAATGCTATATTACTCATTTAAAATACTACGACTAAACCAGCAAAAGGCAAATGAATTATTTCTAATCATATCATTTATTTCACCAGCACAGTTCTCCAGGACAATACTTGGCAATCAGTTCTTCATAATAAGGAGTCAAAGCTTTGACATCAGGTACTGCATCAGACTTGGAATACAGGTCATACTTACTACAAAATAATGGGTTATTTATCAATGATTTATGACAATACCAACAATCTAGCTCCACAACACAAGGCTGAGATATTTCAAACACCATAGTCACTGTACGCAAGGCTGTGCTATGGGGGAGGGGGCACTCTGGATTTCAAGTGATGGTGATGATTGAATGGGGACAAAACTCAAAACCCAAAAATATGCCTAGGGCTTCCAAGAAAATCGAAAAACACTGGAACAATAACTAACTCTCCTCTCCTACCCACCCCCCCCCCCAAAAAAAAATATAAATAAATTAAATGCCAAATTTCCGAGCCTTAAAACTTTCCAGAAAGCAAAACAAGTTTGGTTGTACTTCATCCGCATGTTATTTAAGTGTACGTGCTGGAATATGTGGGCACTTCAACTTTATTGTACAGTTGAACCTCTGCTAACAGCCACGTGTAAACAAAGGCCACTTTTTTTTTGTCCCGGGGGACAAAAAAATCCATACACTGACTCTTGTTTCAAACCTCTCTACAACGACCACTTTCTTCTGTCCCCAAGGTGGCTGTTGTAGAGAGGTTCAACTGTACAAAAAAAATCCCTTCTTAAATCAAGCCACCCAGAAAAATACCTACCAAATTTTCCTACCTTCAAAAATCCCAGAATAGAACATTTCACTTAAAATTCAGATTTGAGGACCCCCCCAACCCCCCAACTGTAGTATACTGCAATTGCAATCCACAGCCCCCTAGCTAAATTCCTATCCTAATTTACCAGTAACTGGACTCATTCTCCTTCCTCCAGAGCCCAATCAACTCCTCAGCCATGCTTATTGTAAATAGAATAATCAGTTTTGCCTTAAAGTCTTTTCCATTGATCATTTAACAGTCAGGCTATCAGTGTATTTGTAGTTCATCACAATGACTGTTTAAGTCTTATTTTTTAATTTGTAAGAAAGACACAATGGAATTCAGTGTAGAGCATATGAGGAAGCTTGCACTAGAACTTAGCATTCTCTGTGGTATTAGGGATCCTTAAAGATTAATTCTCAAAAAAATGAGATACAGGCTCCTGAATACAAAGAACAAAGTAAGTAAAATTGGTTTATACCCTGTTGTATTTGTATACAAATGACTGGACTCCTATAAGAGCTGTTAAGAAGTTGACTCATGTATACATGCAGAGAAAAAGCAATCCGAAACAGTCAGTATTATTAAAATAACAGACATTTATGATATATTAACAAGTGGCCTATCACTTTTAAGGCAATACGTACTTGAATTCTTTAACCCATTTTAGCATTTCTTTATCTTCATCATTGCACAGATAATCATAGTCTCCACTGCAGTGCCAGGGGTAAAATGAATGAAACCTGATCATATACAACGCCTACAGCAGGTAGTACATAAAAATAAAGAGAATGTTAGTTTCTTTTCAATATTAATATTAAAAATACATGTACAAATTTGACCAAAAAGGATTAAGAAGTAAGGTAAACATAGATAACGATCCTCAGAGAAGACCCTGGAAAAATCAGTTGGGTCAGGAGAAAACAAGAGACAAAAGTTTTCTAGCATTCATTAGTGGAAGAGCACATTATAACTCAAGGTTTCCAAAGCCATTATCAGATTGGATTGGACTAACTGAATTGTCTGGGACAATGCGTCAGTGGGGGAGGGGGGTCAGGGGGGGATGCACACTAAAATAGGAAGCTTAGGCTATCATTGCATGACTACGACGTGAAAATGCCTAAGTTCACATTTTTTGCCTCCAGGATTTGAACACAAGACAGCACCTTTCTTTTTCTTTTATTAAACTAAATGACATAATGTTTTAAAATTAAACTCCAGAAAAAATAGCCAACATTTGATGAATTGAACGAGATGGAATAAGCAGGATAAAGTCTGAAGCAGCACACATTTACTGTTTCAGTAATGTTTTTGTTGCCGTCACCATCGTTGTTGCTTATAAAGCTTCCCAATAATACTGAGCAGTGCAGTCAGGTAAAATGGAACACAAGCAGACTAACTGTAATGTCATGGTTCATACAGAATTTTTGACGAAAACATCAAGGACTTTTCAAGGACTAAAATCATTTTTTCAAGGACTTCTTTTCCCCGTAACTTAACGAGGAATGACACGAAGTAAAATTACAAACCTGTGGAAAATGTTCAGATCGTGTCTAATACAATCACAATCTGACTAGACTATCGTTTGAACTTTTGCAAGCTGGCATTAATGTTTGCATCCTAGTTAGCTAATTCTTGCATTTTCTAATTGGCAGTGAGTTTTCTAGGTGAATTCAGGCTAGTGTGACAAAAGTTATTTTGTCTGTGGCTTCTGCTTTCAAGCAAATTTCATCTGGTGTTTCAATCATATATCTACTCTTGCCTTTTTCTTTTTCATTTCCTCAATCTCCTTAAGTTCCCGCTTCTTAATGCACAGACACTGACCCTTCTGCCTTTTTGAATGCATTACCATCATCATTCCAATTCAAAACAATATTGAAATATCCGTACTTCCAAATGCGTAGATGTAGGGAGGTTCACATATTGCAATGATTGCAATACCTTCCCCTAGGAAGGCATGGTTCCTACATGTAGGGTGTTTCAAATAACGGCAAATAAATTATGGTGGGAATACCAAAATTATGCGTGAACAGAATTTCACGATCACTAAGGAAATTAATATTGTACATACTGCTGTGCTTTCAAGTCTTTCCTTTGCACAAATACTTTTTTTAATAAAGGCTATTTTCATTCAAGAAGCTTTCAAAAATATTCAATGACTTCTAGGAAAATTCAAGGACTTTTTAAAGATATCCTACAAAATAATTTCCAATTTTCAAGGACTTTTCAAGGACATGATGCTTTTTCAAGGAATTTTCAAGGCCCATGTGGACCATGACTGTGTGTGTCACTGGGCAATTGCTAGCTTAATTAATTTTTTTCTTTTTTATGTCACACACTTAAGACAAACGACCTATGCTCTAGAAATCAATGCAGTGCAGCACAGAGCAAAATAGTACTCTTAACTAAGCAAAATGGCATGGCGCTTCAGGAAAAGTGGCACCACATTGCAACTATTAACCCATGAATAAGGCACTAACATACTTCAAGGTTTAGATGTGGAATGTGTCAACGTACTAAGGCAAATATCAGAAAATCAAGGCTTGCAGATCAGAAATTAATGCTGTCTTTGGTTAAAACATAGTGTTTTACCTCTTTGGGAAGCTTACAGTTGTTTCCAGTAAGGACATGGTACATGTATTCTGCAACATAAAAAACACTTTTGTAGGCATAACACATTACAAACAAATTGCAAACGTAAATGCTAAGGTTAGTTAAGATTAAAAGTGACCCTATTTCTAATAAATAGCCTTTGTGGTCAGCGAGCAAGATGGACGCGTTTTTGATTTAGCGTCAAAATCTCTTAATTTTTGCCCCTTTTCGTCGTGTTACTTTTTCCGCATGGCCTAGCCACTCAGCGCAATTAGCTCTTGCTATTTCTGAGTGGCTGGGTACTCTTTTTTTTCACAATTATTTCCTTTTAATGTCTTAACACTTTTTGTATCAAGAGCACCATAAAGATTGTTGTTGTTGTTGTTTGCATTTGAGTTCCAAAAATAGAATATTACTGCAATAAAACTTGCATGTACATCTGTAAATACACTCAAAATGAACTTGCACTTATTAATTAATGTAGAAAAGAAGACTTGATGGTGCAACACCTCTTGAGACATCATCTCATAGTAACTTGTCTTTGCAGTCAGCATTCAATATTTCATGCATGCGCTGGCAACATTAGTGACTTTGTATTTCGGCAAGTCTGTCAAAATTGCGTTTCCCTGGGAGAATTTGCTTGTATTCAACATACATGAGTGAAAAATATATCACTCATAAATTCGCTAAGCTCACTGGTGAAATATTTTTCAACACTCGAAGAGAAATTTTGCATCTCCGCATGGCTATACATGTAATATCCTCGATAATTATATCTAATGTTTTCACCTCAATTAAAATTGAGTAGTGAATGAAGGTAAAGTTGTACTCAGATAAGAAATACCTACCATCATGTCCCCAAGACATTTTCACATTCTCAAGGCCACAGTTGGGTTTATAGATGCCATATTTTGAACTGCAAAAGAAAGATAAACCTGCTTAATTTTATTTACACAATTTGAAAAAGAGAAGAACAACATTGATAGCTGAAAGATAATTTTTCAAAGCCTGTAATTTGTAAGATTAGTCAACAAAAGGTTGTATGTTAAATTAAATAGAAATACTGAAAACAGATAAGTTATACATATGTTTCTGAAATATTTTCAGCAATCACGTTTTAAAATTAAAGGCAAAGGCAGGGTTGTCACAGATATGTCCTATCACTTGTTCCATTACCTTATTCTACAGTCATTTTTCTTCAATGACGAGCAAGTGTGTCTCCAGCTTTATAAAAGCCACTAAACTGACCTGCAAAGATGGGGGGGCGGGGGGCAGGGGGGGGGGTTGGATGCTTAAGAGCCTGACAGAAAAAATAACTGTAGCCAAGTGCAGTACATAACCATGACAGCCCTGTAAGTGAAATCCACCCTCACATTACAAACTGCTAACCAGCGGATTGGAACCTAAGTATACTTACCATATACTTACTAAGGGAGGACGGGCAGGTGGGCGGGGTAGGGGTAGAACACTTCACGAGCACAAGCAACATAAAGTGTGCCCTGTCGACCTCAACAGAGAAGAGCTGCAAATCTGCAAAGCCATTTGAGCGACCCCATTAATTTTAGATGAAAGACAAGATGGCCAGCAATGCCTCTGGTTTAGCTGCATTTCAACTACATTCTACTACCTCATAAGAGCAGAAACATTACTTAGAAATTACTTAGATTCTTGGTTTTTTATTTTCTCACAGCTAGTGTAGAAAAATCACTTGTGACAAAAAAAGCTGTCTTTAAATATGGGCTGCTTGGAGTTTAAACGAGAAAAGAGAGCTTACATCTATTTACAAAACATGTAAGAGGGGCAAGCTTTAAAAACCGTCAGATTTGTTTGACACTTGACTTATTAAATAACTTCCTAAGCTTTCTTTTTCCTTACCTATTTGAATTAAGATCATGGCCATCAATCGGCACAGGGTGGGAGAAGATCTGTTACTAGGACCCAGGAACCATTAGCCCATCCTAGGTCAGCTGAACTTTTCTACCCTAAGCTACAGTGTAGACTAAAATTGCGATTAAACTTAAATTTGTTGTTTTCATAGTGTTCACTGTCATTTCCTTCTTTCCTTAGTCTAGATTAAAAACTTCAAGTTTCCTAGAAACTCCTATTCTAGAATCACACTCTCTGATTACTACATTCAATCCCAGACTAAACTGCATGAAAATCATACCCATCACAGTGACGCATACCTGTTTAGCCCATATATGGCAGTTTATTGATACTTCTCTATTAAGGTGAATTATTACTGATATTTACCATTATTATAATGATATTATTGTTATTATTATTATTATTATCATCATAGCCTGCAAAAACAGATGTCTCTCCTTGCTCCTCCCCACCAGGGACTTTCACCAGGAGCGACATCTGTGCCACAGCAACAGAAATGATGTAAATGTAAATCATCAGAATCTTGTCGGGAGCTCTGTTTGGTTGACAGAGTAGTTAGATTGTTTTAGCTATTGTTTACAAATCACAGACAAAAGAAAACTGGTCACATAGATCAAATGTAAATGTGATAAATCTACTGCAAAACAGTCCAATGATTTTTGAGGACTGTATTCTTTCTTAGCAGGAGCATTTGAGTTTTGCTGGAGATTGTTCGCCAGAGAACACAAAACTTTACCATAATCAACCAGGAGAAATATAAAATCAAACAAATTTACATTTGGAACCCCATTACTACTGGATTTATTATGTAAACATTGATTTACATCAGTAGTTTGAAATTGCTGTTGTTGTTGATGCGCATGAGGTGCAGACATCCCTCCTGACAAAATGTTCCTGGCCACCAGGAGCAAAGAACTGATCACAGCTCTTTTTGCAGGCTATCATTATTATCATTATTATCACTATTATTACTATTATTATTATTATCATTATTACTTACCATTAATATAACAAGAGTATAAAAGTATTGATCTCTCGTGTATCACATACATACCTATACTCTGGCACCTGGGTATCTGGATTAGCTTTGAAGGTCTCTGGAAAGACTATCTCTTGAGAAAATCTGCAGCCAACAGGGAACGTATCTCCAACAACACAATACTGTGGCTCTCCCCATAATGCCATGACTTTACCCAAGTCATGAATGAGGCCTGTTAAGTGAAACCAATCCTCATCTGGATGGTCAGCACGAATACGTTCAGCTGTTTGGAAGGCATGAACTGAGTTTGGCAAGTCAGTGTCTGGGTCACTCTCATCAATCAATGCATCCAACAGATGGACAGCTTCCAGAATTGTCATTTTATGCTTGTTTAGCGGGCACCATTTTTCTGCCTTTAACAATGCAATCAACAAAATAATATTATATCAGAGTTGTTATCTAAAACAAACAGCTAGTGTTGATCCATCCTCTTAATTTTGAATCTTGACATTACACAATTCTGCCTATTGATCTGCACCGCCCATAAAATTGCAGGGCCCATGACTATTTGCACACTCACAAAGGATGCCGATGCATGTCGCGTCCTTTGACTCTAAACTGAAGTATTAGCATATTGTTTCCAAGATACAAGGGTAATTTAACTTAAGCAAATCAATAGTTCGAAGCCTTAGTGCTACTCTATATTATATTAGGAAATGCAAGCACTCAACTTGTAAATTATTTTAACTTCATAAAATATTTTAACAATTATTTAATTAAGCAGAATGTTTAGAATGCCAGAAAAACAGACTGGAAGTCAAACGGTTTCAGGAATTGCGAAGGCCGTGTGCCATGCACATATGGCACATAAATTTAGAAAATGTGACTCGCATTATAAAACTGTTAACCGAGTCCAGTTTGCGCCCTAGTCACATAATATGGTGATAAGCACTTCAATCTGTCTATTAAATTTATGTTACGAACATAAAAACATGAACATTCAACCTGTGTCTGCCCTTTGCTTCTTCGATAGTAGCCCGCGTAATAAAGTATTCCCACACAAGTTCTTTATAAATTTTGCCCAATAACTTAATTGGAATGCTTAAATTGCTACACAGGCTACTCTGATAGATGATCTTTCGTGTTCATTTGTTTTCGTCCCCAGACCTCTACTCGCACTTAGCTCGCAAACAAGGTTCCGTCAAACTTCTCTCCTCATAGTTTTCGTCTTTCTGACCGAAAAGAGTTCATTTGCATTTGAATTAGTGAGGTAATGCCTCTGAAGAAATAGTTCCTAGATCAGATTTTTAAGGCCAAAGAAAACTTTCAATTAGCATGAATTTGAATGCCAAGTCAGCCAACAACAACAACAACAACAAAATTATGCAACTGACGACTGCAACTGTCCATCTGGCAAAACAAGTATGCGCCCTCCACACTCTCCAGGCCTGCTTGTAACGAAGACACAGGAAATTCCAGTCGCAGTGGCTAACCTTGTGTCCGTGGCTAGAGTTTGAAACAGATGCCATGTTTCTTAAGATTCACCTCAAACATGACCAAAAAAACCATAACCCTCAGTTGCAAAATATCATTAAGTATTAAAAACTGCAAAAATTCTCTGTACTTAAAGCATATTGAAAATACACAAAATACTGCAAACACTACAACGAATTGCACTTCTCATTTCCGTATTCCTTTTTATCCGGCCCACTCCATGACTTCAATAGCCCATACTTTCACGAAATGGCCCGTAACTTTTCAAAGTCAGGGGCCATTGGCACATTTGTCTATATATTTGGCCTTCCCAATATAAATCCCTGTTATTTTCCATCAAACTGTAAGATCCTGGCTTTTTTATGACTTTTCGATTTGCTCCGTTTCATCTTAATAAGTTAATTTTGTGAACGCTGAATTCTTTCACGCAAATTTAAACTTTCAAAAGGAAAACACTTCGAGGAAACATTGTGTTTAAAACTGTGGCGATATGTATCTATTTTACTTCACTTACACTTATATGCAAATTACCCTTCATTTGGTGGATTTCGGTGGAGACAAAAATGTCGCCTTTGATTTCTTAGATGCTTGCCTATTTGGGCACCCTGTTTAATTTGACTATCAATTGAAGATTTGCTTTACACCTTACATTACAATGTTTTAATGCAGGAAAGTTATGAGAAATGCTGTAACTAAATAAAGTCACACAATACGTTTTAACCCTTTAAGCCCAAATATCCACATACAAATTCTCCAAACTGATCTCCATACACTTCCCTAGCGAATAAGTTGAGAGAATTTGATAAAAGATCAAGGCATTTTCTCTTTGGTGATCATTTTATTAATTCTCACAACCAAATCTGTTGACAATGTATGGATATTGTTAGGAGAAAATATATTGATGTTGGTCACCATTGGGACTTAACCCTTTATGTCCCAAGAGTGATCAACATGAATTTTCTCCATGCAATATCAGTACATCATCAAAAGAAAAGGTTATGAGATTTAATAAAATGATCACCTCAGGGAAAATGCTTTGATCTTATGTCAAATTCCCTCAACTAATTCTTTACGGAATTGTATGGAGATCAGTTTGGAGAATTTGTAAGTGGATATTGGGGCTTAAAGGGTTAAGGGTTAAGACTACATAACTTCATCATTCTGGTATCTTTTGTTCTTCTATTGCCTCCAAAACAATCAAGGTGTCTCACCAATTTCCACTTACAAATATTAGGAGACATTTGACTAACAGAAAAATTTGCTTTTGCTAGTGACATATTTCAATAGGCAGGATTTCGTCTGCACTAAAAAGAGATTGCAGGACATGAAAAATCAAAAGTGAAATCTTAAAAAAATTTTTTCATAATAAATACCTTTTAAGGTCAATACACAAGATCGTAAAAAGAAAGAATGGACAAATGGTGGTGATACATGACAGATATTGGGGGGGAAATCTCATAGGTTAAAGATGCACCAGCAATATTGAGGCAATAACAAAGACCATGCAATTACACCATGCAAATATCAGTCAGTAAAGATTCTGTTAACACATGTATGTAGAGTGGCTAAATAAGTATATCCTTGTTATTTCAAAACAAACCTTCCTCTTGACGAAGTCCAGAGTCTGATTCTTATGCATTAGAGCATAAGTATTGTAAACTACATCAGTCTGAAGATTAACATTGAAATTCCTAAAATCATTGTCAGATTTATCTGTTCTGGATACAATGAAGTCATTATATTCCTTGTAATTCTCTTCAGGTCTGTGTATCTGTGATGGATCTAAAATAACAACCTGAAGTGGAGAAGAAAAAGCAAATAATAAGAAGACAATACACAGGACATATGTTTTAAATAGTAAGAGGAAAGAGAGTAGCTTGATTTCAATAAATGCTGTACATTGCTTTTTTTTTTCAATATTATTGCTCAAACTTCATGAAATGTTCAGTTAAGAAACACCGCATGTTCTGTTGTGACATGAATAATATGGAAAGAAAATATGCACAATAACAATTTGTGTTCTCATATATATTCGGCTTCGGCTTTTTAAAACTTTCATATCACTTTTGCAAAGAAAAAGTCATATATGTTATTTCTCACTAGGGTGTTCACACATGAAATATTTGCAATTTTTTGTGAGTTTTCCCTTGGGTGACCATAAATAAAAAAAATTCTAAGGTGTGAGAGAAAGGAAAGGTTCTTTTGATCCGTCCATTGCATCTCTAGCCCCAGCCTTTACTTCTTACAATATTTTAGCTGAAAAAGCAAATATTCCATAATCTGAATTCTTGCTTCCAGGCAAAGAACTCAATTAATGATGCAAGATGTTTGGAAATGACAACTGTGCATTGTTATTGTTTTAAAAGCTTGCCTCTGTTTACATGCTGATTGGCCTATCTATGACACTCCCCCAACCCACCCACAAAGCTTTCACCGTACCCCCGCTAGCAAGTCACGTGAAATACGGTATATCTAATGTATCGTAAAACAAAATTTTTCAGACTCCTGTAATTTGATTGAATTTATGAAATCACCTGCTGACAGTAGAATGAAAACGAAATTCTTCATACTGCACTCAGCAAAACTCTTATGTACACTACGTACGTGGGCTAAAAAGTTGAAGCGAGTACAAATCGTCTAACCACTCTGATACGGTCTTTAAATCCAAAAGATTCCCCTATCGCCAAATGTTTAAATTTGAAGGAGAGCGGGCGACCATAATATGAAATGTAGCAAGGGCATGTTGAAGTTGACCCTTGTTTCGCGCTGTCTTTCATAGATCGGTCCCTATTTCCTAAAAGCACGCGCCTAAAATTTTTTACGGCAGTACTTTTAACTTAAAATTACGCGACAGTAAAAATCCACCATTACAGTACGCCAGCATGCAAAGATTACCAAACAATAATAATTTTTAAAGTACGAAAAAGGAAGGTCTTCAAAAGGGGACAGGAAGGTCAGAAATGACAGAGGTAACTCCGCTCGATCGCGCATATATTACCAAACAATAATAATTTTTATAGTACGAAAATTTTTTGCGGCAGTACTTTTAACTCAAAATTACGCGACAGTAAAATCCACCATTACAGTACGCCAGAATTGAAAGATTACTTACGCTTTCAGTTGCTAGAGGACGCATTTTTACTGCTAACACTAGTTACACCCTGGCTTCTTCCAAGCTCTGAGGCGGAAATATTTTTTCACTACGCCACAACTACGCTACACAAAAGTCAGGTCACGAAAAACATGTTTTGGCGAAGAGACAACTGATTGGTCGACATTAGGCTGGCCACGGTTGGACTTGAGAACAGGTTTGAGAAAACGACAATAAATATTTTATATCCTGTTTTATACCTGATTATGTTTTGGTCTCTGCCCGCAGAGCGTCGAGTGCTGCATGGAACAATTTGGAACTAATAATATTTAAAAAAGATTTACTATGATACTTACATTTTATCGTTTCTTGCCGCTGGGAAACGCCATTTTAAGTAATCTTGCTAAGAACACTGGGAGCTCTGACGTGGAAGGGGACAGGAAGGTAGAGGTAACTCCGCTCGATCGCGCATATATTACCAAACAATAATAATTTTTAAAGTACGAAAAAGGTAGGTCTTCAAAAATAAACCCTGTCAGGATGCAGATAAAAAAGGTTTTAAATATTTTGCATCGCTAATTTTCTTGTTTTGGCTGTTGCACATATGTTCTGTTCCCAGGTTCCTCTCTCCTACTGCCTGGGAACGAGGTTGCCTCCAAAATCGGTAAGACCTGTTTTTTTCCATTGTTGTGACGTTGTCAAGGAAGTATTGACGTCACAAAAAACTAAATAAAAGAAATTTACAGATACTTGAACTTTTCAGAAAGAACAAGATAAATAATGCCTTCGTGTCCAAAATCAACATGTTATATTCCAAAATGGTAGTGAGATAACAGCACTGCTGTGATCTTATGCCAACCGTCGTCAAATTTAGGATTTGCGTAAAGCCATCAGGACCATCAGAGCATTGCAATATTTAAGTAATGCCTCACGCACAATTTGCACTGTCACACAAATGTTGACAAGAAGGCATTTTTGGTCTTTCTCTTTCGGACATTTCAACACTACGTCTTAGCTTAAACTCATCACTGTAAGACCTGAAGAAGGAAGGCCGTGCCTTCCGAAATATTGGTAAAAATATATATATATTATATATGTACAAAAGAGGCTTGTATTATTAACACCTATGCACTCAGGATTTGAGTAGTTCACCTACTGGTATGTATATTATATATATATATTCCCGAATGTAAAATCAGCCCTGCTTCTTTTGTTTAATGTTAACACTGTATTCCATAAATATCCCAAGAATACAAAAAGTACACTTCCGGCAGAAGCGTACCATCCGAATTCGCGAACTTTTCGAGGCATCGTGACGTCACGCGAAAACGCTTGTTTCCATTTTTCAAACCGCCCTTGGATACCTTGCCTGCACAAAGTAATTTCATTTATATGAGTAAGCCCTGCCCTTTGAGTTGTGAGAGGGCGTGGTTCCGAACCTGCGATCAGGCGTTTTTTTTTTCTTTTCACATAGCGGGAAAATAGGTAGGCTCGATTACCAGCCGCTGTTCGGGAAAATGAGCCAGCACTCATCCCCCGAAAGAGTCTCTCTTCGGGGAGGATCAAAGACCGGACCCGGGAGACGGCGGAAATCGAGCCTAGATAATAGGGCATGATCTCAGGCTAGCGTGGATCTGGATCATCTCAAACGAACGCTCGCCTATTTTACTAGGATTTCGTAACGTTCGCTCTCGGCTTGATTGAAGAGATCGGGAGAAATGGATGCATCATAAAAACACAGAATTTAAATCTTTTGATCCCAAAAAGTAATATAATATAAGAAAAATGAACAAAGATGACCTACCATTTGTTTTTAGTTTCGTGCCTTGTGTCTCTCAGTACACACCCGCAAGACCTTCTAGCCCGGGGGTAGGGTACGCCATTATTTGGCCTACACGAGAATGTGCCGCTTAATAGGGTATGGTTCGTAGGAAATCAGGAACCGGAAATGAACCAACATATATATGTTGGTTATTGTATATGTTACATATACATTCGGGAATATATAAATGGCTCAACCAGTCGCGTGTTACACGCAACATTTTCTTGCTTGTTTGTTTTCTTTTGTTTTCAAATCAATGGCAAAAAAATCCTCTTTTTAACGCAAAGCATCCTTTTTCCTTTCGATCCAAAATGCCAGAAAAAACTGGATCAGCGTTAGATACCGCGGGCTCAACGCGCCGATCGCTCTTGTTCGACTTTATCTTTGGATTTGTTGTTCTTGTTGCCCGACGCTGTGGCTTCGTTGTTGACTTTCAGAAGCCATTCGCCGTTAAATCACAGGTTTGATAAGAAAATAAATTGTCCTTACTCCCATGCTATTTTGTGGCGTTTACTTGAATGCAATGCAGCACCGACAGAGGTAGAAGGGAACACAGTGAACTTCGTCTTGGTAGCCAAGTTACAGATCAAAACAACCTTCATTGCATCCATCTTGGTACGTCTTGGCCAATGGTAAGTTCAAACTTTATTTTCCATATTTGATTGGAATCTTTTCAATAAAAAAATTTTAATTCAGAAGCTACTGTTGAATTTTTGAGTCGTTTGTTGGCGCCTGATTACAGGGTCCAAAGACTTTTTATTAAGTCGTGATCAAGTTTTTGTCGTTTTCCTCCTTTTTAATGCATTTGTAAAGTTGAAACACCGAGAGACCTCTTTATCTGTTTCCAAATTCTTTACTCTCTACTAGTTTATAGGGGAAATTTCATTTATTTATACAAAGCATTCTATGCGCCTACAAAACACCAATTTGTCCTAACGACCTTTGTATTAAATGAAAGGTAATTAGATTTTTTTACACTTTGGGTTACAGTGTTACTTAACTGATATAAAACTCGATCATGTTTGCATAGCCTTACAGAAGCGAGAGGTTGTTGGGAGGATTCAAGACAGTTATGCAATTACCCAATGTGAAGTCAGAGGCTTGCATAACTTTTGAGATTTTTTTTTAATTCTTCCAGCCCCTTGAGTGTTTATGTCAAGCTTTGCAAACACAGTTAAAAATTTTCCTTTGCTTTTGTAAAATAACATTTATCCTGGAAAAAATACTGCAAACTATAAACTTTAAATATGAGACTGTATGATAACAGCTGTTTGGAAAAAGAATGATATTTTTGTTTTATTCTCAATGCAGGAATATCTTTTCTCGCATTGCTGTCTTTGCAAAGATGTAATGCTATCTCAAAGTATAATGAAATTTTGTATAGCTTTCCTCACAAAAAATGTAAAATCCTGATGTCTTGTTACTAGTCATGAACTGTTGTACACGAAGTTTTGTATGCATAATCAGTTCTTTAGCAGAAATTAAGTTGTGATCAAAAAAGAAACACACATGGAAGTTATTTGAATTTTCCTCAATGGGTTATGCCCTCTGGCAACTTAATTTTGTCTCTAATCAGTGACTTAATGTTCTTAGTCAACAAAAGACTACAGAGCAGGAGATCGCAGATTCTATCCAGGCTATGGCTGGAATCCAATACTCAGGGAAATGAAGATCCTGGCTTTGCCCTGGGAGCAACTATAACTTCAGGTGTCTGGGATGGCTATGTAGAAATGGTAGTCCACAAGGAGAAGTAAAAATATTGCCCTCAAATAATCATTACCTTCATGCTAAATACACTGATATTCAAGTAAATTGCATTTTTTTTATATGTTATTCAAATATTCTTATAATATTTATGTAAATTCTTTCAGGAACATGAAATATACCAGAGATAGCAGATTTAATGTAGACTAAATCACTTCTGCTGGTACATGATGATGAAAAGAAAGATAAAGTAAGTGTGGTTTGCATTAACTTTTTATTTATTTATTTTTGTAAATGCTTGGCTCTAGAGGCTTATGTTTTAAGTTGGTAGAGTGGTTTTCGTTTGAGTGTCGTAAAACCAAAACCAAAGTAATTACTCTGGCCAATCACATAGGACACAGACAATACATTGAACCAATCAAAACTCGAAGTAATTACATGTGGCTGACGCAAAGCGCGGGAAAATGCATGCGAGCGCGTCACAATTGGCTTTGGTTTTACTTCTGATTGGATGAAAAGGTGGCGCGAATCTTTTAA